CACAGGTTGAGCTGCAAGAAGAGTAACAGAGATGACGACAGGGAGCAGCATAAAAGTGAGAGCCAGAGAGGTTGCCAGCCTACACTACAAATCCACATGGTAATATGGCTTATGTTCAGTGTTAGGTGACTCAGTAAGGTATGAATAAAATCAGATGTACTTGTCAGCTGAGCTCCGCCTGCCCAGGAAGAGCCAGGTCAGTCTTGGACATCCCTCAGAGCCAGGGAGACTTCCTCAGAGGTTATGTCTAGCTGGTGACTTCCCTTTTGGTAAGCAGGCTTAGTCTAATAACTTAAGTCTTTTATGCATGTCTTCTTAAATTATATGGTATTATGGTTTAACCTCAGCCAGCAACTCAGCCGCTCGCTCATTCCCCTTGGGTGGGACGGGCGAGAGAATCAGAAGGGTAAAAGTGAGAAAACTTGCAGATTGAGATAAAAACAGTGTAAGAGGTGGGGTAAAAGCCACCTGTGCAAGCAAAACAGAAAAGGAATTCATGCACCGCTGCCCATGGGCAGGCAGGTGCTCAGCCATCTCCCGGACAGCGTCTAATGGTGACTTTGGAAGACAAATGCCATCATTCCAAACGTCTTCCCCTTCCCCCTTCTTCCCTCAGCATGCCACCATACGATACAGAATATCCTTTTGGTCAGGTGGGGTAGCTGTCCCAGCTGTGTCCCTTCCCAATTTCTTGTGTACCCCCAACCTTCTTGCTGACAAGGTGCTACGAGAAGCAGAAAAGGCCTTGGCTCTGTGCGAGCATTGCTCAGCAGTAACAAAAACACCTCTATATTATCAGCCCTCTGTTCAGCACAGGTCCAAAACACAGCCCCATGCCAGCCACTGTGAAGAAAATGAACTCCATCTCAGCCAAAACCAGCACACAGGGTAACAAATGAGGAGAGAGCAATACAGGACTATGATGAGGCTGACTGCCTGCGTAGTGTAACAGTGGGAATAGCTTGGGTTTACCACAGTTCCGATGAATAAAATCTTTACAAGTCACTGATTGCTGTAGCAGCTTTGCTTCTTTCCCACCCTGTGGTGGAGCCTCAGAGGGTTGATGAAGTGTGAAAGAAGGGAGGGGAAGCAAAGGGCATTACCAAGCCAGATGGTGGTTACTGGTGTTGAAAAATCTATTACCTGGCATGGCAGGAGCCAGCAGGTATTGAGCTGGGCCTCAGGAGGAGGGACAGCTTCAGAAGTTACCAGTTATTAAAACTCTACTCTAGTCCTGTGTTTTCTTCAGTGCACCAGTTTCAGAGCCTCTGTGTCTGCAGTTTACTCTTTGCTTCCATCGTATTTTGGGGTATCACCATGAGCTAATTAAGCTGTTGGTGTGGCTAAATGGGATTAGCGAAACATCTTCGTTAACCCTTTCTTTATTCTCTATTTGTTTATTTTTAATCCAGATCGTTTTCACTGATCCTGTTTTGAGTGGGATATCACAAAGGGTGTTTTTTTCCAATGACAAAGAAATTCTGAGATTCTCTGCTTTACTGCTATTCCTCTGCTCTGTGCAATCCCAGGGCTGCCCTAAACTGGTGGTTTTGGATTTGTACAGTGCCTAGTGAAATCATGTTTCTCTATGCTTTTATATTATTTACATTGCAAAATACAATGGGATTCTTGTTGTTTTGAAGGCCCGATGATGTTGGGAAGCATATTGGCCTGAAACTTCTTGAAGTATTATTGTTTTTTTTTCTCCTTTTTCCTGAAATTTTGTATGTTTACGGATTTCATATGTTGCATGACATTTCCTGGAAAATAATCTTGTATTGTAGCTGTTTGATTGTTGTTTCTACTTTAAATCCAAGGCAACTGAAGGTTTGTAGTCTGTGGGGCAGCTTGCATCTTGATTTTTGTAGAGCTTTTTGTGTGCTGTGGCAAACATCTGAGTGGTAAATGTGTATGTGAGGATCACCAAATGTATTTGAAAGACCTCTTTAGTCTTCAGCAGGCAATACTGTGTTCCATTATAAAACCCCAAAAGATCCTTTTACATGGAACTTGTATAAAAGAAAGAAGTTATTTACAGAGAAATTGTGTTTAAAGATCTCTTTACTGTAACTCGGATAAGTAAGGGAAGTGCTTTCTAGCCATCACTTCTGCTAGAGAGAAACCTTATGAAAAGCATGATATGATGATAGCAGTCCTTTGATAGTTGTTAAGTGTGGGGACTTATACTCAGTCTGAAATTCATGAGATACATCATATTTTTATCAGTTTATCTTCTCTTGTGTCTTAATTTTCCCAGTTGTAGACTATAACTGTCCATTTCTGCTGATGGTTTTGCCTTCTCTGTTTGTTAAACGTGCTCTTCAGTGTTTTTGATCAAAACCATTTGAATTAATACTGAATTAATCAGCTAATTCACAGAGAGACAGATCTTGAAACCTGGAATTATTTTTGCCTGCTGGAGATGTGTTGGAATTGGTATTTTGCTGGAGCAGAGTGTTTGTGTTCGAGGCTTTAACTTATCATAAATTTAGAAATTTAGGGTTAATTGCTTTTTGACTCTGGATAGAAGCAAATACTGTTTGTGTGTTTCCCCCCCATCCCCTTGACTGGTGGCTGTCTCGTGACAATCACTGGCTGCTTAGTGGGAGAAGAGAAGGGAGAGCCCATGCAATGGATGTTCTGGTGCTCAGGTTCCCATCAATTGTAATGGCAAGGTAATAGAGTGTCCAGTGTCCTGGGGTTGCACAGATCACCTGGGTTGAACTTTCCAGGTGTTGGTGAGCTGTCCCTTGATGTTCCCTGCTTTGTTATCTTTGGAAGCCAGCCTGGCCCAGTCTTAAGGTCCAGTAGTTTGCAGTATTTGCCTCAGTACTGAGGCACTCTGGCAGGAGTAGTGTCTGTGCAACAGCTGGAGTGGCTTGATGGACTGCAGGAAGGCACGGAAGCGTTGCCTTGTGTTTCTGTCCGGACCAGGACTCTGTGGTTTCCAGAAATCAATTTCAGTACTTTCATTAAATTACAGACAGACTCCAGCTCTAAAAAATGTGTGTGGTGGCAAGAACGTCTCTTGGGAGGAGATGGTGTGAGGCTGCTTAAAATAGATAAACACCCATTCAGTGTTTGCTAGGATTTTTTTTTTTAATTGGAAGGAAAGAGCAGCATCATGTATTTTGTAATATTAATCATCTTGATGAAAAGGGCTTCACATCACAGATTTTCTTTTCAAAATATGCACAGCCATGCACATAGGTGAACCCAGTGATTGTAGGGTGTGGTTTCCAAGTTCCAGAGAAAATTTGGCCGTCAAATATTTTCTCCCTTACACATACGTGGAAGAAAAAGAAACAACCCAGGAACAAAACAGCTCAGTAAATGTCTAAAGTTTTTCCTCAATTATCTAAAAGTTGACATTACATCATCTGCACAGATGTAAATATAGAAAATAGTAGGTGTGTTAAATCTCCTGACTTATTTTTAAAACCTTTTTACAGAGGACTGTCTTCAGTCTATGTTTGTGTCAGTAAATAGAGATGTGACATTATGTCCATTTTTCTTTCTGGGAGATTAGAAGTTTCTTTAAATGCTTATTTTCATCATTTATGATTGTTTTTATCTACTGTAGAAATGCTGTTATCTTTTCTGTCTTGGACTCTGCTCTTTCACAAGATAGTTATATTTCAGTGAAGCTCTGTTCTGTTTTTTCCTAACTATTCCCCTCCCTGTACATGTTTCAAATTTTCCCAAACATGCATTTTTCTCTCTCAAAAATGATATTTTTGAGTGTTATTGTTGAACAGATTAATAAATAATGTTAGCTGCATGGTTTTGTATGAAAATCAGCTGAACTGTTGCTTTTTCAGCCAAATAGAAAAAAGCAATCCCTCCTTCAATTTCAGTGCTATAAACCAGAGAATTAGCAAAATAGGTGTGAATATTTTGGGTGTTGGGAGACCTGTCCTAGGTCCTGATTCAGCGTAAGTTCCCTGTTTGAGGTACTATTCAAGATTTAATATAAACAAAATCCAGAATTACATGACTTCTCATCTGTCAAAGGACTTCTTAAGTATTCAGTGTAGAAATGAAGTTGTGTTAGGTGTAATGTGTTTGTCAGATTCTGTGTTGTGGATGGGCAGTGTTATATCTGTGTCTGGCTGCTTTGTGGAAGTAAGTGTTGTACCAAATAAAGGGTCTAACTTGGCTTAGAAACTGGGCTTCAAGTATTACTGTAATAGTACAGAAAAAATCTGACCAATTCTGAAATCAATTTCTATTGCCAAATAATTGCTGCACGTAAGAAAACAAGTGAGGAACTGAAGTGTATTTTCTCTTTTGTCAGTGTTACTGAAATAGTTCAATTTATTTAGAGCATATGATTTCATGCAATTGTGCCTGATTGTTAGTGCAGCTGTCAACAGCTGCATGCTTATTTAGCTAATTGCATTCTAGTAATATAACTAAGTTTATTTTAAGATATGCAGTTGTGTGCTTTTTTTTTTTTTAAAGCAACTACTCACGCTCAGAATATTTACTACATAAAGTTCTGTGCTGTCACACTGAACTGTTATCGCTCTAGAGGAAATTTAAAAGCTTCTGAACAAGACTCTATCAGCCAGTCTAGTATATGGATAGCATCTGTGAAAAGTTGGGCCATGCTGCTTAAATTCATACTGTTCTGAGAGCCTTGAAATGGTCTTTGGGGTTAATTTCATCATCTGCTCTTTGGGAATATCTTATACTTAACATGTAAAACTTTAGTTTCCCAAGCAACCAGTTCCTTTTGCTGCATTGGTATTCTCATTGTGTGTACAGGATCGATGAGCTTCTGCTGCATATTGATCATCTCCTACAAGAAATATGTACATAAAATGAGAAATTTGTATAAGTTGTATATGTATAAAAAACACATTAGGAGAGTAGACTGTCTTTTATGCATGCTAATCCTGGATATTTGTATGATTTTTACTGGTATGTGCTAGCGACGTGATTACAGTCAACAGTATGAAATTTATAATGCAGTGTTGTTTTTATTTGTTATATAGCTTTATGCCAGTATATACAGGCCTCTAAAACCCGAGATGGTGGCAGCCGTTTCATTTCAAGTGCATCAGAAGGTAAAGGAAAAAGTGTGGGGAAAAAAAAAAGGCAAAATTCTTTGTTCATCTGATACTCTCTTCATGGACGTTTATGTGGTTCTTGATCTTTTAACCTTCTAGACTCTCTCTTCACAGCTAACTTCTTGCAATAGATGGTGAATACCTTATTTTCTTAAGACTTTAAAACAAAATTAAGCGATCTCATGATGTCACTTGTATGTCTATCTAAAAGTTGCATCATCTTTGCATCTTGTCTATTTGTGCTTTTCTTCAGTCACAAAATTCCACTGAAACTGAAGCTTTAGTTATGTTTTAATGAGAATCTGAAATATGTGAAGAGTGGCTTAGAGAATTGCTGTCATGGCCACAATCTCAAGATTGTCACACTTAGGAAAAGCACAGATACTTAATGACAGAACTGTTACAGTGCTAATCCTTGCTAATATCTGCAGTCTGACTATATGCTAACGAACTGTCTTGCATTTTCTGTTTCTCTTAAAAGGAGTGTGCCCTTAATTCACTTATCCTCACATCTACCTGCTGATGTCCTGCTTTTTGGCCTTGTTTGAGTTTGAAAAGAGAATGAAATATTTATTTCTGGTTTTTTTCTTTCACCTGCAGGGGAAAACTTTGAACAGACTCCGTTAAGACGCACATTTAAATCCAAAGTTCTTGCTCGCTATCCTGAGAATGTTGAATGGAACCCTTTTGACCAGGATGCAGTGGGAATGGTCAGTATCACATAATGGCTTTTGTTTTTAAGACAAAAACCTACTTGAACAATTGAAGGCATTAATCTCTGTTCTCTTTGACAAAAAAAGTGTGAAGTCTGCTATGGATTGGAAATCATGAGTTTCTCTAAATTGGGCAGACTCAAAAGGCCTTTTCATTTAATTAGGGTATATTTGGGGGGAAATGAGTAAGTCCCTAGGAGAGTTTTTTTTGTTCTCTTACGATTTTTTTTGTTACATTCTAGAAAATTAATAGAGAAAGAAATTAGTCTGCAATGAATGAATCTCTTTTTTGTGCACGATTTTTCTGTTTAATGAAGTGTGTTGCAGTTTTTTAATTTAGATAAAATAGTACTTTTCTCTGTCAGGTTTCTGGTCTTGGTGACCAAAACACTTTTCTTTATCCGAGATTGTATTTTGTTATTTTATTCCCATTGAGGCTGGTAATGAAACGTTTATGAGTTTCAATAGAAACTGCATGCAGTTCCGTTTGTTTTTCTGATTTAGATTTCTATTCCTGTATTTTGTAGAAATGTAACACTTAATAGAATTTAAAGTGAAATGCGATGGCAGTCTGTGGATTCTAAATCCCGTTTTCACCAGTGCTTCTGGAGGCAGGGGAAGAGAAAAATGTGTTTTAACGGATATTATCTCCCCTTCTCCCTTTTTTTATAGCTGTGTATGCCTAAAGGGCTTGCTTTCAAGACACAAGCAGATTCCAGAGAACCTCAGTTCCACTCTTTCATTATTACTCGTGAAGATGGCTCACGGACATTTGGATTTTCTCTCACGTTCTTTGAGGAGGTCACTAGCAAACAGATCTGCAGTGCAATGCAGACGTTGTATCATATGCACAATGCTGAATATGACATTCTTCATACCCCACCCACAAGTGACAAGGAGAGCTGCAGCAGCACGGGAGACTGCAATGGCACCTCTGTTTCAAAGCTACAGCGTTTTAACTCCTATGACATCAGCAGAGACACGCTCTACGTCTCAAAGTGCATTTGTCTGATTACTCCCATGTCTTTTATGAAAGCTTGTAAGAAAGTGCTAGAACAACTTCACCAAGCAGTGACTTCACCTCAGCCGCCACCGCTACCTTTAGAAAGCTACATCTACAATATTCTCTACGAGGTTCCTCTTCCTCCAGCAGGAAGGTCATTAAAGTTTTCAGGTGTTTATGGACCAATTATCTGCCAGAGGCCAAGCACCAGTGAACTACCATTATTTGATTTTCCAGTTAAAGAAGTTTTTGAATTGCTTGGAGTAGAAAATGTGGTTCAACTCTTTACCTGTGCCCTCTTGGAGTTTCAGATACTGCTTTATTCACAGCGTGAGTACTTGGGTTTTGTTTTCTTACCTTGTAGTTGTACTGGCACAGGATCTTTTTGTTTCTTGAATCCTGAAAACCACACAAACAACAGAATAGCTGTATTAAAGTGGCATGAGCATGCTAATGCAGTCTGGCTGATCTGTGTGCAGGTCTTAATGTAAAGAAAAGAACAGGAGTGGCAAAGAGACTGTTGCATTGGCTCTTGCTGTTAGATGCCTAAACTTAAAACTTTGGGCTTTCACATAATCTTCTTTATTGATGAGTTGACTGATCCCTTCATTGTGGACTCTAGAACTGTGCTGTTGGATAGAGGAATATACCTTCTTCCATGTTCCTCTCTATCTGCTTAGTTGAATTCCTTCCTCTCTCTGCCAAACTACACGTGTATTTCAAGAAGATATGTAGTTATATAGCCCCTTCTGAAGAAGAGTTAGCGGTGCAAATACAATCTTCTCTTGGAGTACCTAATGTAACATTTCAGTTGTTGCTTTGAAAGATAATTACCTGAAAAAAGTTTTGTTTGGCTGAATTAAATCCCAAATCTCCTTGGTTTAAATCCCAAATCTCTTCAAGGTCTCTTAAGGCCTTGAGACAGTTATTGCTGAAGCCAGGCAGCTGAAACTTGCTTTGAAGAAGATAGGCAGCAACTAGGCTGAAATAGCACGAGTACCAATTAGTGAGTAGTGTGGGAGTGCTATCCATTTTCTATGTTAAAATTTGTGGATGCTGGCCTTTTTACTATGCATCCTATTGCTCTAACACAGAGTATGTGGAATTATGCCAAAAGATAATTTCTCTACTTTTTTTTGTCTCAAGCTGAGTAGCATTAATCCAGACCCACCCCTCCATAATGATATGGTTTAAAATAGACAGACTGCATTGTGAACACTGTTTTATAGTAGTGGTAAAGGAACCTGGAAGACCCCAGTACAAATCCAGGAATATGGATTTACTGGACAAATCCAGGAATATGGTGTTACTGAAATCTGTTTTTGATGTTTTCTTCCATTGAGATATCACAGAAATATGTAGAATACAAATGGCAACTATTTATAAAATATAACCTGCAGTTACTAACAGCCTCCTCCAAACATGAAGTACAGATGTTTGTGTGTTGAGATCTGTGTATAGACTAAAGCCAAAGATGGATTTATGTGCACAATCAAGGTCATTAAAAGTGTGTTATGGGTGTTATGTCACTGTTGTTGCATTGTATAAACACTGTGAATTACAATAGAGAAACTGCACAGTAATTCGGATACAGTCAAAAAAACTTATTGAATTGTATAGTGGTCTTGGATTTAAAAACCAAATTACTTTGCTTATTGTTCCTAGAAAATCTAGAAATACTTATGTAGAAGACAAAACTTCCTTTGTGGTTTCTCCAGAAATGGATCAGGTGTTTATATGTTGGAGAGTTAGAGAGAGTTTGTTTGTGCGGATACCTGTGTCCCATCATGGAGGATTCAAACATCAGCCTCTTCCATCTGAAGAAGAGCGAGGTCCTGTTGGCCTGTAGTGGTGCCTAAGATCTCCTGTGGCGGGATCAGGTGTGCCTGGATGGTGGGAAGCTCTGCAGGAAAAGCAGTGTGTGCATTGCCATGTGGGAACAGTTTTCCTGGATCTCTTCTCAGGCCATCCTGTTATTGGTACTCTTTCCTCTCAAGCTGGAGCTCAGCTCACTCCAGGACTAGTCCTCTGTATTCTGGGTTCTCTTTCCAAGTCATATTAATGGGTTCAGCTTTCAGTCTTGGGCCCTTTCCAAGTGTCTGATCAGTGGCTAATTAAAGAAGCTTAAAATAGCCCTGGAACACTTGAGTTTCTTGTTTGCAGACACAGACATTTGGAGTTCAAAGGGACCCATGATCAGTTAGGACAGTGTCTGTCCACTGTTCCCCTGCCTCACCCCAAACTTTGGCTTGGTTGGGCTGTGTTGTACCTTATGGGAGTGTCTTGTCTCTCTATCAAGTTGTCACCTGTAGTTTTTGGCTGAAAAGTCTTCTTTCAGTAGAAAAAGAATTTTAATTATTTGTTTGCTGACTTACGGCCCTCAGTTTTGGTGAACTAGCTGCAGTAGTGCCTTCTCAGTAATAGTAGCTGATGTTTTCTGAAACATAGCTTCTCTTAAGTACTTTCTGAGGGATTTAATCCCTGTGCCTTTTTTTTTTCCTCTTGGGGAGTTTGTTTTTTTTCATTTGTTGTTTGTTTCTTTGGTGGTTTTTTTTTGTTTGTTTATTTTTTGTTTTGGTTTTTGTTTGGCTTTTTGTTGTTGTTGTTGTTGTTTTTTAACTGGAATATACTCCCAATATATTCTAATCTTTTGTCAGTATGGTTGAGTTAGACCTGGTTTTTGCTGTTTGTAAAACAGGGAAGATTGAAGGGAAATACAGGTGATGGTGCACTCAGTTCTGAGTGGTATCAGAAATTGCTTTACTTTTTTAAAGGCTTGTTCATGGTCTTGCATGCACACCAGTGTGAGGTCTAGATTGTTCTTCAGAATATGAATATTAAATTTTTTAATGTCTTTTGGGTTTGTTAAATCTCTTGGTGCTCAGATCCATGACATTTGAGGTGATTGAGATAATTTCTTGTTCTCCTATGTCAGATGAGATTATGATATTCATTGGTTGGATTTAGATTTAGAACACTATGTGTCAGGATAAGAGGTGTTGTGAGATTTTCTTAAAAAAACCAAACCAACAATAAACACACACAAAATAATTAAACACCACCAAAATAAAAACCAAACCCGAAAACTCTTGATGGTCCGGGTTGGAACAAAAAAAACATGACTAGCAGGTTGAGGGAGGTGATTCTCCCCCTCTGCTCTGATGAGACTGCACCTGGAATACTCTGTCCAGCTCTGGGACCCCCAACACAGGAAGGATATGGGCCTGTTGGAACAAGCCCAGAGGAAGCCATGAAGATCAGAGGGCTGAAGCACTTCTCCTGTGAAGACCAACTGAGAGAGTTGGTGCTGTTCAGCCTGGAGAAGAAAAGGCTCCAGGGAGACCTTTGAGCAGCCTTCCAGTACCTGAAGGGGCTGCAAGACAACTGGAGAGGGTCTTTTTACATGAGCGTGGAGTGACAGGACAAGGGGGAATGGCCTCAGAGCTGAAAGAGTTAGATCAGATATTAGGAAGAAATTCTGTGGTGTGAGAGTGGTGAGGCACTGGAAGAGGTTGCCCAGAGAAGCTGTGGATACCCCATCTCTGGAAGTATTTAAGGCCAGGCTGTGGCCTTGAACTTAGAGCAACTTGGTCTAGTGGAAGGTGTCCCTGCCCATGGCAGGGGGTTTGGAATGAGATGAACTTTAAGGTCCCTTCCAACACAAACCTTTCTATGATTCTGTGACTCTAAATTTGCTGCTGAGTGCAATGCTTTATGAAACAAATTGTTTAGCATATAAAGCTGCAGTTAGTCCTTGGAATAGGAGGAACTTCACTTGGCAGCGAATGTGTTTTGGTTTAAGATTCCTTTGACATGTTTTTGACTTGAAGCCTGTGGAAATTCTTCTTTTGTCCCACTATATTGGCACAGCCTGTGTGTTTTGGATTGGTGTGAGCCAAATGGAGGGAACGAATACCCCAATTCAACTGTCCTCTTGAGAGACCTGTCTGCCATTTGTCAGGTGTTAGAAGGATGTAGGTGCCTGTAAGAGAGGGAAGAATCTGAAGCTGCTACTGGTGCTGAGCCAGTGCCAAGGAACTGTGGTAGAGAGATAGTGGTGCTGGAGGCCTGCAGCAGTGCCCTTACCAGGTTATTCTGTGAGAGCCGGTTTGCATTCCTGCAATTTATGTTGCTCTTGTATCTGTGAAATAGACTTATTCCTTATCTTGGAGAGCACCTAGAGCTCTTCTGCAAAGTGGGCACTGAGTTGACAGCTGTGAAATCTACTTGGAGGTGATTTTGCTAAACAGCTTAAAACAAAAAATGGAAAAGTGTGATGCACTGCTACCGCAGATTGTGATCTTGAACAGTTTTATTTGCTGGGTATTTGCTGTCTGCTGCCATTAAAGTACAAATGAAGGGGATTTTTCTGCTTTGCTTTTGAATCATTCATCTCCATCTTTGTTTCACTTTTTTGAAATTATGTTAATTTGGGAGATTTAAAGTATTAGTTTAATTTCTTTGCAGTCTTAGTCTTGTGCTGCCTCTTGTATAGAACACTTTCTTCTTATGCCTCCACTGATAGAGGAAATTTGCTGATTGGTGCAGCGACCTTGAATCAGCCTGTCAGACACAGAAGTGAACACAAATAGGAAGTACTTGACCCACTGCTTCTACTAACCACAGTAGGCTCCTACTGCAGTTACAGGTTTTTTGAAGTTACTTGTGAGTTATTTGACAAGTACAGCGGTATTTCATTATGATCCATGAAGTAGGAAGATTAAAAGGAAAAAATATTCCAGAGTGTGATCATAAAATGGTTTTAAATTTGACCAAGTCAGAGAATTTCTGTAGGCACTTGGCACTTCTCTCTGGTAGAATGTAAAAATGGAGAGGTGAAATCATGTTTTTTACGGCTGCCACCTTCTTCCCATCCTGCTCATTCTGATTCTGGAACAAGAGCAACACCACTACTGAAGTGCTTCTTCACTCTTTTAGGTTTTTTTGTTGTTGTTATTTTAAAATCTCCTCTAATTCTTTGTTACTGGAAGTGTGCTGCTTGCTTCTTTTTTAAATGCAGAAAATCCTCCATACCCTTTCAGGAAAGGTTATTTTGGTTTATGTTTGTAGGCTTCTTGCCTTTGTCCTTGGCTTTTGCCAACAGCTCCTGACGTGGACAGGGCCTGCAGAATGCAGTCATTGTTACGTGCAGGCTGCAACTGTGCAGGCCAAATAGTTGGGAATGGCTTAAGCCATGTGGATATCCAGGATCAGAGAGCTGCATCTGTAGATAACTCTGTGGCAGGGGGTGGCTGCCCAGTGGATAGAAATTCTGAATTATTGATGTTACTTGGTAATTAATTTGAAAGGCTAATACTAAAGTTAGCTTAATGACAGAGGGAGAAGTTGTATTTAAATTAGCCAGCGGGATTAGACAGCGGGTTTTGTGTAGTAGGAAAACACTGTTTCTATTCTGAGACTTGTCCTTTCAAATAAACAAGCTGAATGCAAACCAGCTGGGATGTTTGTGTGTCTATGGCTACATTTAAAGTTCCTTTTATAACTGAAGAAAATAGGGTATGGAATAGATTCTTCTTCTTCCCAAAGCTTATCATTAATTCATCACTTCCTTGCAGTCAGGCTGTGATTAAAGCTGAAAACCCAAAGTAGCTGTGGAGGCAGAAGCCGGTGTCCAGGCAGAGTAGGGGAGTGTTGCTGGTGATGTTCATTGATTGTCCCCTAATGTGTTTCAGTTCAAATAAGCTTTTGGCAAAAACTTTATAAACTGTTTAAGCCATTCTCATTTGTTTTGACTGGGGACTCCTCAGGTCATAGGAGTTCTACTGCGGGGCAGTGACAGGTAACTCCATGCAGTGACCTTTTCCACTAACACAGTTTGATCTGAAAAGAAAAAATCCAAAGCTTAAGTTGCAGAATTATGACTGATGTTAACAAAACCCATGCTGAGTTCCTTTTGGGTTGTGGGATTCTTTGCAGACCCCGAACTCTGCAAGTTTGTCCTCAAACAAAATCAATCATGAATGCCAGGAACTGAATTTCTCGACCCTTTGTCTTCTGCTATCTGAAGTCTGAGTGGAGGCTGGCTAAAGGATAGAATCAAAGCCATAACCTTGGGAAGTGCACAGTTAAGCTTAACGTTTCTCCAGAGTGTTTAGAACAAATGTTATTCTTGCAGTTTTCATCTCCCCTCTGCAACAGCATGCGACAGCTTCAGAAACCTCAGCAGTTGAGCCTCTGCATTCAAGTGTCTTTTCCAATTTCACAGTGTCTCTAGTTTTATGAACACGTAAGGAGAAGATATGCATACCCCACACCACAGCACACAGGTCACTGATTTTTTTCCCTGCCTCTATTTCCCCTCCCTTTACTGGCTGGAATTGAATATTATCCATCCTATGTTTCCAGTTTGTGCTCTATTTATAGTTTGACTGAAGGTGAGAATTTTCCTAGTCCCAGGAGTTTGTTTTACACTCTTTCCAGCCTGGCAGCTCGAAAGCAGTCTGCCTATTTCAGCAGTGGTATTAGAACACACTCTCTGAGTTCATCTGGTGTTGCCTCGCCCTTTATGATACCTAGATACCAAAACCCCTTAAGTCTGTAGTTATAGGAGGAGGGTGAGGTGTTGGCCCAGCATCCTGCAGTGTGAACTGCTCTAGCCACCAGCTATTAAATAAAAAGATCTTTTGACATGCTGCATAGGTCCATTTAGCCCTGCTGTTGAATTCTAGGAGGAGAGGGGTTGTTTTTACATTGTACTGGGGCTTTGGTCATACATTGCACAGGATAAATGAAGCTGATCCTTTTTATTTTCTGCATAGTTATTTCAGTCACACTGTTGGGTTGGCTGCTATACAGCAAGCTTTGCAGACATTTAAACACTCTTTTAAAAAATGTTTATCTGAGAGATACCAGATGCCTTGGGTTTCATCCAAGGCTTCCATAGAAAGTCATAAGCACAGAGAAAAGAAATTATTTCCGATGTGTTTCTTAGCTGATTACAATACTGCTTCTGTTCTCAGACTGGTGCTCCTGGTGACCCCGGTATAGGTGACAGAAAGTGACTTAGCATGCATGAAGACTCAATTTGCTCATTTCCATATGACTTGTGGAATGACCTACTTTGCCTTGAGCTCTCTTTGTTGTTTCAGCAAATGTGCTGGGTGTGCAGGTCTGGGCTTTCATTAAGATGCCACTCAGCTAGTGCTGGGTTTTGTGGTTTCTGTTTTTAAGCAAGCTCTCATATCTTTAGTTTAAATTAACTTACTTAAAAATATTTGTGAAAAAAATTATTTTTTTTTCTTGATCTTTTTCAGATTATCAGAGGTTGATGACTGTGGCAGAGACCATCACAGCACTAATGTTTCCATTTCAGTGGCAGCATGTGTATGTTCCTATCCTTCCAGCATCCCTCCTTCATTTTCTAGATGCTCCAGTCCCTTACCTCATGGGCTTGCACTCTAATGGGCTGGATGACAGATCTAAGCTGGAACTTCCTCAGGAGGTGAGAGGAGCTCATCTTGATTGGTTGAATATTGTCCATGACTACGAGGGGAGTGAGAAATGAGCCAAAACACTAGTGCTAACTCTTAACAGCTACTGTCAAGTTGTTGCTGGCTCTGGTTTGGGATTGGTCTTTATTCCTTGGAGATGCTGAGGAAAATCTGGTGAAATAGATAGAGCCTGCTTTTGAAATTGTGTGCTCTGATAAAATTAAACTGTAATTTTACAGGAATTGATGCATTGGGCTTACGGAAAGAACATTTATTTTTTTTTTCTGCAAAACTTAGCCCTGTAATGCTGGGAAGTGCAAGGAAGTGCAGTGTGAATTCCCCAGCTGTGGCCAAAAGGCCACACAACTGCTTCTGTGAGATGGTGAGTGAGCAGAGAGCTCTGCTGGCTTCAGTGCTGTGCTGGTTCCTGCCTGCACGGGGTTAGGCTGGGTTTCACTGCACTGAATTTCTGAGCTGGGGTTGGCTTATATGGACCCAGCCTGCCAGGTGTCTGCACAGAACTGTTTCAGATTTTCTCCAGAACGAATGCTTCAGTCTGCAGCAAAATGTCAGCGTACACTGGAGCAAACTGGTCCTAACTGGGGTGGGGCTGAGGAAGTCCTCCCTTGTAGCAGCAACCCCTGTGTAAAGGAGAAACAAATGGTCTGTAAAGGTTCTGCAACTCCTACATGGGGCTGGGACTATGGTCAGACTTCACAGAGGTTGTTTTCTTTTTATCCCATTGTTCGCTTCACAAGTACTCTTTTGAGGGAAGTGCCAAGAGAGTTTAAGAGCTGGTTGTGAGGATCAGGGGACCAAAAGTAGCTGAGCACTACCCAAGGTAGCAGAGGAAATGTCCAGCCCCTGCTACGATCTGCTCACTTGGAGGTGTAACTTTGCAGGGGAGGAACTGGGTAAACCATGGGAACACCCCGCTTAGAGGCACTGGTACTATTCTCTAACCTCTGCTGTTTTCTCTGACTGTTTTCTTGTATTACCATTTACATTTCTGGGAAAGCAGAAGCATGTCAGACACCGGGTTTCGTGGTGGTGGTTTTTATTTTCAATATCAGGCAGTGCTGCAACATAGCTTGACACAAAAAAACCCTGTTTTTAAAAAAACTGCGTGAAATTAGACAAGATATTTTTGTGAACCTCCAGTCTGGTCTCCATGCCAACACTGCTCTTTTTCTCAAATCCATATGCTGGTAGTTTTCATTTGTTTTTCCTGGCAAGTTCAAAGGAAAACTTTTTTCAAACTGTGTTATTTTTTAATGAAAACTGAAGTATTTAATCTCTTGGTTTCCTTCTTTTCTCCATCCCCTCCCCCCTTTTCTTTCAATGGCGTAATTAATAACACAATAGTGTATGTTCTTGCCATGAAAACAGTTTGTTGCTTTGGTTTACTACATTTTTACAAAATTTTGACTGTACTGACAGGTCTAATTAATGTAGTTAGTACACTTTTTAGAGAGAATAGCTGATGAAGTAAAATGTATGTGTGCATATGCATGTTAATATGCACCATGGATGTTTTCACTGTTACCACAAGCTTCTGAAAGACTGCCCTCCTTTTGTAAAGAACTTCTTCATTTTAAAATCACTGTAATACTTCCAACTAAATGAACTAATTTCAACTTCAAATAGGTATTTCAATTATTTAAAAGGTAAATAGTTTTTGAAGAGTTTTATGAGCTTATTTTTGGGGTTTTTAAAGGAAGGCAGTTGATCTATTTTTAGATGTCAAAAATTAAATCCAAGTACTATTAAAGGATAATCTGACACCTCGGTTTACATTTTGTTTTAGAGGTATCCTTTTATGAATATGGAGGAGTAGATTTTTAATAGCACCTCACAGAGATCAGAATTGTCTGGGAGGGGAGGACACACAGGACAGATCGCAGCAGCAGCGTGCCTGTGTGGTGGAATTTGCTGGAAGACTTGTCCTTCTGAAGCTTCAGCTTTTCTTGTTCTTATTTGAAGAGTGAGCTCTTAAAACTTTGTACATGATGAGTATGACTTAGTCTGAGAAATCCCCTTGGCAGTCACTGCTGAGTAAGGACTGTTAAACTCCTCGGCCCTGCGGGCTGGGAATGTAGTTATGCCACAGAAATGGACTTGAGACTTTAAGTCTCTTAGTAAATAATTAAGAAGTTATCCTATACCAATAGATTGGCTTATTCGAGAGGCAAAGTAGCCTGGGAAGAACAAGAGCTCACTGCTGTTGAGACTTTCATTGTAGAGAGTTTGCTTGAAAAAACCAACTAACCAACCAAAAAAAACCCAACCAATTAAAACCTCACAAAACAAACACTCCCCCCACACTCCCATCACCCCAGCAAAACCTTTGTTGCAAAAAGAAATAGATGTATAATTTTAAAATGTAAAGCAGAATTCAAAGTGCATGCTCTGTGAAGTTATTGGTCACTGTAAGCATTTCTCATATTAATAATTTAATCAGTCATCTTTAATGTAGTTAACATTGCAGATTACAGGTTCATCTCAAAACTACTTTGCTTTATGATTAGGCTTTCAGATACCCTTCACTTTAAGTGCCAAAGGAGCTCTACACTTAATTCTTGACAGAAACTGCCAAGGAACATGAATAATGTGTTGTTGTAGAACAGCAGAAGAGGGCATATGGTTCCATTATTTGTACTTCAATAAAGACAAATTTATCGTCAGTGACAGAAGGGATATTAATATTTAACATTGCTTGTCTCTAAAGTTTGAAATGTATATGAACCTTTATGAAATCATCAGGGTTATATGAGGAACTCCTCTAGGCTCCTGATTCATACATACAGTGAGTATCAGAATTTTCCTCACTTATTCCAAAGGGTGTATAAAGAGCTGTTCTGTGTTATAATTTATTCTGAGTTCTGCAAAAAAATTTTTTTTCATTGTCTTGGAACTGCATAAACTGCATCTCTGTTGCTAATCTATTTACATGGATGTGTGGGACAGCTGCTGTTAAAGAAAGCAGTGTCTAAATTAGACAAGGGCCAAAGAGGTGAGCTTTGAGAGAAAATCTAATTAGTGCTTCTCAGTTGAAGGGCATTGTGGAAAAATATAATATTGCTGTCTAGCATACCATGGATATCTCAGTGTCACTGTAGACTTCTTGATTTTGGTTTTATAATGAAGTTTTAAAAAGACTGATTTGCCTTGCTCGAAGGGTTTTAGTCTAATACATGGGAAAATACTGTCTGTCCCAACTTGTTTAGGTTTGACTTGGCTTAAGGCTTGCACACATATGCCATAAGGCTTGTTTTGGTTTGCTTGTGGTGGCATTTGGTCCCACATTTGGTCACACCTGGTGCTTCAAGGCAATGCTTTATCCTGGGAGCAGGGAAACTCACTTGTATCCTAGAAGTTAATGGTTTGTCAGGTGATGATTAAAATCTTCAACAAAACAGCTGCATTAGTACAAAATTCAAGCTTAGACTATCCCTTGGGTACATCAGAAAGCAGTCCCTAATGGAGACCTCATTGGAGTCCACCAATGGCTTGAAGACCTGACTTCAAGCCCAGTAAAACTGTAGAGAATTCTCGAGGCTCCCTGTAGGGTTGAGTTTTCTTGTGCGTGTCAACAATGCAGGGCTTGTTCTCATACATAGGGCTGCTCTGCTGAGGGCTCTCTGTGTTTGCAGGAGCATCCTTGTGGTTTCACTGGTAGCTGCCTCAGAGGCTTGTAAGGAACCCAGAAGAGAAGGTGAAGGACGGGAGAAGCGATGCTAGAACGAGGTGCTGGAGATAGCAAAGGGGAAGGGAGGAACGTGTGGCTGTTTCAGATGTTGCTGGCAAGAGTGTGGTTTGTTTATCAGTAAAATTGATCCAAAAAGTGGTTTGACTTAGCGTTCTGGCAGATCACAAACCTAGCAAGTGCTAAAGTAAGATCATTTTTCTGATGTGCCTTTGCATTTCCTTTTAAAGAAACTTTTGAAGTGCTGTAGCAATATATTTTTAACGAGCAACTTAATGTGGACCATTTCATGGCACTGGATTTGCATGTCTGTCTCGCCACTCTAATTTAGGAGAATGGTAGAAATTGAAATCATTTTCAGTGAAAATAAGCAATGCTGAGTTTTCCAGCACTGGTTAAATCAAACAAATGTAGTGTATGATTAAAAAGCTTGGATTTAGTGAAATGGTCGCAAAGGTCTTGGGCAGTAGCTTTTTCTTTTAGAGAAGTTTAAAGATTTTAAAACCCAAAATCCAGTTCTTTGCTAAGTATAAGACTGATTATGTATATTCTCAGTGTTTTTATTTCAACAACTAAAAGGATGTTATTCCAGTCTAAATCTTAACAGACTCTGTGGGTTTTATATGTTGTTTTAGAAGATAAGGAAGATATCCTGAAAAGCTTAGCTTGATACTAGCACATTTAGACCAGACTGACCAAGATAGTTGTATAAAGATAATCACTGCTTTGTATGCATTCTCAGGCTGTCTGCTGATTGATACATGCTAGATAATACTGCAGATTTATTGACAGACTTAAGTTTTATGTTCTCCTGTATTTCAGTGTTAAACAGCAAGTTGAGGAGTTTCTGAAAGCTGCAGCAACTTTAAGCTGTTCTGTCACAAATTCTGGGTTGACATGAAGAGGAGTAGTGCTGAGAATGAGTGCTGAAGGTCACATTTACTTGCAGGAATGACACAGGAGCATCCTTTAGAATTTAGGACCACTGTAAACATGCTTTCCACGAGTCAGCTGTGTGTGTATAAGCTTGCATAGCCATATTTGCTGTGTGTCATAAGAAGTGGGTGATCGTTTGCAAGATTGGGACCTAATGCACAAAGGTGATACAGGCTGTAGGTGAATGGGTTTTAGTTTTTCAGTGCTGTATTCAAGCAGAAGCTGTCCTTTTGGCAGCACCTAAATAGTTTCTTTCTGTACTTTTGAACAGAGCTGAAAGGGAGGATGTGGGCTTGATGCAGGCCTTGCTAGATCTGCCTGGGGCTTTGGCCCTTATTGTACTTGGTGTCAAACTAAAGAATTGCAATTGTCCTTTGCCTTTGGAATCCATGGGTGTGGTCCAGGCCTCACTGAGCCCATGGTAAGTGGTGCTGTTGACTTCAGGAAGCAGGCTTTGGCACCATAAACATTTGTTTACTTAGATCCACGTTTCTAAGGTTTGTAAGACTTTGGCCTGGACACCCTGTTACTTGTGATGATAAAAGTACACGGGAAGGACAAGTTTTTAAATTAGCATGTGTCACCCTTGTTCCTTACTGTAGTGTCTCAGAACGTTTTATTGTAGATGATGTAATGTGTCCTCACTTGTGACAATCTACTGTTGAAGTGGGGTTTTCTTTTGATCAGAAAACCGAGATCTCAGCAACAAATAACGGAATATTTGACTGTTCTAGAGACCTGAAATACCTAGCAGCTACCTTAAGGATGCTCTTTCAATTATATCTCTATTTATACATGTTGCCAAGTGTCTTGTCTTTATATAATTTTAGTTTTGCATGTGTAAAATAATGATCAGTGTATCCACAAGGGTTTACATACAGAGCTATCAGCTGTTCACAGCCCTCTCAATTGTGCTGTCTCCAGAGACAAAAAAACTAAACCTTTGTGATTGAAGAACTCTTTTTATTTTTCTACTTTGTATACTTGCCCAGTTCCTAGCATGCAAAATGCTTTGGATGGCTGTGATTTCATAAATAGTAAGTGCCATTTCATTTTTCATGGTTTTTAAGGAGGGGGCTCCTCTGTCCTCACTGGTATTCAGTTCTGTAGTGTAGCAGCATAGTGAGAGGTACTGTTCTGGTGTCTGTTATTTGTGGTCTGTTTACTTCAGATTTAATTTATTTTGGTACCTTTTCAAGGGCTTGTGCAGTGAGGTCTCTGCCATTTCTGTTCCCTGAAGAATATGACCTTTTGGGAAGTGTGCATGTTCTTGAGGTTTACCTCAAGTCTCCCTAACTTGAGAGGCTAAAACCATCTACTGAATCTTCTCTGCTTTTGCTCCTCTAGATAATCCTCTATTGTATGTGTTATTAACCAGGCACTGGATAACTGTAGAGCGTCCCTGAAAATATTCTTTATGCTCTTTGAAGTATTGCTTCACATTAGCTTTTCCTCCTATCCCCCAATGTTTCCATATAGAGCACTTTCTGGGAAATGTAATAGTAAGTTGCATCTTAAGCAATCATCATTAGTAGCTCAGAGTATTTAAACCATGTGTATTGCTCTTAGAGAGGAACTCTGCAGAAGGGGAATTTAGCTTTTGGAAGAATTAACCAAATGAGTCCAGATACTTACAAGCACTATTATCAAGCATTAAATTTGGTTTTTTCTTCCATTTGCAAGGCATTTAATTTCAGTGTGAACACTAGAATTTCTACATTGGTAAGGTTAGTTTGGTTCCTTTTAGGCCAGCTGCTTTTTAGCTACAACCAAGCTTAACCAAGAGTGAAGTTTTCTGCAGAATCTATGCTAAGGTAGATAATCCAAAAGAGAAGAAAAGTTGAATGGCATCAATTAAGGAAAGTTGTAAAAGGAAGTAATACAGTTTAACTGTTGGAAGAGTTTCTCAGTGAGCCTGCCTTGCCATTTTGCAGAGTGTTTGAGACAAATTAAATGCCTTTTGTTTTTCCCTCAGCACCAATTGGTAGGCATTGTGCCTGATTTCAAAGCTTTATTTCTCTCATGTCTTGAAGTACTTACAGTGTTCCTGATAAATATCAGCTGACTGGACTTCTAATCATCACAGAACTATGTGTGTGTATAGTAGGAGTCTCTCCTGAATTCAGGTGCTTACTTGAAGCATGGGAGCTCTTGCATACATGGTGTCCCTTTGGACTGAATCTTTGTCTGAATGGGAAGCGGGTGCACACTGAGAGCATTCCCAGCCCAGGGCTTGGGCTGCCTTGCTGGGTGGGCACACACACCATCTGCAGTCTTGGAGCAATGCTGATATTGGGGAAATTTAAACCATGACACCTCCCCTATTTAAAAAGAAAAATTTTTTCTAGGGTGCACCAGAAACTGTTTCAGAATCAATGTCTTAATTCTCTTTATTGACCTTGGATTCTTTTGTAACACCTAATTCAATTTGTGACTTAATTTACAATAAAGGATCCTACAAGAGATATTAAATTGTTTTATATGCATTCCTTTGAGCATAACAAATCAATCCCAGTATTAAAATGTTAAAACATCAGGAATTCTGCTTACCTGTGTAACTGTGGGTAATACTATAGCAGAGCATAAATTAGACTTGGTCATGCAAAGTTCTGTGCAAACTGATGTGATGTGTCCCGTGGGGTTCTGCATTAAGAATTCTTTTTTCAATTTTAATGTCGGAAGTTCAATAAGATATTTGTATTTTAAGAAGAATTGACACCTAACTCTTTTTCTGTAGAAATGCCTTGAGAGTTTAACCTGTGACAAGTACTAAATGTATGTTTTCACAACAGTTCACTTAAATGAACAGGTCTCATCAGGCACAGCTTATTCTAGTCTACCTGTGGTCAGTTCCACAGCAAAATCCTACCAGAAATCCCTACCAAAATCCTACCACAACTACTTTGTCTTTTCTGGGCTTCACTGCTTGTGTACGTGGCTCTGATTTCTGGGATTATTTATCATTCATTACATGTGAGGTTAATCTCCTACAATTGTTTCTTTCCAATTAAATTGTGCGAGTGCTTCCATCCTTCTACACTTCCTGAATCATAGGAAATAGTTGGAGATGTGTCAGCTCTTGTAGACTTGATAAGTACTTTGCTGTAAAGCTGTAGTGAGATCTGAGTTCAGGTGTGCCTCCTGGAATAATGTAGTGAAGTTGGGTTGAAAGTACCCAATAATCTGAGTGAAGGGGTTTTGTATATCAGGGATGAAACAGAAGGAGTGACAGTCTGTGTTAATTCTTTAGTGAAGAAAAACTGAAATGCTTCTACAGAAAAGCCAAGTTTCTTCTCTATACTTAACTTTACAAGAAGATTTCACACATGAATGGGGTTCTTGCTGTGACGTGTGTAGTTATGTAATGTCTTGAAACAGATTTTTGCAATGCAGAAACCAAAAGGGGAACCTTCTCCCTTGCCAAATACAGAGTGAGCTAAACCTTGAAAGATGCAGAACTTCTTTTGATCTTGCTGTGGAAGCCACATAGGTAGTTTTTCTCCCTCCCCCCCCGGTCTTTTTTGATGGTAAATTAGTTGGAGATTGGAACAGAAAAGCAGAATGGAAACTAGTTCAACTCATTTTTCCTTTTGGAAACAAACTTACTCATTCAAAGAATTGCCTTAGTTCTCAGGTTGCTTACAAAAAAAGAAAACTTTATTGTAACTTCTGCAATATCAGCACACCTTTTAGAAGTTGCCAAATCTTTTAGAGAAGTGGACTGATAATTTGAGTAACAGGCAGTCACCTGCATGTGCACATGTGTAAAAGAGACTTGCAAATATCCCGTAGTTAAAATTTAGCTGTATGTGTATGAAAAAAGCCATATCTGTACCTAAGTTATGCTGCAATCTCTTTTGCACCTAGTAAACAACTGTAAAATGAGTCTTCTTTCTTAACTACCTCCTTGAAAGACCTGGAAATGTGGGTCTTGTGCTGCTTTCTTCAAAGCCAACCAGTCAGTTGGGTTATGTTGAGGCAACTGTGTTTTACAAAATAACCAAACAAATGCAAATGTATTTGAATCTTTAAATAAGCACAAACCCCCAAAGATGAATAAAACGTTACCCCCGTGCTCAGTGATGTTATAATGGTATCCTGTTCTAAATTAAATTCCAGGCCAACCTGTGCTTTGTGGATGTAGACAACCATTTCATCGAGCTGCCAGAAGACCTACCCCAGTTTCCAAATAAACTTGAGTTCATTCAGGAAATTTCAGAGATACTGATGGCTTTTGGAATTCCACCTGAGGGAAACCTTCACTGCAGTGAAAGTGCCTCCAAGATGAAGAGCCTCAGAGCATGTGACCTGGTTTCTGATAAAAGAAATGGGAACATAGCAGGATCACCTCTGAATTCCTATGAGCTGCTAAAGGAAAATGAGACTATTGCAAGACTCCAAGCACTTGTTAAAAGAACAGGTGTGAGTCTAGAAAAGGTAAGGTATGAAATTCTCTGCACTGTTTCTGGACCTGTAGTAGCAGATGGGCTGAAGTCATGGTCCAAAGATGCTGTTTGTCTGTCTTCGCTAGAAAGAACGTTATATTAAGATGTTCACAAACCTTGTGAACACCTGTAGAGACAAGGGCAAGCTTAGGGGAGAGAGGGAATGGGAATTAACCCTGCAGCATCTGTGAAAACCTTTGCTGTCCTCCATGTATTTCTTTGCCAAGATGATCTGTTTAAAAATAACACCTTGCCTTATTCTTGGTTTTAAAATTTATTCTAAATTGGCACCACTTCATTATGATTTAAGTGGCTAAAATTGTCATCCAAATAATTCTGAAGTTTGAATCTGATCTGGGTTTGTATAGATATCTCTCTCTTTGTGTGTAGAATTTTTTTTTTTTTGCTTGTATATAATATGTTTGTCATAGGGATACTGTGATGCTTTTTTCTGGTTGATGTTGTAAAGTGCATTAGTGTCTGATTCCCAGGAAATGGACATGCACAGCTCATAGTGATCATGACTGTATTTTTTGAGTGATCAGAACTGGAGGGGGAGGGGCTGAAAGTTGTGGCCCTTTTTGAATAAAAGGTACTACCTGACAGACCACTGTGGGTTTTTTGAGCCTTTGTGGAATGGAGTGAAGACTGTCTAAGCAAAGGTTTTATTTCTTGCATGTTTAAATTAGCTTGACCAGCTCTTCATTGCTGAGGCTGATTCCTACCTGTGTGATTGCAACTTGGGGTACAGATGGGGCCAGAGACAGAAATTGTGTGACCTGAAGTAGGTTGGGGGTAGAGCTGCTTTATGGGCTGGGAGCTATGAGAAGCAGCACTTGGTTACTAGGCAGGATTAGATGATCAAATCTGCTCTGTTCCTCTTCTCAGGTTTTTCTTTTGCCTTGTTTTCTTCATGTTCGGGGGAGAATTGGTAAAAGGCTTTTGTTCTTTTGCTGAATGGATTGGGAAGTGATTGGGAAAGTACAGGTCTTTTTAATTTCTTGTAAATTTTTGCACATTTGGGCCTCATCTGCTCTGTACTCCCTGAAGTCCCATTTTACCACCTTTTTTTGTTATGATAGGAGTGTATAGATTTTAACTGTCAAAATTTTCCCAAGTATAAAAATCCTACCTTAATGCCAGATACCAAATTAATGAAGAATGTACTACTCATGAGCTACACTTGGAAGAAAGGGGTGAGTAGCACAGCTCACTAGCAGAGAGCATGGCTGTATTTATTTTAGCTGGCTCTGGGCTGCTATAGCCAAGCTGCTTTAAGCAGTGTGGGACAGCTGCAGCCCTGCATCATTGTGCAGATGTTGTAAGCTCTAGAGATTATGACTAATTATGTGTGGTGGTGCCTTTTATCGTAATTAACAAAGGCAGGGGTATCAAATGTGTATTCAAACTACTGCTTGAATGCTCGTAGCTTTGGTTATTTTTTTCCCTAGATACTCAACTCCTATCAAAACTAATGTGAATTGAATATCTCAGTCTCATACTGCTGTTTTTATAAATCTTAGCCCACATCTTAACTGAAAATGAATTTTTCTTTCATTAAAAATTACTCTGGGGGGTTGTAACGATGAATTGTGGGTTACGCTGCTAAGGACTTAGGTTATGGGAAATGGTTACTAGACATGCACAGCTGCTTGTTACTGTGCATTTCTGTCTTCATTTGAAAGCTGGTATATATTAAACTCTACCACTACTAAACCTGGACTTATTTTACACCAGCAGACATATGGATTTGCCTAATATGCTGGGTTTTAGGGTTAGTAAAAGCTCCTAAAAAGCCTATGCAGGTGATCAAAGGGTAAAAGAAAGTAAATTAATATATGGCATGTATATGATTGTTATTTAACTTTTTAAAATCCAAAGTATATAAAATGTAATAATACATAATAATAAAATGTTTTGATGTTGCTGTTTTCTTACAGTAGTTGAAACAGTAATTTTTTTAATTGAAATGTTGACTTGAGGAGTAGCAGCTGAATGGCAGATTAAAATCTTGTACACCCAGAATACCTGACAAAGCAGCAACACAAATTACTTGTGTGATCCCTTACTTTCTCAGTTGGAGGTGCGAGAGGAGACCAGTAGCAAAAAGGATCTGAAAATTCAGTGTGATGAAGAAGAATTCAAGATTTACCAGCTGAACATTCAAATTCGTGAAGTTTTTGCCAACCGCTTCACACAAATGTTTGCGGATTATGAAGTATTCGTCATTCAACCCAGCCAGGACAAGGAATCTTGGTTTACAAACAGAGAACAGATGCAAAACTTTGATAAAGTAAGTTGTAATAAGAAGGTATGTCAATGTAAGAAGTAAAAAAGTACTCAGATGTAGGGCTTTGTTTATTGGGCCATCAAATGGAAAACAGTACTGTCAAAATTGTAATTTCTTCCATAAATTTCAGTGTTCCAAGAGAAGTGATATCTTACATGTTATGTGGAAAAATATATACATATGCAGACTTAGAGAGCTAAAGGTACTCTTTTAAGGATACTGGAGAAAAATACAGCTTACTCTAGAAAAATAGCTTACAAAGCGTCACTTTAGGGCTGACCTTTACATTAAGGTTAAATATTACTACCGGAAACTGAGTTTTAACCAGAGAAATTGCTGAATATGGTAATTAATTAAGTCATGACCCCAAATAATGCTTATGTACCTGTGTACATGTGTACCAAATGTATTCCTAGCTCTTTTCTAGGGAAACATAAGGCTCAGTTCTTCAGATTTTTGTACTGCTTTCTTTACTGGAGATCAGATTTTTGTCAGCAGGATAGTTCATGTGGGTGAAGACTATGTTGCAGCACTGTCTGCTGGAACATTAAGCTGATTCCCATCAAATCATATGAAATGATTCTGATCAGCTTCATAAGCTTTGAGCTCAGCCAGAAGTACATAATATGCACACCTGTGGTATTGTTGGTGAGGTTTGCTGGGATTCTGTTGAAATTTTTATAAAATTAAGGAAAAGCTAAAATCACAGTTTATCAGTTATTGTGCTGTATAGGACGTGATTGTCCTGAGACTGAAGATTTCATACGGACTGCCTGTTTTGGGGATAGAACTGGTGTGTGTGATAAAACTAGGCCTTAAGTGGCACCAAAGCACTCTTAATATGCCCTTGTTTAGGAAAATTGATGCTTTTGGGGGATATCTCTCTCTGCAGACTCCCAAAAACACTCTTAACTCTTCTTATCTCTTAGGCATCTTTCTTGTCGGACCAGCCTGAACCTTACTTGCCTTTCCTCTCGAGATTCCTGGAGACCCAAATGTTTGCATCCTTTATTGACAATAAGATTATGTGCCATGATGAAGATGATAAAGACCCTGTTTTGAGAGTATTTGATTCTAGGGTGGATAAAATTAGGCTGCTGAATGTCAGGACTCCGACTCTGCGCACATCTATGTATCAAAAGTGCACAACCATTGATGAGGCTGGTAAGAGTAATGAGGCACTTTCTTGACACTTAGTGCAACTAACCACTGGTATTTGTTGTAGATATTGGGGTTAAAGTTAAGTAATGATTCATGCTTTGAACCCCCCCCAAAAAAATAGACCAGAATAGCTGAGGTGTAAAGCTTAAATGTTATATTGGAAGTTGAGATGCGAGATGAAATTAATGTAAAGTTTAATTGAACTCAGCTGTTTTCCTGCATGCTTTGTGTGTGAAAAATGAGCTTAAGAAGATAAACATTTTTCTTCCTTTGATGGCAGTTCTTTGATGTCTAAGACACTCTTGTACTAGTGTACCTGTTGTAATCAGTAAGAGATTTCCACCTATCCCATTGAATTTGAGACCCACTTTTAATTGAGGATGTGTGATTACAGATACATGTCTGATTAAAACACCTTTAAAAAATTAACTTTCTTGCCGTTTCAGAGAAATCTATTGAATTAAGGCTAGCGAAAATAGATCATACAGCAGTCCACCCACACTTGCTGGACATGAAAATTGGACAAGGGAAATACGAGCTTGGATTTTTTCCCAAGCTTCAGTCTGATGTTTTATCCACTGGACCAGCAAGCAACAAGTGAGTAAGCTGGGGCAACAGGTACTGAATCTTGGCAAGATCTGTAGAATGGCACTAAAGCAGAGATACTAGAAAGCAAAGTTTGTTTTTTTTATCAAGTGGGGGCATATCAGATGATGTGGGTGGTGGGGGTTTTGCTGTGTCTCTTTGGGTTTTTTCCCTTTTTTGAATCTGGACTTCCTGCAGCAAATTTACTTAAGAAAGCCCTATTATGTTTGAGATGATGGTTGGTGTACTTTGAGTTACTCAGAATTACTGTCGTTATAAAACCAGATCCCCTTATTATATCTCAGGTAGGAGCTAGTATATGTTTTAGGATATTTTTTTATAAAAGCTTTAAAAGTGGAGGAAAAAGGCTTAAATTGTCACTGGATATCATAAGAGAATGGAAAAACACAAAGCAAGTAAATGTTATCTCATATTCTGAAATATTTTGATTGCCCAAATATCCGATTCCTCTACAGAGATTCTTTTTGTTGTATTTGCAGCTGCACTTTGGCTGATGTAATTGATGTCAACATGTTCAGTATAGGATTAACTAGAAACTTCTTACTACCTCTACCCTTCACCTGACTCCTGACATTTGCTTAACAATATTCCCCATCTGTAGGTGGACAAAGAGAAATGCTCCTGCACAGTGGAGGCGGAAGGACAGACAGAAGCAACACACGGAGCACCTGCGTCTTGACAATGATCAGAGAGAGGTGAAAATTGTTCAGCTATAGAGATATGATTTTTTTCTTGCCTAATTGCCTGAACAATACTCTGTAACCTTAATGAAATGTCTAGACAGTTACTTACAGTCCATGTCTGCTCTGCCTTAGGTGTATTTAATACAAATAGAGTTCCTGGTCCTTAGCAGACCAAAATACTTAGTTTTTTTTATTATAAAAGTTGTGTCATTTTTACCCCCTCTCAGGACAAAATTATTTCATTCCACGTGTAGGAGAGTTCCCTGAAAATATAATTACATGCTTTAAAGGTGTTTTAGATTTTTAAAAAGAAAAAAAAAAGGGTGAGAGGAAGAGGGAAATTAACAGTTTTTAGCCATCTATTTCCCATCTCTAAATAACCTGTGCTTCTTTGGTGTATTTGATAAAGGAAAGAAAGATAACCACCTCTAGAGAGTGATTAATTTCATCCTAAGATCAGAAGTATTGCCTTTTGGAGTTGCCTGTTTGTCTTCTGTAGACCATAAAAGAAATCTTAAGGTGGCAAACTGACAGACAACCTCATGCTAAGATGGGAATGTGAACCCCACCCATACTGTCGCATTTGTCTGCCTATTTTTACACAGCACAGTCTGATGCTGATTTACCCCCACCTTCTGAACTGATAACATCTCTCAGCACTGCTCCTATAACTGGCACAGTACTCTTTGTGGTGAAGTGATTTTGAAAGATCTGGGTGATGTAACTAATTACAGTACAGTTTCTGATTCATATGGTACAGACTGCAAACTGTTACACCGGGTGTTGATTTATGGGTAATTCCAAGAATAGTCTGGTTCAGAATACCAGAATTCATTTTTTTTTTTTGTTCAGTAACTCCAGAGCTTTGCTTTTGTTTAAATATATGTTGTTCATTGAAGACAATATTCTCTTGCTTTGTTAAATATATTTAGAAAAGATTTTTTTGGAATTTTAAAGTAGTAGTAGTCTTGTATCTGTTAGGATAGTGTTGTCAAAATCAAGTATCTTTGTCCAATTAATTACCTTTCCAGTGTACTCATTTCCAGAACTTTCCTATTGGTTTGTTAAAATTTTGTTTAATTATAGTGTCATCTCTGTCGTCCATAACCATGTTACAGAGAAATGTCTGTGTAATAAAAAACACGGTTGAGTAGTTTCTGGCTTTGACATGTTCCATATGCTCAGTTAACTCTAAAGTGCTTTTTACTTAGAAGTAGCAGAAATGAAGAATAGTTGGTTTGTAACCTCATTGCTCTGCTAAACAACACAGTTGTTAAAGCATGTAAACTTCTGAGATGTCACTTAGGTAATTACAAAGTCAAAAATCTACCGCTAGTCTCAGAGGCGGGGGTTGTTTGTTTTGTTTTTTAACTGATTCCTCAGAAGTTCATTACCCTATAGGAGTTATTCTGTCACACAAGGCAAACAATTTCTGAGGAAAAAGAATTTTAAAATTTCTGCTCAGGTGAGGGTACCAACTGCCAGTGGCAATTATGCTGGTGTTTTAGGGGTTTGTGTTGTGTCTTTTTGATGACATAATGCTGATAGAACATTGACCCCTTCTCTTGGGTGAACCTCAGGCTTCCCCAGTAAGTTTGAGAGACTGGGGAGGGAGCCCTTCTGAGAGGAACACTGGGGGTCAGGCTGAGCAGGAGTCAGTGCTTCCAAAGTGTAGTGTTGTGAGTTTTAGACAAATGGAAGCTTTGGGGCATCAACAATTTGTTCAATTGAGATTTAGTGGCTTTTTACTTGCAAATATTTGTGCCCAGTGGAGGGCAGAGTTTACACCAATCTGCTGATATAACACCATCTCTTATTTTTTCCTTTCAGATTCATTGCTTGTGAATTTATTTTTATGTTGAATTCTTGGGAGTTCTGCATTGTATTATGTCTTCACTCTTTCCCTTTTATGTTTTGCATGCTTGCTTTTATTACTTCATTTGTGCTTACCACTTTCACTTTACATGGTCTGCTTGGCTTTTTGCTACCAACTTATCCTGCCAGCACCGGGACTTTTCCATGTCAGAGCTTCCGTTGCAGTTATGTTTAGACTGGGACCAGCATGATTGGCCCTTCATGCCCTCTATAAAATCTGTGTCAGAGCATTATCTGGTATGTCCTATGCACAATATGGCTGTAATCATAGTTCTGGATAAAGATGCATGATTAAAAGTATGTGTCATAGCTTTTTAGTGCAAGGTCAGTGGAGAAGGTGGCATTTTCCCTCTTTGCCAAGATTGTCATGTTTGACAAATGTATTCACTGACATTTCAGTCAGTCATTATTTCAGTGTAAGCTGCAGAGGTTACCTATTCATCTGAAATATATACTAATATGTACTAATCCTGAGTGCCTGTACAAGACTTTGTCCTTATCACTGATTCACAGTAACAGGAGCAGAAAAGCTCTTTCAAGCAGAGTGGGTTCAAGAAATGATTTTGCTCAAAAATGCAGATGACTCCCAGCTGATAGATGTTAGCAACATCTGCATTTTGCAGCTGCTTCCTGAAAGAACAAACTTTTCTTGTGGTCCCCCAAGGAGACCAATTTGCCATTTGAATAGTCTCGACCTTGGTAATTTTTACAAAATTTCATTTTACGTGGAAAAAAATGACAAGACAATTGTCGGTGGTGGAGGGAGTAATTGAATCTCTATGCATCTAAATATCGTTGACAGTTCATATTGTGTTTTTGTAATTCAGCAATGTGTGTTCTAATAGTTGATAGACAATGTAAATGGGGATTTGACCTCTGGTGAAAACTGTTTCACCTTAAGTATCTCAACCCAATCCAATACTGGATATAAAAAGGTACCTTTTCTGAAAGAGGATGTGATCCTTTCTTCCTCATTGCACAGGGGTGGGTTATAAGGATAAGTTTATCCTTTTCTCTTGGCCAAGTGGTCTCACTTACACTTCTGTCTGTATTTGTCAATTTTCCACCCCAAAACAGAAGTATATACAAGAAGCCAGGAATTTGGGCAGCACTATTCGGCAGCCCAAACTGTCTAACCTCTCTCCATCAGTAATTGCACAAACCAACTGGAAGTTTGTAGAAGGCTTGTTGAAGGAATGCCGAAATAAGGTAACACAGAGAATAAGTCTGTTCTCTTGCACCTCATATCCATCCTTTATTTGTATCCAATATGCTTGAATCCCCCTTTTCCTCCACCTGTTTCTGCTTTATCCCTATAAAGATTTTTGCATGGTGGTGAGAAGTTCATGAGGAGATGAAGTATTTAGAAATTCTGCAAGGAGTGGAAACTTTGTCAAGCAGATTTATGATGAAAAGAGATTGAATATTCTGATGGGTTTTTGCCATCCCACTGCCCATGTCTATTATAACACACTTCAGTTATAACTAATGAGACAATAATATTTCAACAAGTGAATAGTCTGAAAGAGGAGCTTATGGTGAAAATACAGCAGCTTTTCTCATAACTAAAGGAAGTGAGTTAATAAACTTCTGCAGTGTAAGTTTTTAAGCACTTAACAAGCTTGGCATTAGTTTGTAGACATACTTCACTGGTTTATATTTGACAATATATTAATCTGAAGTTAATGTTCATGTGTATACTAATACAGTAAAGGGAGTAATTATGAAGTAGACACATTCTCGCTCTAGGTCAGTGGAGGTACTATAGCAATTGCATACTGGTTTTCATAAAACTGTTTAATATGTGCATCTATTTCTGATTCCACTTTAGTTTTCTGTATGTAGGAAACTAATAATAATCATCCAAATAATAGTCCAAATAGTCACCATCACTTAATAGAGTCATATGATGGTGAAAATTCTGGAAGATAGACTTGGCTTTTTCACCATGGGAATGTAACTCTAGTGAATGTAGTGATCCTACTGTTAACAGAGAGAGAAATTGCCAGGGAAGGTGAGGGGGAGAAGCAACTGGGGACTAACGTGGAGTTCTTAATCTCAACCAAGACTGTGCATAGGTGCCTAAGGGAATATTACTAATTTTTGAGCTAGTCTAGGATAGGAAGAAAGATGAAAAAATGTGTAAGGGATGAGCAGAACTGATTCCCCTTGTCATTTTTCCCTCCAATTTGCTGTATGATGAATCTGTTGTGACTGGAAGACTGTAGTTTGAGTTGGTGAGAGCTTTGTTGACCAGCATGAAATTGTGCACAATTTGGGAGAATGTGGCTCATCGGGAAGCTCAAACAGTGCACTCCAGAGCGGGAAGCTCAAGCAGTGCACTCCAGAGCGGGTTTGGTTTAATGCAAATCCCCTTCTGGCTGAACAGGGTCTCTCAGGAATGACATACCCCCTGCTGCTTGGAGGCACTTGTGCACGTTCACCTCCCCTGGGAGGAGAGGGACACAGCATCCTGCTCCTGGTGAGTGCATCCAGCACTCACCAGGCTTCCAAACCACCCAAGGCCTGTGTTTCATGGCCTTGCTGCTGGACTCCCAGCTTGTCAATGTGTGACCTGCTGTTCCCTTTGTTGGGGTTACTCTGTGAAGGCTGATGTGCCCATTTGCAAGCCCGTTTTTAGAAAAATAGAAGAGGTTGTAAAGTGATTAACACTAGTGCTGTCCTGGCTTGAAAACTGGGGATAAAAGAAGTAGAGCAGTGCACTAGTACCAGCAATATATATACACCCAGTTATTCTGCTAAATCTTTATCATGTGCTTCCTTGTTGGTTATTTAAAAAGTGTAAGTGATCTTGGAGGTTCCTGTGGAAAGAATTAACTCTCTTTTGCTTTGTCCTTTTTGAGACCAAGAGGATGTTGGTTGAGAAAATGGGTCGAGAAGCTGTGGAGCTGGGTCATGGTGAAGTGAATATCACAGGTGTGGAAGAGAATACCCTGATAGCCAGTCTGTGTGACCTCTTAGAAAGGATATGGAGCCATGGTCTGCAAGTCAAGCAGGTGAGGAATAAATGTTCTTGTACTTTGCAGAGCACACTTTCCTAAAGTCATGTTATGCTCTTCCTCTCTCTGCTTTCAGAGGATACCTTTTGTGTGTATTAGATGGGTTAAAATACTCGTGTTCCTCCCAGTCTTTTTTATGTCAGTTCCTGCCCCCGTTTGTCTCCACATTTTGTTCTGGGGTATGTGCAAGTGTACGTGTAGATGTGTTCCACAGATGACTTCTTGGAAGACTCTCTGTTTAACCTGGGGGTTTTCTTTGGTTTGGTGGGTTTTGGTGGGTTTTTTAATTATTTCTGTGTTCGTAATATTTTTGTTAATGAAGTTGCATAGGTTGCAAGGCAGCATATGCTAAAGGTGCTGTCAGTGGGATATGGTGTGGGGAAATTGTTTTCATGAAGGGTAATTTAGTTCTTCAGAGTAAAAATCTTGCTATTTTGGTTCTTCCTGAGTAATGTAGGAATACTCAAATGATGTTTACAAGATCACTAGCTAGAGGTGTTGGGTTTTTGTATGAAATTAATAATGGTTTGCTGTGCTCTTCTGTTTGAAGTCACGTTTGGGTCTAGATGAAGTTTGCAAGGCCTTTATCAACTTTTCTTCTCCTTTGTGCAAAGGAATAGCAAGGGCAGAGAGGATTATAACTTTTTTTAAAAAAAGCATATGCAGAATAAATGTATGTAATCCAGACAACTGTAATCCAGTATCTGTGTTCCCAGCAACCCAAGCACTAGTGTTTAAATCTGCTCTCCTTCAAGCTATATAACAGTTCTCTATGTGAAGATTTATGATGTGATTCTCTCCCTTCCCTCTTGTATATCACTTAGGATAGAAGCTGTACTGCTTTCGTCTTAGAAGACAGAGCATCAGTATACTCTGCTTCAACTCAGATTTGGGCTTTTCAGACCACCAGACGGCCAACCCTTCATAAGGTTAATGCTTTGGATTGATTGCAGATGTTGGCAAACAGTGCTGAATGGTGGAATAAATAGAGTGGTGGAATAAAATAGAGGCCTGATGGAGGAAGTGCAGTGTATCTCATAGTGTGATCCAGAGTTAAAAAAAAGTAAAATGAAAGCACCACCAGTTCTCTGTGTGCTCTGACCTTTATGAAATATGCAAAAGCCTGCTGTTTCATACATCGATTTTATTTTATTTTTCAATAATAAGCCAAGGAAGACTCTTCTTTCTCAACTGACCATAGTAATGAGGATGGCTTTCCTTCCACCAATCCCTGCTTTTACCTCTTCCCTGCTGATGAACCCTGATAGTGCTACATTAGCTGCCTACTGATTCTGCCACGCGCAAAGGGAATCCACGCCTTCCGTTGTCCTGAGCAATGCAGGGGAGTCAGATGTAGGATCTAATGGCTAAAGTAGTCTGGACTTTCAGAAGGCCTTGGTTATTCCCTTGCCCATTCTCTGTCCCACTGCTTTCCTTAGGCTGTCTTCCTTTCCCTTGTAGATACAGCTTGCATCATCATTGCTATTTGGTGAAGTTAAAGGAGAGTTCCTCGATGGTGAAGGAAGCGGGCAGACATACACTGCATGAGTTCTTACATTCATCATGGTTGTTGACATCGATTTGCTGCAGGATCCTTTGTTGCTGCTTTGTGTGATCTGTTGCAGTTCTCCTTGCCATGGCAGCTGGTTGCTGAACACTGGACTCTGTGTGTGTGTGTGCATGTGTGTGTTTATTGAGAGAAGCGCCGTTTTGGATGCAACTCTTCACTGGTTGATATTTCTCATGCTCTCTTTTCATGTGTTTATATGACCTTCAGTTTTGGCTTTCCACGTTGGATCTGTCAGGTACACACAAGACACAATGAGCTTCTCTGGATTTTTTGTATCTTTACCACTGAATGCATATCTTTAATAGATTTCTCTCAACACAGATGTTACAGACACTCTAGGATTTATTTCTTCTGGAGGCATACAAATTCTGGAATAATCCCTTGTGGCCAGTAATTAGTTCTCTATATCATCTGTAGGGAGCTATAGGATGGAAGTGGTTAGAGATTTTTAAATATAGTCTAAAAAAATAAAGAGGAACCATCTTTACTGCACCTCTGGGAAGGCACTTAGATGATTTTAGAAGAAATTGATAGTGCAGAATTGACAACTGTTACTTCACATGGTTTCTTTCTGCACAAAATTGTAAATAAAAATATGGCCTTGTAATATGATTGCTGTTCTGAAATGCAGAATTGCTAAATCTTTACCGGGATTTCAGGTTAATACAATACTTTAGGAAGATGATAAGTAATACTAATTAATTTCCTCTGTAAGCTATTCCAATTAATGTGCTGCAAAACCCTTGTTCTTTTACTGCTGCCTTTCTGCAGCTTTGCAAGCTTTTGGTTTATCATGCAGAATATTTTAGGATGATGACAAGAATCTTTTTAGTTTCCAAGAGAAAGATTTTCTCACACTCTGCATTAAACCACCAGAGGTTTAAGAAAACAAGATAATGAGCAAGGTGCACTTTTTAACATAATTTGATGGATTTATCTTTTATTTTCATACCAAATTCTAACTTTTATTGTAGAACTGGGGTATTTTTGCTGATAAACTTTCATCGACCTGCTTGTGTTTTGGGATGTCTTACTATGTTTGTGATTATCCAGGTCCTTTGCCTGATGAACGGGGATCTTTTGAGGTTTTAAAAATTGACAGCATGTACCTGTATCCCTGAATTACCCTGAAGTGAGCAGGTGCACATGACTTGGCCTGGGTATAAGATGTTTTACTCAGGCTGGCTCCATGCCTCTTGTCATTTCAGTGCTGGAGAGGAAGGGAGGGAAAGATAAAATAGTGCAGGTTACAGCCTCAGATTTAAAACTCTACTTGCATGTGGTTTTTTACAAGCCTTTGAATGTTTTCTTGTCATGTTAATGAACTATGAGGAAAGAAGTTCAATTGGCTTTTTCCTGTCACTAGAATCATTAGATCCCAGTAGTTTGACTCTTGCTTTCCTTTTTCAACCTCTTTACAGCTCCCAAGTGCCTCCAACTTGTGTCTCATACTTTATTTTTACCAATGAGTTTGTAGGAAGAAACATATTTAAAGCGAGTTTTTGTCATGGCTGATACTTTCAATGATGACTTAAACTTTTTTTTTTTTTATTCAACTGATAATGATTTCTTTAACTAATATTTTTTTAATTTCAGGGAAAGTCGGCTCTGTGGTCTCATCTGTTACATTACCTAGAAAACAGGCAGAGAAGAACCACATCAGGCAGCTTCAGTACCTCAGGTAAGATTGGCATCTGCTGGAAGAAGATGATAAAAAGCTGTGAGTAAGAGCTGTCTGCAGATTTGCACCATGCAGAATTTGTTTCCTTGGAAATACCCTTCAGTCAATATAACTGAATCAAGTAATCAAGTATTCTGTCCACTACAGGATTCATATGGGCCTGGTCTATTGGTTCAAAATATTTTGTGAAAATAAACTGATTTGTACTGAACCCACTTGTTTTGGGTCTGGTACTTGACTGCCATGGTAGTCAGAGACCAGAAATAGCTGATGCTTCACAGATAGGCTTTAAAATGGATTGTTCCAATGTACCACCCTCCATGTGACACACAGTCACTGCATGACTGGCAAAGCAAATGATGTCATGGATGGGGGTGGAAAACGAGTATAAGCACATAAAACTGTGCTGTTCATCCCTAAGTTTTACATCCTTTCTTGAAAAATAACTGAACAGTAGGCTTGTTTATAAGCAAAAGACATTTAAAGAAATAAACAACCTGAAGAAACATACTTCAGTTTTTGTTACATCAAGTGTTGCAGTATAATCTGTTTCTAGGGTTATTAATGTCATTTTTAAACATTACTTTTTTTGTCAGGTGGGGGCATAGAATATAAATTTGGAGAGAACAATGGGTTTGGGGGAGGCAGTGGGTGCCTTTTATTTTTTATTTGAAGTTGCTGTAGGCAAAGAACTGATCATTATTAATATACACAAGATCCTGTAAGCAGTCAAACCCAAAGATTTGGAAAGTATTAAGGTCTCCTAAATGTCACTGGATTCATAGTGGTTTTGCATATGAGAGTGAAGTTACAATAAGTTTTATGCTTTCTAGCTTGAGATTGAGGGCAGGGGCTATATTTAATATACATCTTGATTCTGGAGTGGAATTTGAAAGGTAAGAGTAATAACATTGCCTGAAAACCCCAAAATGTGCTATTTGAAAAGTAGTGGTGTTACAGGAGTGTGCAAATTAATAGATCAGTAAGCACGTGGTGTGTGCTGTACTGAGTAAAACATGTTAAACACTGTTTTCTGGTGTCAGCAGTACCAGTTATACTACACAGGAAGAAAATAGGGTAGCCTTTAGAAAGCAACACTTGATTATTATATTTGATGTCATATCAATTTCAGCTGAATCTAAGCTCATTAATGATGCTCAGTGTGTGCTGATCTGCATAACCATCTGTGTAGCACATTAGGTTTTTATGTCATTTGGAGTGGAAATGTGCCACAGTGTCTTCACAGAGTCACCAATAATACAAGAGTGCAAATTGATGTTAATTCACCTTTTTTATACTGATTTGAAATGGATTTCTACTAACAAACTCTGTTCTTCTGAATCTAGGAATACTTCTTGATTCAGAAAGGCGAAAGTCTGATACCAGTCCAGCCATGTCACCTCTTAGAATCTCTCTCATCCAGGATATGAGGTGAGTTTAAACTAATAAAACCAACACAGGAACCCCATGAGATTTGCATACTTGTTTCAGTGTGTGCAATGCACCACACAGAACAGCCTGTGTTTCGTGCATCCAGGAGGGAGATGTGGGTAAGGAACCTGCTGAACTATTTTAAAGTAGATTGTACAGCTTTTTCATTGACCTTTATGGAAATGTGATTCACATTGAGGAGATTTTATATTGTCACAGCTACCAGCTTATGGAAATACCATGACAGAGTTTTCATATTTTTAAAGTGTTCTGTATTGGTTTATTTCCACAGAGATACAGGTGCAGTGTATGTGTTTTCCCAGTCATTGCCAAGTTGGTAGTTCTGAGCCCATCCTTGCTTCTCAGTGAAGAAAGCAGTTTAGAGAACTTGTTTGGTCTAAAGAATGGGTTTATCTAACATAGAGTACTGTAGTGTGAATAAAACTATAACTGCTGCCCAATGCCTTCTTTTCAGTACATCAAAAAAACAATATGCAGAACTTCTAAATTAACCTTGAAGGGATTTTTCTTTCCTCCTTTTTCCTTACCAACATTTATTTTTTCCAGTGGGGAGGAGGAGTGAATTGAGGATTTGCTTGCCCTATTAAAATATACCATTTGTATCTTCTATGCAAGAAAAGCTACTACTGAGCATGCAAAGACAGTATTTAATTTTCCAAAGCACTCAGCCATAAATATTGCAGTGATAAGGTCCAGAATGATTCTTAAATCATGTGAGACAATGGGCCTGGTTTAGAATTTTGTAAATAGGGCACTGCATTGCAGATATTTCTGTTTCAGGCTCTTTTTCTTTTTGAGCTAGATATGCAAGGATTTTTGATTGTACTGAATATTAAGGTGATTATGTTTCTTTTTCCAGTAATTTACCTGATATTTTATGTTCTTTGCAAAACTTCTTCAGCCTAGTTTCGTTCAAAAGAACTGTCACATTTTGACAATACCTGGCAGTGTCTTTTTTTTTTTTTTCCCAGGCATATCCAGAACATTAGTGAGATCAAAACAGATGTTGGCAAGGCCAGAGCCTGGGTTCGTCTCTCTATGGAAAAGAAGTTGCTCTCTAGGCATCTGAAACAGCTGCTTTCAGATCATGAACTCACAAAGTAAGATGGTTTATCTTGGACAAAGCTTTTAAAAAAATTTAAATCTGTTTAGTTGTTTGACTTCAAAAACCCAGGTGTGTGTATTCTCCCATCTGCTTAGCAGTGTGCAGAAGGCATAGAACAAACCAGCCTTCCAAGTGTGTCTCCTTATCAGTGGATGAGCTGTTTGGGAATTAGGATTCAATGCTGGGGTTTTTCACATAAATATTTGTGTTTATAGCCAACCTAAGAACATAAGGTGAATTGCTTTCAGAATAGTAAAATATCTGCTATTATGACCCAATTTTTGTTTTTATTATTTCTCCCAAACATTTCAAAATATGTCTTTTAATTCCTTGTATATGAAGTCATAAAAAAAACTTCTGAAAAGATCCAACCGTTGAGTCCCAAAACACTATTCAAAGAGTACTGTGAGAAGAAAATGAGGCAAGTACATGACATATGCCAGAGAGGAGGATGTGAGTGAAAGTTGAAGACTCTACTTCAGGCTCAAACTCTGTTGGAAGTACTCTGTACCAGGGCTTTGTATAAGTAATTATGTTGAAGGGCAGAAGGAGAAATGCTCAGCACAAGGACCTATATACTTGGTGATGTCCAAAGCATTATATTACCTTTGTAAACATAAATAATTATTTTGTTAATAGTTGCACAGATCAGAGTACAGGCCACACGTAATACTAATTGTTTTAGGAGTAACAATTTGGTGTTGATTTAGTATAACCTATGCAGAAAAAAAATGTTTTACTGATAAGGTTGGATATACTGTTTAATGTGTGGAAATTAAAGCCATAGTAATTGCCATTAGTTTTAATTGAAGACTTCTCTCTGGAAACAGTGTAACCTATGCTGTCTGCTCTTCCTTTCCTCTCCTTCCACTCACCACCTTCCAAAGAATTTCTTCCCTCCCCCAATACCCCTGAACCCCAGCTGCTGATTATTTGAGATTTGCCTTGTATTGGTTTATGTTGGACTTTCAGATGAAGTTGTGGCCTTCCAAAAGCTGAAGGACAGAGCGAGGGCAGCTTATAAATTTACCTGTATCTCTAAATTAGGGTTAAGCCTCTCCAGTGAAGTCAGCAATTCAGATAATGTTGTATTTAGCACTGCTTGTCCCATGCAGAGCAAGTGCTGTGAGAGAACTTTCCATACACCACCACACTCCATGCCCTTCCCCACAAAAACAGAAGAAAAAACCCAACTTTCTGAATGCTGGCCAGTGTACTGTTCATCTATGAGGTAGATTCTGATTCTCTAGAATGGAGTGAGACAGCAACAAAAATAGGTTTAAAATGAAAGTAACAAGCAAAGGAGCAACTTGCACAGAAATGACATCAATTCTTTGTAGTCCTGTCTGCTTTGTGCATATTTAGATATATCCTACTTAAAGACAGCTCTTCTAGGCAGCATGGTGTTAAGATGTGTTCCACTTGGTTTTAGAGGAAGCAGTGCCAAGTTCAGTGAGGTACTAAAAGTAATTGTGCAATTTCTACCATTTTACAGTTAACAAGATTGCGTGGTGGTCTTTTTTGAAGCCACTGTTAGATATTTTAATTAGCCCATTCTCTAAACTTGACATTTGCTTAAAATTATAAGGGAACTGTAATGTGTTTGGTTTCTTGCTAGTCTGCAAAGGGACTAGAGTTAGGAAAGAGGAGGAAATCACACAGCTTCACTGAAAGGAGACCTTTATGTGCACAAGGAAACTGAGAAACCTTACCTTTGAAAAGACAGGACAGCACATACCCTGACAGGCTCCTCATCAAACACATGGTTCAGATTGTTCAGATTAAACATGGACATGGGCACCTGTGAGACCTTTTGTGGGTTTGATACTCCTGTGGCTACAGGCAGGTTTTGTTGATTTAAGGCTCATTATCTTTATTTCCATTGAACATTTCCTGCCAGTCTACAGCAGTAGGTTTGCTTTGTAGCTGAGAAAATATCTGTATGTTGATCATCACTGATTTGTTTTGCAAGTTTCTATCTTGTGAGTAATTTGCTGACTTTTTTGTACGTTGATACTGAAATTGAGGGGAGTTGTCAGGATACCCTCCTGGCAGGAGCCACCTATCCATGGCTGCCAGCATTTCTAATACCTAATTCCTACATTTGTGATGGTTTGGATATTCCTCTAGCATCAGTTGGATTTTGATACATCTTGTCATGCTCTTCTTTTATGATTATTCACCAACACTGATATTATTTATTGGTTGCATAATTAACAAAAATAGTGGTGATTGCTGTGTACAAGTGAGTAACTTCAAGAGTATTTTCCAGCCAAAATTTGCACTTGGAAGTTTCTCATTTGCAAGTCTTGCAGTGTTAAATTCTCTCGTGTTTGAGTAATTTTAAGAAGTATATAAGATTGTTTCTGTTTACAGTGCGTTCTTCTGCATAGGCATTGGTGTCTCCACTAATGAGGGAAGGCCACTAAGCTACATCTTTTGATATTTCTACTTACAAGTTGTAGTTCTGTGTGGCATTGCAGTCCTAGCAGAGTTTACAACCCAGTGAAAGGGAACAGGAGGACTTTAGGCCACCTTTGCGTGCTTATCATTTTGGTTATGTCAGGAGCTGTGTACTGTCAACACTTAAGCTGTTCCCTGGCTTAATGTGTGGTTGTTGTAGGCCCCCTATAACCAAATAGAAGCAGATAGTCCTAGTGTTTGCCCTGATGTCACTTTAAAAAGTGTCTCCTGTCTTATGTCATGTGCTGGAGAAGTTTCCCATGGCATCCTCTGCTCGGAAGTAACTTAGGAGGACTCTCTTCGGTTGTGTCATTTTACATTGCCAAAAGAAGGCAGATTTTTTTTCAAGAAAGTACAAAATTCCTTTTTCCATCTTGGGGTGTTTTTGGGTGGGAAAAGACCCTCAGAAGAAACCTTGCTTTCAAGAAGTGGAAGATATGTGAAATATTGGACTGACGCACTTGGGAGACTCCAGACTTGCAGAGGTTCAACATATCTTGGCACATTAAACACTCCTGACTCTACCAGTATCATTTGTAATTGCTTGTCCATTATTCATAGTGTGCCTAATAAATATGCACAATATAAAGCATTTCACTGAAAGCATCTTGTTACTATGACAGATTATGTGTTTTGCTTTGTCAGAAAACTCTACAAGCGTTACGCATTCCTCCGCTGTGATGATGAGAAAGAACAATTCTTATATCATCTCCTGTCATTCAATGCTGTTGATTACTTTTGCTTTACCAATGTTTTCACAACAATCTGTAAGTATTTGCTTTCCCTGGAACTCTGATTTCTGGATTTGGTGGAAATTCTGAACAGCTCTCAGCAACATACCTTAATGTAGTTGTTCTGCTTTCTTTCCTGGGATCCATCTGCATGCTGTACTGCTATTTCTGTGATCCACTCTGGTGGGCAGGAGCACCTCTCTTTCTGTGTCACCAAAGGCTTTTGTTTCTAACTTGGTAAAATCCATTTAGTTGGGGGAGAGTTCTAAACAGAAAATTTTTGGTGGGCTCGTTTGCATGATACTAAACAAGAACACTATGGATTGTTCATTTTCAAGGTAAGAATATTAACACGTACTGGGAATTAAAAAAAAGCCAAACTTCCTTTGTTTCATGTTCAGCCTACTTTGCTGCATGCCTGTCTCTGAGTTTGGGATAACAATGAAACTCCCACTGAGGGGGCTGCATCAGACCTCCTCAACACATTGAAGTCCTCCTTTTTTTTTTTCTTCTGTTTTTTAAAAAGATTCCCTAGAGAAGCTTTTGAACTGTTGTTGATGCTTAAATGTATTACAGAGTTGTGAAATGATTTGTGTGCTGTGGCTGCTGCCACAGGACACAACTAGCAAGGCAGAATAAGGGAAGACTTGAGCAAGGCTTATGAAACTGGGGGTTGGTGGGTGGGTGTGAAAGGGCCCCTGTGGCTCCATGGTAGGAGCTGCCCTTGGTGGTGTGTTCTGATCCATTTTTGTGCGTGTGAAAGACAGAACAAACACACATCTAAGCAAAATAGCTCTTGGTCTTGTGGGCAGGTTCTGGATAATGCTAAAATCTGCTCTGCTGGATGCAATTAAATTGTCACTTACTTTAAGACTATCAGCACAGAAAATAAAAAGGGAAACATTTAAATTCATTCTTAAATGCTGCGAGCATTGAGCTTTTAAGAAAATCCAACCACCAAATGCTTTCTTGAGGGCACTGACAGTTGAGGAGGCATTGAGGGAGAAATGTATTAAAGGCCTCAACTGAAAAGCCCTGACTGTAATCCGTTTATGCACTATAAAAGGAGGGCAGATAGCCAAGAAACACAGTGACCATTCAGAGAATTGGATTTTGTTGTAAAAGGCTTGTTAACCGAGGGCTGTGCAGGAGATGCTGGGCAATGGAAGAGCACGTGCCTCCTGAGTCAGAGAAGGGGCTGCAGCTCAGGTGATACTATATTGAATTAGTCACAGATAAAAGAGTACCAGAAAGCATTTGAGCATATGTGTGGTGCTATTTAGAAGGGAAAAAAGTTGTTTGTTCTTTTTAAAAATCAAAAAGTCTTAAAGTTAGCATAGCTAAGAGCAATGTGGTACAGAGAAACTTGCAGCATTACAGTGTCTTTTTACTGAACTTGCTCAGCCACAGTAGTGACTGCTGCTGCAATCAAGGCCTGCAAAGAAAGGCTTCAGTAACTGAGTGTGATTTGGGGTTGTTGTGGACTGGGCCTGCATACAAACAGAGAAACAGGCAGGTAGGAGTTGAGCATTGAGCAGCATGCTGAGCTACAGTGCAGTCCTGGATACGGGAATACTGTGTCTTTACTTCCTCGTCTCTAAGCTGAGGACAAGTAACCATCTTCATGGCACGTTTTGAGGCTGGTAAATGAAAAATTATTATACCCATAGGAAGGCATGATTCCATCCATATTTCTTTTTTCTCTTGACACTGTTTTGCTGTCAGCTCTGCTTCTTAGTGACTGGTATATATGTATAGATTTCCCCACTGCCAATCATTGCTTAGTGTGCAAGTGTTAGCATGATTAAATAGCAGCTCTGATGGTTTTTTTACATTTCATGGTACTCCAGTGTTGTTTTATGACTTACGTTTTGCCCTTCTATTCACTAAAGAGGTTAGATAACTATCCTTCTTCATTTTTGTTATTTTTTCTTGTGTTTGCAGTGATACCATACCATATATTGATTGTTCCTAGCAAAAAACTTGGTGGCTCAATGTTCACAGCCAATCCTTGGATCTGTATCTCGGGAGAACTGGGTGAGACAGGAGTCCTGCAGATTCCCAGGAACATATTAGAAATGACTTTTGAGGTTTGTATTACTTGTTACACAGAAAATTATTTGGATATTCTGTTCAGTTTTAAAATTCTCCCTTTGCTGCGCCACCTTGCCATACATTTCGTATCTTTAGTCTGTGTGGTTAGTCACAGATATTTCCTGTGCCTGTACACAGCAAATTTAATCTATATTTAATAACCACGGATGGACAAGACTGTCTTTTTATTACAATTTTGTGCTGTGATGGTGGGAGGTGTCATATCCTCTTCTGTTGGAAACAAAGAAGTGATTCTGCTCTAATTTTTGAGTGTGTGTTGTGCAGTTCGGGTAAAATTTAATTGAAAAATCTAGTTCAGCTGATGTTCTCTCTGCTGATCAAAATAGTATTTAACAAAACAAAGCAAATAAACAAAAGTAAAGCAGCTTACCAGTAAAAAACCCAGAACCAATCAAAGCAGTGAGAAATGGGAAACCACATTTCTGATTTTCTGTCTAGAGCACATTCTCTAACAGTTTACTCCTTCAATATGCTACTTTATTTCAGTTTACTCTGACAAACTCTTTGTTTAATTTTCAGTGCCAGAACCTGGGAAAACTGACCACAGTGCAAATAGGACATGATAATTCAGGGCTGTATGCCAAGTGGCTCGTGGAATATGTTATGGTCAGAAATGAAATAACAGGGCATACTTACAAGTAAGTATCATCCTGACATTTCATGTTGGGTAAGTAGAATTTCTGCAGGGAGCTGGCACAGTAGGGCTTGTTTGAGCAGAAAGGTCTGGTCTCCTGGGACTCTGTGTCTACAGTTGCTGCTACCTGAAGGCACAGAAAGATCATTTGGCTTCTGACATTAAACAAGTCATGGTTCTTAGAAAATTAAACAGGGTTTTCAGTTTGCAGATGCTCATGACTAGCCTCAGACTGTTGGTGGAGAAGATGAGTTGACTATTGCACATTGTAAAAATAATCTGCCTTGAGCCCAGGGAAGAAATAGCACATCAGAGCTTGCTGCTTACCAAATATAGGTGGCATTTTATATTAAGACCAAGTGTTTTAAGTGTTATAGAGGCACCTTTGGACACAAGTTGGAACACAAGGGCTTATGAGTGTTAGAAACCTGAGTTTGCATAGTGAAAGTAAAAGAACAAGATTTACAATGAGAATTATATTTATTTGTCTTGGTACAGCATAGTCTGGTACCCTGTACTTTGTTCAGAGAAACTGTCAGGCTCATGTTGATGACAAATTGGCGGGTGAGTCCACTCAGTTCTCCATGCCAGATCATTTGTAATTAAATGAAGAGGAAAGATTCTATTTTTGGATGCTGTTCAGTTTTCCGATTAAGCTGATTAAACTGACATCAACACTGGTTCAGAGAAAGAGATAATGAGTAAGGGAGCACGTGTGCTTTCTAGTACTTCATTTAATATCCCAATTCAATAGAAGTATTGCTGTTTTTTGGCATCAAAGTATGTGTTTGGGTTGTGGGGTTTTTTTGTAGCTGGCCTGCTATGTAGTGTATTCAGTGAAAGCGTAGGTGGATTCCATCACCCATCTATGGGGTATAGTGGGTCTTCCCCTCCTACCTCTTTTTCCTCTGCAGCCCTCAAATCATGTGCTACATGTGGGCCACAAGCAAAATCTGCCCCTGTTTGCCTTGCAGGTCATCTAGTGCAACATTTAGCACAAACTTGGAACTGAAAAACTGTTTTACTTTTGCTGCCAGAAGCCAAACCCAAGGCTTTGTTGCTAGAAGTATTTCTAGTAACAATACTAGCAGGATTTGCGTTTCAGGCCACTGCAGTTGAAAGTCTTTGGCGTGAAATTGAATCTGGCTTGATCCATGTATCTCCTCGATTTTCCTAGGTTTCCCTGTGGGAGGTGGCTTGGAAAGGGAATGGATGATGGCAGCTTAGAGAGGATCCTGGTGGGAGAGTTGCTGACTTCACACACGGAGGCTGACGAGCGGCAGTGCCGGACCCCTCCCCTGCAGCAGTCACCAAGCATGATCAGAAGATTTGTCACTATATCGCCCAACAATAAGCCAAGTGAGTACTGGGCTTGTCCTGTCTCGGACTGGTCTGCATCATCAGCTGAGGGCAGCTGCTTGCATACAGAGCTGGAGGTTTTCTTATCTTTTAGAACTGTGGCTTGGAGAGGACCTGTGAAACTCGCTTAGCCCAACCCCCTGCTCAAAATCCAGCTAACTTCCAAATTACAGTCCTGAACAACCTGTTCTGTCTACTCAAGTTTTGAATGTCTGTAAGGATGGGAGGAAGATGTCCCTGTACTCCTGGTCTAGTGCTTAGCTGCCCCTCCGGTGTTTTCTGTATTCTTGTCTTTCATTTGTGGAATGAATGCTATGGAGGAAGGTAGAAATATTGCTGCCCTCTCTCTGTCTATCCTCTGTGAACGGAAAAGCTTGCTAGTGTTTTCTCTTCATGGACTTCATTTTGTTTGTATTCTGTTGAGATCACTCTTCTGGAGTGGTGTTATTCTTGTTAAATTAGGTGGTTACCTTGCTCCCAAGCTTACTTGGGTTTACAGCAAAACTATCACAGGAAGTATTACCAGGACGCCCAGATTTGCTGGTTCTAATCAAATCACAACTCCTTTTCTTAGCTTTAGGTCCTGGTCTGAAAATTCACATAATATGTAAAAGCCGTTTCCAGCTGTTGTGTTGAAACACCACAGTGTTAACTTCAATATAAAACCAAACCATCTCCATTTCTACTCCTTCAACAGTAAATAAAAATAGAGTTTGGTTTCCATTATGCACAGTCCTGCTATGTTTCACTAACAGCCTAAGTTACAGTGGTTCATGCTCCTCTTCTCTGTTTTATGGTAGGCCTTATCCCTCACGCACACATACAATTTCTGAAGCTATAAAAAAGTGACAGGATATATTTTGTGTTTTCCAGAGTTAAATACTGGTCAGATCCAAGAAGCTATTGGTGAAGCTGTTAATGGGATTGTCAAGCATTTCCACAAGCCAGAGAAGGAGGTGAGGAGTTGTTGTCTGTGTAATGGCACCCTTGTTGTAAAACTCGTAATAGTAAGCATAGGAGAATATATAACAGAAATAAGTAAACTGAATGAACAGCCATCTGTTTGAAAATTCCTTAAGTGGAGGTAAAAAATGGGATACTGAGACTATACTGCTGAAACAGCATAGCCTCAAATACCTCTGTTTTGCTGCAAACTGGAGCATTCTTTTAAATTAAATGTTAACATTCTGGTATTGGAAATTGTGTTATTAGGCAAATTATGCCGTGGATTCTGCCCATACCACTGTCAAGAATACGGCCTCCTGTTTAGTTTGTTCTAAATTAAATGACATTTTACATCTGCATTGAGTTCTGAGTAGGTTTTTAATGTCTGGTTTGCGTTATCTTGGCTATTTAAAATGTGAAAACTCACAGGCCACTTTAAAAAAAAAAAAAGAAAAGAAACAAAAAAGACCTCCCTGCAAACACCCACACCCCCCAGGCAAGTGAAGCAGAAGTGCTCTTAAAGACTCTGGTACACTTGTACATCACACAGGCAATCGACTGACACAGCAGTGATTTCCTGAAACAAACCTAAGTAGAATGTCTCTGTCAGACCATCACAGCCAGTCCAGCCCTCATGAGCCAGAAGGAGCAGTGCTGGCTCTGTATGCGTGGCTCTTGAAAGTCACTCATTTTTTACAAATAGGTCTTCCCATTCCTACTGCACCTGTCTTCTAAGTTCAGTGTAATTCTGATTGATGATCACGTTGACACAATCATCTCAAGTGGCCATGCACTGGTTTTGAAAAATAGAATTTACCATTGTGTTCCAAAGAAGAATTTAATTTTTTTCAGAGCATTGAATGCTGTTTTTGTTGGTAAGCAAACAATCAGGGACACCTGCTACGGTGGATCTGGGATCTTTATTACTTAAGGAAGAAAATACTTTCTTAGTGTCCTCTGCAGTGGTCATTATTATAGGTAAAACCTGCTCATTATCATGGCCTTCTTGAGGCTTCATTAGATGATGATGGCTAGGTCCTGACACTGCTTTCTTCAGCCTCATTCTTAGAGAGATCAATACATTTTTGAGTGCTCAGGACTTGTGAGAACTGGGCCATCCTGTCTGGGGTCACTGTTTGACAACAGACTGTTACGTTTAGGCGTCTGTTTATTTAAAAACTTACTAGATGCATGAGACATTTGTGTCCCCGACTTCCAAACCGAGGCACTAAGTGTGTGTGCTTTCCTTGTGTGCTTGGCAGAGAGGCAGTCTGACACTGCTGCTGTGTGGAGAAAGTGGACTTGTTTCAGCTCTCGAGCAGGTGTTTCAGCATGGATTTAAATCACCAAGACTCTTCAAAAACGTCTTTATTTGGGATTTTTTAGGTAAGTGGGAGGAAGACATACCAGAGCCTGTTTGTGTCTTTGAAATACATCCATCTGTGTTCCTTATCATCGCTGCTGTGTCTCAGCTGGTGTGAACAGCACAGTTCTTGGAGGCATCTCAGCAGCTGAATTCCCATGGAGCTCTTACCTCCTCATACTGTTGAGAGAAAAAGCCTCTGTCTTCTGCCAAAGCTGACACTGTACTTAATGCAGTAACTGGGCTTTTTCCTTCTAGCAGAATAGTGTAAAACAAACTTTCTTACTGAGTAAGAGTTATATAAATAAGGTGATGAATTGACATATGGTAACCTTGTTCTTAATTGAGCATAGTGAAAGCAATAAATCACACTTCTAAGAAGTTGAGTTGCCTTATAAAGCACCAACGGATGGATCTAGTGCTGTTGATACTTACTGGACATTGTAATAAAGGGGTTGTAAGCATACATTTTTTACATAGTGGTCTAGATCCTTTGACATAGAGCTGTATAAATGAACTGAGTTCACAAACACCTTTTAGAAAAGGAATTATTTTGAGTAGTGTTTCTATGTTTTGAGTGGGTACCTTGACATCACTGTTCTCCTTATGTGATCGTTTTACTGTAGCACTCAAAATTCAGTAGCTACATGAACCTCTTCAGCACTGTTTAGAGGGAGGGAAGTGAGGGAACACAAGACTGAATCAAACAGAAAAAACCAATGCCTACGTGTAATCGTTCAGGATACTCATGGATGAGCTTTGAATCTAGGCCTTTCAATTTTCTCTCCTATAAGCACTGTTGAAAATTCATTATCTCCCACCATTCTTTTAAGAAAAAGCACAAACATACTATGAGACCCTTGAGCAGAATGAGATGGTCCCAGAAGAGAACTGGCAGACAAGGGCCAGGAATTTCTGTCGCTTTATCACTGCTATCAACAACACCCCAAGAAACATTGGGAAGGATGGCAAGTTTCAGATGCTGGTGTGTCTTGGAGCCAGGTATAAAGAAACTTCTTTATTATTATTATTATTATTGTTGTTGTTATTATTGATATTTTAATAAAATTAAAAGGATACTGCGTATTAGTAACGTAAAGCCATGCAAATGATGGGTTGGACAGTTTGACTACTACTTATATAGCAGTCTTTGATGTAACTGGGGAAACATCAAGTGAATCCTGCCCTGACTGAGTTTTTAAACACATGAAGTGTGAGATATCTCAGACAGGAAACTGCATAGCCCAAAAAGCTGAGCAGCTGAACCAAGAGAGAAAGGTAGCAGGCTGCTGTGAATAGTCTCCCTCTCTTGTACAGGTAGCAAGGTTGGAAGATAGAATCAGAACATCACCCATCAGGGAGGCCTCTCCAGTTAATGGTTGGGTGAATTCCCCACCTTCTGCCTACTTGTTGTAGGAGGTGGGTAGGAAAGAAGCTGGGACCATCTAGAAACCTCTTGACACAAAGACAATAGAACAGAGTGGTGACTTTGGTCCTGCTTGGGACTTGTGGGTCTCTTGGGAACCCTGTCTTGATGTGAGGGGTGGAAAGCCTAGAAACATGTCTGTTATGGATGCTCCCTACTTAAACAGGTTCCACAGACAGTTGCTTCCTCCTCCCTGTCTTATAAAAATAAGTGGAAAAGGTGGTAGGTCTGCTTAGGAGGCAAAGAATAGAAATCATGTCTGTGCAGATGCGAAATTAACTTGGCTTTGTTTTTATTTCCCAACTGCAAATTGCCACCATGTCAGAGACCACCTTTTGCACCACTGGATCGCCCTGCTTGCAGACTGCCCAATTACAGCACAGATGTATGAAGAGATAGCGCTGATCAAGGATCACACACTGGTGAATTCTTTGATTCGAGTGCTGCAGACCTTGCAGGAGTTCAACATCACACTGGAGGCGTCTCTCGTCAAAGGAATCGACATTTGACCTCTCGTCCCACAGGAAAAACTGTCTTTACAAAAACAAAAAAAAGCAACAAGGAGTGAATCTCGTTAGTATGCAAAAGTTCTGTCTTGCCAGTACATTGTATTGTGGACTTGTTCATGGCCCAAAAATGCAACTTCGACTTTTCTTGAAGGAAACTCCAAAAATAGTACAGGCAAATGGATAGAAGCTGTAAACTCAATGTAAAAAAGAGGATTTTGGTATAAATCTATTTTAGAGTTTATTTGCTGATTTGCTTTTTACACACTTTCATGTGAAAGAGATAGAGATGAGTATTGTGCAGCTTATTTTAAAGCTGCAGTATTTCCTTGCCATAGAAAATGTGCAGTGAGCCTTTCAGCATTCTGTGAACTTGCCTTCAGATATGCTGTATGTCATAGACCCCAATGTATACACTCCATTTCTGCTGAGAAGGTCATTCTATAGTTTTTAAACTAATATTTTATATATTAACATTATTACCAATGTTTGATTTTTAACGTATTGGGTCATGTTCTGCTGCAAGGGAACTACAGATCTGATGTGTACTTTTTTTTTTTAATAGCTCCAAAGCACTGATTAGTCAGCAATTATTTTTTTCCTTTATTTTTGTTGTCAGTATTATTTTTAGTGAAATTCAGGAGACTGAACCATGAAATGTCCAGAGATCAAAGTAATATTTTTCATATTGGTACGTAATTGCACAGAAGAAGAAATTAAGTCTGTTTTTTAACTGATGTTTTTTATTTATTTAACCTATCATTGTGTTTTGTAAGTTTGTCTTTAAGAAAAAAAGTCTATGATACAACTGGCTAAATTATGTTGCAATTCAGATTTTACAGTGTAGCCCACTTAAGTGAAAAACCTGGAATAATTGTTTGTAACACAAAAATGTTTTCACTTAAACCAGCCTTTTGAAGTTTGGTATATGGTTGCTGCTGGTAATTCTCTTAACTGCTAATAAAGAGGGACACGAGTTCCCCAAATGCCAGATGACTAAATAAATATGTTTATGCCCCCCCTGAAATAATAATGGTATACCTGACTAACAAATATAAGGATTCCTTAATGTTTCTGAAAAGACAGTGAGTATTGAGGCTTTTTCTTTTCTTTTTGATTGCATATGTCTTAGATTCTGTTGTCACAGTCTGGTTTATTTGGGATGCTTTGTTTTTAGCAGAGACAGCTTTACTCCATTTCTACTATAAAACACAAACATTTCGAAAGCTTAATTTATTGGAGATCTGGAACTTGGCAAATGCCTAAAGGCATCTCTGTTCATTTGAATCCTCTGATAAAAATCTCTTTGAAATGAATATGTGACTTAAGAACAGGCTGATTTATCAGCATCACAAATTACTGTACAGAAGTTCAGGGCTGTGTATTTAAGAGGTCTCCACTGTATAAACTTATCTCAGTATTGTCTCTCTTTTGAGAAGCAGAGTCCAAGTTTTTTTTTGTTCGTACAATGTTGTAGCACTTTTTCTTTACCTACAGCTTAGTCACATCTTGTGATAGTTTTACTTCCATAATTTATGAGTATAGCACATGTATTAAATTTTGACTATTTTTACTTTTGTCCTATTTATTTCATTATTAAACGGAGAAGTTCCTTTGTCACTACTTACCAGAGCAAGATTCTTCTTTGATTTCACAGTAGCATTAGGAAGATGTGAGGGCAGTGTCCAAGCCACTCCTCATGTGGGGTGGGTGTGAATTCTTTCACAGTGTGGAGCTTACAGGAGCATTTCACAGACGTATTTTATATGTGCAGGTATGGTTTTGTTGTTTTGGGTTTTTTTTTCCAGCTTTGGAAGGGCAAAAATAAAACAGTTGTACTTCATTCTAAGAATTTGATGTATTCAACTTAATATGTTGGGATAATCTTTATACACTTGCACGAAATTGCTTGTTGATGCATTCATAATAGCAAAACAATAATTTTACAGTGCTTTCAGCTGTCTCTGAGGCCTGTGCATTTCACAGGGAATATATCTGCCTAAGAAAGGAGCGTTCCATATCTTGACCTTAGCAGATCAGTTGATTCTGTTAAAACCTTTTATCTCTGAGTACTAAATATGGATTAATTTTGTCTTGCATGAGGTAATTACCCTGAATTAAGTTATTTTCTTTTTTTTTCCTCTTTACACAAGTTCACCTAGTGTGACATGATACCATTGGTTAAATGGCTGTTTTGGTGTGGATCTTTTTGGCCTCATTATGAAAGTTGATGATTCCTGGGATGGATAGAGGCTGGGGTTTGCTGATTGCCAAGCACTGGGAATCCCGTGGCTGGCTCATGAGGGTGGAGCTGTCCATCAGTGACAACAACCTGTGTACTGGCTGTCCAGGTGCAAAAGGAAGTCACAGAGGTCATCTTCCCAGCTCCTCAGTTACTTTATTTTCACAGGAAAAGCCACTTAAATATAGACCCCTCCTCCTTCTCTCACTGGGGGCGTATGCTTAATCCTGTTAGGATTCAAAGCACTTTTTGCTAAGGACTTCCAAGCCTGGAAGGATTTGCTCCACTCAAGGACCAATAGAAGGTTCTGAAATGCAGCAGAAAGAAAGCTGGTTTTGTTAGCTCCATAAGCAACCAAGGAGGGCTAAGATATTAAATACAGCTGTGTGGTAGCCTCTGCTAGGTTTTTGGGAAGAGATTTGACTGGCATGTCTAAGAATGGTCCAGTCTGTAGTAGCAGTCATAACTCCTGCCACTCTTCAGTGTTTGCCACAGACCAGCCTACTTCTTTCATGGGTGTTCCTAGCATGAGTCCAACTGAATAAGGTTAGGATCCAGCATTAGCCCTTTCCATGCCATTCTTCTGAACTGGATGACTGTATAAGAACAAATGGTGTGATCAACACCTTTTTAACTAGAGCTTTATAAAATTCATCTCCCTTTGCTCAGAATAATGCAGTTGTAACTTTTTTTCCTGTTTCTAAAATAAGGGGGCAGGTTTAGTAGGGGCAGGTTAATGTGGCTAGTCTGTTCTGTTGTTTGGGGGGGATTTTTTGGTAACAGTTAATGGGAATTTTTTTTTTTTTTTACAACACACATGCATTCTGTAGAAAGAAATACAATGATGAAAAATGAGCAGTTCATAATGCAGTAAATATATAGTGCTACATTGGCCAAACGTGTTTACAGGCTGATACCTGATTTGAGGGGAAAAAAAATAGGCTATTGCCTATCAGTTATTTATGCTTCTTTGATTAACGCTGTCAGAGTTCATACAGTGACACTTTATACAGAAAAGAAAATGCAATATAATAAAAACTTGATTTCAATGTAATGAAATACTATGATGATAAGTTTATACAAAAAAAACCCTTTACCTGCCATAAACTTTAACATCTGACGTTCTGTAGCTGAAAGCATATTCATGAACTGAAGACTCTTCCACAACTTTTTCCATTGCAAAAGAGTATTTTTCAAATTGTTCAAATGGGACCTACTAGCTGGATGATCCATATTTTTTATGTGTTTTGAATTCATGAATATGTTAAGATTTCTGCAGTGAAACTATTCAGAGTTAACTTTTTCTGTATATTGTCAAATGATCTTTGTCCGTAGTGCAAGATACTATAGGATACTTGAAAATACTTGAAGATATTGTACACGTACTTCACATCTTTGTAGTTCTTTATTTTATACCTAGAGGTTGGCTGTTAAACTAAGATAAAGCATCAGTACCTTATAAACTATATATTTTACTACACGGGGAAATCACTGGCTTGGTTTTTTTAAGGGCCGCGTTGAAGTTTACATTATGATGACAAAAACAGGTACTGTTTTCCTTTTTTATTTTTCCTGTGACATTTCAATCCATTGGACATTAAATGTGAATTGGATATACAAAGCAGTTTTACAGGTGTAGCTCATTTGCTGAATTGCAATAAAATTTGTCTTCTAACATGAAAAAATAGCATTAATGTGCTATATTCAAAAGTCTCTTATAATTTGGCTAGTCATCTTTTCTTCTTTGCCTGACTGCAGGTATGTATGACATTTTAGTGTCTCATTTCAGGAAGCCTTTTTTTTTGTGCAGTTTTGTGTCTGATCTGTTCAACTAAATGCCTGCCTCCCTCCCAGCACCAGTGTAGCCTTCTCACAAGCAGTTGTTGCGGATCAGACTGCCATCAGTGGAAGAGACGACTGCTCAGTAATCAGGGAATGGGGAGAACAGGAAGGCAAAGTGACTATTGCAGATCTTGGAAGGTCTCTGTGAGTACACACACATGTATGTGCTGCCATTCACTCTTTTAAACTGTATGAAGCCATCACTCAATGTTTTATACCATCAAGGAAAACACAGAACGGAAGGAGTTTGATCATTAATTTGGAGGCATCTCTGTTCCTTCAGCTCTCACATGCCCCCTGGTCTGTGGTGGAGGCTTTTTTTAAGCAAAGCAAAATAGCAAGTGTTAATATGTTCCTTTGGGGAACCACAGCAGTCTACCTGAACTGGTGGTGATTCTGCACTGCCAACAACTGATGGTGTCATCCTGTGGGCTCACTGGGGAGATGCTGAGAGGGTGAACTCAACCTGACCTGTGCTCTGGTGGAGTGGTGCTTGTGGCCTGATCCTTGGCCAGGTTTGTGTGGTGCAGTCATGAACTCAGCACCTACTGCCAGGTCTGCTGAGCCTGTGTGAGATGCCAAACCTGCCACCTGGAAACTGAGACCATTTCAATTCCCTGGGCTTTTTAGACTGCTGCACCTAATTCCTCTGCAGGGCACTACAGGGATGGACGTGGGTGAGGCCTGCATGGAGCTGTGAGGTAAGTGCAGCTTTGGAAGCACATCAGGGTAGCCTCCAATATTTCAGACTTCCTCAAAGGGAAAGGAGCAAAAAGAACAGTGGGCAAAGTGTGTTGTGCAGCTTCTGGGTGCACAGCCAATGATTCTGTTGACTAACTGGTCCAGGCACAAGTCTAGAGGTGTTACCATTTGTTGTAGTGATGAGTTGGAAAGTTCTCACAAAGAAATACAAATATCTAAAAGTTAGTGAAATATCTCCTTTTTCCACCCTACTATATTCTTTAATAGAACATACTGTATTTAGTTCTGCAATAAACAGGAATCTTTCTTCATTTCATTGACAGTGACATTCTAAGATGCAAAGTCCACAACATTTAAAATATCACTGGTGAATCTGATGTTTGTTTTGGGAAAGGTTTTCTACAAGTGGCATAAAAAGACTTAGACAAGGAGTATAAATTATGTGAGAGGGTTTTTTATACTCCTTGTGACTGGAGAAACCTCAGATTTCCTCTCTGCCTGACATAAGCCCTTTGCAGGTTCTGCTTCCAAGAAAAGCCCCTGTTCAAATGCAAAACTGAATGCTGATTACTGAAGATGTCATTTTACATAGAATTCAACAGCCTATTTAGTAGCTTGGAAAATCCTTGGATACAAAGATGGAAAGTGCCAAAGTCTGAGCGATTCGTTTCAAAAGAAAACAATTGTTCAAAAGCCAGTATACATCTGGAGATGAGTAAGACTTGAAGCTACAGCTCTGAGACATTAAGTGTGTGAAAAGCTTTGGAATAATTAAATACTTGAAAGTATTTCCTCACTTGTCTGTTCCTTTCCTGGTTTTGCTCTGGCACCTCCCCCCCAGCCCATCCCAGCTATTTTCAGCTTCTGTCACAAGCGCTCCTTGAACTCACTCAGTCATGTTAAATTTTGGGTCAGTATGATGCACTGTAAGTCTGCTGGGCTGAGCAGCTTCTGCTCACTAAAGTGCAAAGGAAATGGCAATCTACATGTCTTCAGACAATGTTTGCTCATCATCAAATAATAAAATTTATCAACTGGATTATGAAGCATAAACCAGTTTTTAGTCCAAATTGTCAGAGAAAAATATTCCTCTCTACTCAGGGCATCAGGTGTACAATTTCTGGAGCAGTTTTTACATCCAGCTCCTCTATGGCAGCTTAGTCTCTATCAGTGTGAGGCAACTACAAGTGATATTCATAGTGGAGGGCAGGGGATTTGGAAATTGGGACCTTACCTGTATGGAAGAGTTCCTTTGGAGCGGCAGTCAGTGTTCCTAGCAGGGTTGTGCTCCTGTTGATACAATGAGACCTGACAGTGTTCATGGCAAAAAGCCCCAGGCTTTGCAACATGGTAAGGTGGCGGCACACACTGGTACAGTTGGAAAGAGCAGACAGGTTTCCTGAGGTTCAGCCTTTCTCCAAACATCAACCAGCCAAACCTGTGTCCTCCCAAAGCACCTGTGGAGCAGAACTGAATGGAGCTCTGGCCCATGCGACACGAAGATTTCATTCAAGACTAAGATGCTGTGTAGTATCCCAAGGAGCAAAAGACTGCTGTTGATTTTAGGATCATTATCCATAAGGTATGAAAATACCCTGTTTGCGTGCAATTCTTGCAGATATTTACCAGTAAGCTGTTTTTCTCCCTGAAACTTTGTGACTTTTATTTTATTTTAAATTGCTGGAAAAATCCCCAAACAGTGCTATTTGGGGTCTCTTCCTGTCGAACTGCCCTGGTATGTTTGTTTTTCTTTCCTCATACTTAACTTAGTGCTGAAGTTGAGTCTTAAGAATTTTTTTAGCTACTCTCTCTGAGTAAAGATCTTAGTACCTAGAGGAGTACCCTGTGACTCTGTAGTTGAATAGAAATATTTAAAAAGGCTACACAAAGACATCTGAGTTGAAGTCTGAGCTTGTCTGGTTTGTGTCTTTAAGAAAAAGAGATATTTTAATGGCAGTTCTTCATCATAAACAAAGGAGTGTTGTATTTGAAATAATGGCCAGGATCCTTCACAAAACACTTGGAGATTTATGTATAAGAAATGGTTTCATTAGCTAAGATAAATTTGATATTGTTCTGTTTGTTTTCCAAGCTGCATTGAGGTCTTTTGATCTAACTCAGGCATTCCCAAATGTTTATGTCTCACTCTATGTTTTAGTTTACAGAAGTAAGAAAAATGCTTTGCTTTTACTGTGTCTCAGAAAGCTTTAGTTATTTTGTGTATATGACTCTTCAATGTCTCTTACTGCTTTTTCTGCTACAGTCTTCATATTTGTTCCTATTTCATGTATTTTGTCAAATCTAGTGATAAATATGAATTAAATTAATATTGGTCGAGTTCATTGAGGAAACTTGACTGGAAAGTGCCTGAAATGTGTTATCAGCTTTTCTGTGAGGTGGCTTGAAGTCATGTACCTGGATGGGAAGTGGCTTCTCTGTATATTTGGGAGATTTGTTTGTAGAGACACCTTGACTGGTATCCCTGTTTGAGGGGTGTGCGAATTCCCCTTGTAAGTATGATTGTTTATTCATGAGGTCGTGGAAACTTGTCAGAAAAGCCTTCGTTCATTTATTACTTTCTGTTGGTAGGGGGACACTTGGGGTATGGTGTGGGGCTGGAGAATCCTTGGAGTGTTTAGTGAGCAGCTTCATGTATTTAGAGATGAGATATTGACTAAGACTGAAACCGTCCAGGAGACACAATAGGTTGTTTCTCATTGGATTTAAAAAGAGAATAACTTTGATCATTTCAAAAGCAATGAAGCCTGATGCTCCAGCGAGAAAGGAGAGTGGTAATTTATAGCTGCCATTAAGGAAACAAAGACAAAGACTGAGGGAAAGTTTCATTCTGAAGATTTACTAATGTGTATAAACCACTCTTGCAACTAGAAATAGCTTGGTATTTCTCACAGAACAAAACAAAGGAGAAAGGGCAGTGAAATGGGGATGGGAGGGAGGGCTGGAAAAGAATACTGCCTGCTTTTACTTGCACCCTGAAAGGTCAGACATTATTTAGGAAATTGTAATTTCGGTGAATAATGTATGAGCAACTTTTACCTGCCAAAGGAGGGACAGCTGTGGGAAATCCCTAGTTGGGAATGGAGGTGGGAGGTGTGGGCTCTGGTTTGGCCTTCAGCCGGGGATTCACGCACTGCAGTGGGGTGTAATTACACAGTAAAAATTGTAATGCCGTGTTTTTGAAGAAACACAAGTGAGGCTGGAGCGAGCTGCGTGTGTTTGGGCTGTGACAGGGTGCCGGCACACAGAGTCTCTGCACGGGCTTGTCTCCGCTGCAGGAGATGATCTCCCGGGCCGCGGCAGAGCCGGAGAGCCCCGGGTCAGGCGCAGTTGCCGCTGGCACCCGCAGCCTGCGTGTGAGGTATCCGTGCTCCTTCGGGAGGCACCGGCTCCGCGGGACACCTGTGTTTGGGGCGCTGCGCAGGTGTGCGAGCGCCGGTGCCGGCTCAGGGAGGGGGTTTTCCTGCGGGATGGATGGGGCGGTTCGCGTGCCGGAGGGTAGCGGGGCAGGGCAGGGGAGGGGAGGCCCGCCCAGCCCTCGCCGCCCCGCGCCCGCTGTGGGTGCGAGGCGGGCCGGGCGCCCGCAGACACCTCCTCCCTCGGCCGCCGCCTCCTCCCGCCCGGCGGCGGCAGCAGCAGCCGCAGCGCAGCCGCCGCAGCGCCATCGATGGGGTCCGGCGGCCGCCGCGGCGCGACGGGGGCGAGGGCGCTGCCGCTGCTGCTGCTGCTGCTGCTGCTGCTGCTGCCCACGCCGGGCGGCCCCGCCGCGCTGTCCCTGCCCCTGCCCGGTGAGTGCTCCCTGCCCGGTAAATGTCCCCTGCCCTGACCCGGTGAGTGCCCCCTGCCCCGTAAATGTCCGCAGCCCTTACCCGGTGAGTGCCCCCAGCCCCTGCCCGCTCGCCTCATCCCCTTTCAGCGAGTCCCCCCGCGGGCTCCCGGCGCTCTCCCCTCATGGTCTGGTCGCGCTGCCCGGGGCAGGGGGAGGCCGGTGGCGAAGGGAAGGGGAGCGGCGGCTGTTCCCGAGGTGGGGCCGGCGGGACCGTGCCCAGAGCGGGGGGGGTCGCTGCTCGCAGGGCGCTGCGGGCTCCGCGGTGCCGATGCCGCTTTCCCGGCGTGTCTCTCTCCCTCGGCATCGGGACGAGTCCCGGGACACAGGGTACCCTGGCCGAGGGAACGGGGTGTAAACTGCGTGTGCCGCGGGTGAAGCCGCCTTCGGTCCCCGAGGAACGAGCCCAGCGGTTCTCCCGCAGCCTCCGCCGCCTCCTGCCAAGTTGAGGGCTGCGATGTTTGCTCGCAGTCTCGCTCCTCCAGGGTCTCAGGACACTGCCACTGCAAAGGGAAATCTCGCTCCCTGTGCCTACGGATTTTTCCTTTCTATGCCTCTGCGTGCATTAGTGCTGGGGCTTCTTATTGCGGTTCTTTCCCGCACGCTGCAGCTCACAGCGGGTTAATGTGGAAATAAGACGGCGGAGCGGCTGTCTCGCCGCTGGCACGAGATATAGTTGATATCTCTGTGTAATGTCTTTTAGGGAAGACCCCTCCTTGCTGCGTGTTTTCTGGGACCCCTCTTGCCAGGGCAGGTGTGTCCCGCTGGCTCGGGCTGGGAAGGAGACAACTGTCCGTGCCGGGGATACTCAGCCAGTGCTTGCTCCTGATGCTCCTTCCTGCCCGCTCTCTGTCCTTCCTTGCCCATCCTTTCCTTGTGCCCCACCTACCTGAGTCCCACTCGCTGAAGGCTCCTCAGCCACTCCTGCACCCCTCCTTGCCTGACTTGTTCCCTCAATTCACCACCTCCCATGTTTTTTTAATGGCTTGATTTGAGAGGAGGTGGATTCTGCTGCTCTTCCCAGCTGTTTTCCACTGTTTTCCATCTTCTTCTTGCTTTCTGGTGGCAGTATCTGGGGACACCATCACTGCTACTGTAGCCCGGTGCACCTGAGAGCCAGAAAAGCGCTGCTGCTCTAGCACTGGCTCTTTGCCTTGTTTCCCACTGCCAAACCCCATTAGGAGTTAAAACTGAGTGAGCACTTTCTGCTCTTGGCAGCTGCTGCAGTACCTACAGGCAATATTCTGTGACTGGAGAAAGAAAAAAAAAGGCAGGATGAATGCTATAATTGTAAATGGGAAAAGTGCTGGCTGAAATTCCCCTTTAGAAAGTGATCCCCACTATAAAAAGTGGCTGACTATTGAAGTAGTCACCTTCTGCTGATACTCATGCACTACTCCTTGTTTTAGGAGTCAATTTTTATACCTGCGTGAGGTGTTGCTTCAACAATTCTCCCTTTTAGGAAGAAAAATCTTCCTGTTTCTGTGTTTCAGTTCTCTTCTGGTGTATGAAAAACTTCTGCTGATGTCTTCTGCTGCCTGTAACTTTTCTTCCTCTTCTTCTGTCTACACTTCTTCATCTCCAGGACTTCTTCCTGTTGGTGTTTCCCTTTCTCTTCATTTCCTGTGCTCTGAAGTTTCCACCTGGATATTTTGCTTCAGTATGCTGTGCTTTGTGATGACTGGCCAGGTTGTTTGGCAGTGCTGCTCACCAGATACTATTCTTGTATTTAAATAAGTTATTTTTGAATTATACATCTCTTTAATGGTAAGTCAGTCTTTTAACATGTTGGTGGTGACTTTGAAAGTACATTTCTGTCAACTCTGCTTGTTAGTTTAAAAACCATTTGGCTTCCTGCAGGTGATGATGCATAGATGTGATCAAGAATTTTTTCAATAACTGTCTTTTGTTAATCAGAAAGGTGAACAATCTCTGATGAATCTCTGTAAAACTGTCAGCTGAGTTTCATGGAGCATCTGCCATAGTAGATTGTTTTGGATCCATTTACAAATGGGTACGGGAGCTTAACAAGAGCTTATCTGAATTGCACACAAATACATCTGTATGCAGGTAGAACATTATCTATATTTAAGTGCAGATATGGTCTCTGCATGTTTCTGTCCTGACTCACAAATACACACAACATGCACATGCACACCACAAAGAGGTGCTCAGCCTTGTCATCTCGTCAGGGATGTATGCAGGAGACATGCCTTGTCCTGCTGACACCCCTTCTGAATCTGTTGTCTTTTCACAGATGTGGATGAGTGTACCCTGGGGCTTGACGACTGCCACCCAGATGCTATTTGTCAAAACACTCCGAAGCTGTACAAGTGCATGTGCAAAGTGGGTTACACTGGTGAAGGGAAGAAATGTGAAGGTAAAGTGATTGGAGCACTCTGCTCTGCCTGTGTCAGCATGGAGTATTTCTAAAAAGACAGAGCCATTAAAAATAACGGTTTAGAATACGGGGATGATTTTAAATCAAAATAGTCATTGTTTCTTCACCTGATTTACTGCTTGTTTACAAAATCATAGGCAGGCAGTTGGCATGGATTTTCACCTAGTCATATCACTTGGCCTGATAATTAGTTTGTTGTTTAACCAGCAACCTTAAAAACTGTAAGGTAAACTGCAAGGGAATCTCAGGGCATATTGTCAGTCTTTAGAAACATACAGCCAGTAGTGTGTTAAATGTAGTCTATTTGCAAGACAATGATGAGTTTGGACAGCAGTCGCATCTCTGTCTATAACGCTCAAGCAAACATCCATCACACTGACTTTTGCTTTATTCCTTAGACATTGATGAATGTGATAACGACTTCAATGGAGGCTGTGTCCACGAGTGTTTCAACATTCCAGGAAATTACCGCTGTACTTGCTACGATGGCTTTATGTTGGCTCATGATGGCCACAACTGCCTGGGTAAGAAGTCGTGCTCACGAGCAGTGTGAGTGGTGATGCTGACATAACCCTTTAGCTGCATCCATGGCTACCTGCTGGGCTGGATCAGCTCAGCTAGAGAATGTTACATATGGGACAAAGGATTTCCAGGTACTGATGTACCATCTCAGTGTGGCTCTTTCCCCCTGTATAAATGAGGATAATTATGCTATATTTCTGTTGAGTGCGTTGGGTTTAAGTGTATGAAATGTCATCTGTTATTATGGTAAATGAGTTTATATGAAAGAACATGTGCTATCATTATCCTCTCACTTCCAAAGTTAGTTCAGGATCAGTTGTTAACTGTATTTCCAGGCTTAGAAATCTTCTCTCTCATATATCTGTAATGTGGGGACTTCTCACTCTTTCTCTGTCTGAGTGCTTCCTGGAAGCAAAGGATGATTTGGAGTGGGCAGTAGCTGTAGATGATGGAGGCCATGGAAGTACAGAGGGACTAAGCCAAATGCTTGGAGTTTGCCTCGGTGGTTAGTGTGAAGCAAAGTACACAACTCTGGAAGTGTTTTCAATCCTGGCAACACTCCCTTGACCCTGCATGAATGCACTCTTTCCGACCATCTTTTTCTTTTCTTTACTTAAGACCTCCATAAGTTTCTTTTTTTGTGTGCCAGCAGGTGAAAAGCTTTAAAAATGGGTAAGGAGACCTTGTGGCTTTGCTGTGATAGTATTTTCCAGCACAGGGGTGCAGCAGTGTGCAGGAAGTACAGAAAGGTATGAACTGTCAACCTGTTGGCAGTGGGGTGTGCTGCTGGTGTTGCTTCCCTGAGACACAGCCTCATGTTGATGAAGCTGCCCTGCTTCCAGGACCCAGGCTGGGTACCCTGTGTGGCCCCTCCCTGTGCTATCTGTCCCATTTGCTTTTTCAGAGGTGGCTCAGTTTTCCCCTACTGCTGCACTCAATATGGATGTGCCTGGACATACTTCCATGCCCATGTCAGTCAGAGGGAAACTTGCTCTCACAGCATGATTATAATAGGTAGTTAGCTTCACTGGGGTATTTCCCATTAATGTATGGCATATCAGATGGGGGATCAGACCATCCCTAGGCTGTATTTTTTGCTGGGACAAATCATAAAAGCTTTGGAGTATTCTGTGGGATTGTGTTGGGTTTTACCTTCTGGGAACCTGTTACGTGCCCGCAGATTAACCTTGTTACAGTGTAGGCAGAGGAGAGGATGAAGTCACTGGATTCCAAATATTTAAATAAATTAAGTAGAGAGAGAAACAAAATATCTGCTGATAATTTGAAATAATAGGAAGTCCATCTTATTTTTGCATTTGTGTAAACACACAGTGGAGTTCAGTTGAGGTTACCATGAAGAGCTGGTTGTGAATGAACACATTGTCTCTTACAATGCCGCAAAAAGGTATATGTATATTTTGTACCCAGCAGCCCCTCTAGAGCATACTTCAGCTGACTTGCTTGTGATCAGTGAGACCTAGACATAACTTATACCAAAATTTACCACCTGCTAAGTTACTGGGAAGCTGCTCAGGGTTGCATGGCAGACTTCTAAAATAAAATAAAATGTCACTGGCATGCAACGAAATTTTTACCACTGACACACCAAGTTTGAGATGTGATGTAAATGTTAAATAAATATTTTGGCATGCAGCAAATTGGATCACATCTTCTCTTAATCTGCTTATTTACTTTGTTCACGCCAGGGTTGCCCTCCTCTCACCCTTATTTTTGAAGATCTCTGCTGTGTGCCTGGGTTTAAGCCAAATAGACAATTACTTGTTGGAAAGAGATGATTTTTTTGAAAGCTATCCAAGGTCTGTAAGACAGAAACATCTGCTGGAGTTCAAATCTGTAGCACTAAAGACTCATGGTGGCTGTTTATTCACAATTGTTTGCACATTCACATCACTGTAGAACTCTAAAATACTCAGCTTCTTTGTGATGGAGATATGTCAGCCGCTCTATTTCTACAGCAGGTCACATTCTTTTGCATCCAATTGGCTTACTCACTGCCTTCAGTAGACATTAAATCTGTTGTAATACTATATTATGCTTCTTACTAAAAGCCTCTCTTTCTCCTTTTTAAAAAGACAGCTGTTTTCTGCCAGAAATGCTACAATGTTAAATTAAAAACATTGTACTATGAGCCAGGAACAATGAACAGAACAGGGAGCTAACATGATGTTTCGTATGAATTTGCAAATGAGACCAGTGCTTTGCCTCAGCGATGTTTTGTACTGTTTTTAAGGGACTGAGCATTTTTACTTCCTGTCAAAATTGGCATCTCTGAAAATCAGGGTAGGAAAATTAGTTGCTGATAGTGATTAAAAAACCCCTGTGCTTATTAAGGGGTAAAATTGCAAAGAATTGGAGATTGGGATGAGCATCCTGTTGTTCAGGCTTAGCTGAAGTTTTTCTACTCTTTGGTTCTCTTGCAAGCAAAGCCCTTCTGTGTTCTTTGGTGTTGTTGAAACTCTGAATATTGCAAAATCAACTTTAAAACTGTTTCCAGAACTTCTGCTCTTGTCCTTGACTGCAGTGAGGCAACATAACAGCAGCCTTGATGATAAGTGATGATGACCTAGACTTGAGGGAGGAGGATGATAAATCAAACGGAGCTTATGATGTTCTGATGAACAGATGTGGTGTATGAGTTCTAGCTAGGGTGGAAGTAAGGAGCACGGGATAAGTTTTGAGCTACACTTATTTTGAGATTTGTATTTTTCTTGTTCTACTTTTGCTTCAGAACAGGGGCTTTCTGGTAAAACACCTTTTATAGCTTAGGAGGGTTTGGAGCCAAAGTTACATCCCACTGAGCAAGACAGATCCGTGTATGGTTGCTCAACCTAGATGAAACTGTGTGAGGCTCTGGGGTGGTGGTGCCACCCAGCTGCACTGAGGGGCAGGGAATGTTTCTGTGGGTGGTGGGGAGCCCTGTTTCTGGCTCCACTGAGGCTACTCTGCCTCAGCTCAACCAGCAACCCTGGTTAGTTGACCAGCATTTCTTGGGAGCCCTGTGACCGCTTGGGCAAACTCCAAACAGGGGAAGAGCAGCAGCAAAAATGTACTTTCCCAAGGATGACAGCACAACAACAACAGGATAGCCTGGGGTTGTCTCAGCTGCCTGGGTGGCTACATGTGGAGTCGATGTCTGTCTGTGTGCACACTGAGTGTATTTGTGTCAGCACAAAGCTGATCCCTCTCTTTTCCTCTCTCTTTCAGACACAGATGAGTGCATGTTCAACAACGGTGGCTGCCAGCATGTTTGTGTCAACACTGTGGGGAGCTACGAGTGCCGCTGTAAGGAAGGGTTCTTCCTGAGTGACAACCAGCATACCTGCATCCACCGCTCGGAAGGTACTGGCTGCTGCCCTCCGGGCACCAGGCAGCAGTTTCTGACAGAAACTGACTGCAAAATCTCTTCAAAAGTATTTGTAGGTTGAGGTTTTCAAAGCTGTGAAGCGTCTTGAACTCCTCACTGCTCTTAAAAGGAACAGTATGTCAGAATCTTCTAAGTGGCTTTGAAGACTCTACATCCCTTCTGCCCCTTTGATCCCACCTGTATGTCTGCAGTGTTGTGCTTGTTAAAGGCTGCACTGCTCTACTCCCGGTGTACTTGATGCTCTGTTGTGCAGCTAAGCTGTGTCCTGATCCAAGGAAAGACAACAAATGGAAGGACATCAAGTTCCAACCGTTTTCTTGGACTTTAGTTACAGGACAGTACCTGCATTACCTTCAGGTACCTTTTAGATTCCCTGTGCAGTGTTTAGGTTTTGGCTAAGAGATTTATTGTTTGTCAGCCCCAAAGGTATTCAAATCACGTTCTTTGTTTTGAGTGAAACCTTTATGAATCGACCTTTGAGGGATCAGAGAGTTTGGATATCTAATCAGGCATCAGATTGAACAAAATTATTTTGGATGCCCTAAGGGAATACTTTAAAGTGGTTGCTCAGATCAGGGAGTTGTCCATGGTGAAAATCTCAGTAAGAAGTATTTAAAGCTGCAAAGCTTTCTTTAATCTATGCCTTATCACTGGCACGACTGTAAGAGGAATCGAAGCATGAATAAACAAATCTCACTTTAAAAATCCCCATAGTGAAGAGATCAGCATTTATAGGCATCTATGGCCATCCACAGATGAGTGTTCTGAGGTACCTGTCATCTGACAGAGTGACTTGATCCTTTGTTTGACTTAAGAATTTGTGTTCTCAGCTTCTCTGGTCCTGGTCTTGGTCTCAAGGGGATCGGGTGAGATGTGATGATTCCTCAGGCTGTTGCCCAGCTTGCCACTGCAGGGGCTGAGCCAGGAGTGGGGATAAACAGGAAGGCTACAGAGATGGGACAAGGCATTTCCCTTCATGTTGTCTTGCCAGCAGTAACGTGGGTTTGTGTGCATTCATGGATGATGCATCTAAGGATGAAAATTGGTTGCTTGATCTCCTTGTCTTGTCTGATGCCAAGGGAGGAAAAACTTCCAACTCTTTATTCATACTTGCTGCTACTTGAGTACCTTCTGCTCTCCTGAGCTAACAACAGCAACATTCCCTGTCATTAATATTTGTTCCCTAAATTGTGCCTATGGAATTCAACCTCTGCTGTCTTGTTTTTGAAGATGCAGTTAATGTCTCTTGCCTTTTTTTTGCAAAAAAGGCATTTTTTTTTGCATAATACCAAATTACCACTAAATTTGGAGATTTTTCTTTGAGAAGAAAAATAAAGAGGGGGTAAAAAGATTTTTTTTTTCCTAAAAGTTATAAAATAAAATATATTTTTGTAAAAACCAATCTTAAGGAAGAAAATCACAGTTTTTGCATTAAATGCCTTTTTTTTTTTTGCTTGTTTTTCTTTCTTTAAAAACAATTTCTTTCAGGTTATCATACTGTGACTGCTTCCCTCCTGCCACCCCTCCATTACTGTAAAGCACTCTGTGGGATTCCCCACTTTTTAAAAAAACCCACTTTTTTTTCCCCTCGGGTGGGCAGGCCTGTTGTAAGCCCAATCTCCCTGCTTTATTTTCCCCCTCACTTTGTTCTCTGCTTTTCTGCTCATTGCTAGAACTTCTGTTCTTTGCCTTGTACATGCATCGTTCAGTGTATGTACTTTACTAGTTCTCTCTTGAGACCTCACAGCATTGATCAAAGCAGCCTTTGGCACCTGCTGCCTGGACCATCTATTCAGTTTTGTTTCTTATCTGTAATATAGAGGAATATTTCCTTCCCTGTCTTCCAGCCCAATTAAGACTGTTCATACATTAATGCCTGAGAGACCTTCCTTGTGTTCTGCAATGCTGGCCATTACATACACAGGAAAAGACTGAACTGGAAAGTTAAGATAGGAAGACGAGAGAGGCCTGAGGCTCTTATATTCCTTTTGAGGAGCAGTTTAACAGGGGAGCCTGAAAGTCATCTGCCCTTCAAAGTCTGTCTGTAACTCTCCTCTGGGTGACTTGTCACCTACTGTGACATGGGACTCAAAATCAGGTCGCTATTAGAGGAGAGTTTCATAATTAAAGTTGATTTTTTTCTTCTGTTGTGACTGTGTTGGTCTGAAGCACAGGGGTACTCTTGGTGGTTCTGCCTAGCCCCTGCTTAAATCACAGGAACTGAAAGTGTCCTGGGAAGTTGTGCACAATCCTATTTTTTTTTCCTTGGCTGTCTGCTCTAAATGAGCTCTTCTTCATCCACACATGGGAGAATGAATTTCTCAGCCTTGGGAGGCTATTAAAGTATCTGACAGGACAGCCATGCATATGTGTCTTATTTCTGTGTTTAACTTGGACCATATTAGAGAACACAAAAATTTGAAAGACAACAGGCATAATATACGTAGTACATGTTGTGGTTGCTATTGCAGTGGATGGCAAATCTTGCTGCTCTCCCTTGTGGTATTTCACAGGCATAGCTATCTGCTTGTTGGGCTGAATCAATGGGAGTGAACGGGATCTGCAAGATGAAAGCCACATTTGAAATCCCTGTGTGGACTGAAAGCTTGTACACAGGGCACTGTCTCAGCTGCTGCTCTTAGAGTCCTTCTGACTGTGGAGAACAGTGATAACTGGAAAGTTTGTTGGGAAAAGTTGCCTTAACACAAGGGTGTAGAAAGCATGAGAAAAGAGCTAAGCATTCCTGGGATGTCCTGTTCTGCTGGCTGTGCCAATGGTCCTCAGTGTTTGCGTTTTAGAGGGTGCCTCTGAGAATCTCTGGTAACTCTTTGTACAAATGAATCCTCTCCCACTGTCCTGTTGAGTGCCTGTCTGAGTGTGCCCTAAGTGGAACCTTAATGCTCTTAGCAGATTGGGAATGCTGTCCCCACATCTTCTGTACCAAAAAAAGAGGAAGGTTTAAACACAGATCATATGTATAATAGATTAATGTAGCGTGACCTGATAGGGAAATATTGTACTGGTTTTTCTTGCTTGCATTTTGCCAGGGACGAGAGTCCTCAGATAATTTTCTGGGTAGCTTCAAAAAAGTCCAGAAAGAATTTCAGAAAGGACTCATTTGGCTTGGGATCTTCTCAACCAGGCAGGCACTGGATGTGACTCTCTTGGCTGAGTGTGGCAATCAAGAGTCATCCATCCGAAGACACTTGTGTGTCAGTTGGGCAGGGTCTCGTGCAAGAGAAATTGTGTGTTTGGGAAGCATGTGGTGGGATTTGACCAAAATTTGTTTGGGGTTTGGTTCTGGATCACAGTCTGCCATTGCAACAGCTTGGGAACAATGTGACCTGGGAGGCTCCGTGTCCGTGAAGGAGTTTGTAGTCCCGCAGCATTTATGGCTTTACAGACATCTCTTTAAAACAACCTTATAAAATGAGGCTGAGAGAAGTCTTCCACCACCTTTGGAAACAAGCAGCAGCTTCACAGTAAATGCTAGAATGTGTGGCTGCAGGTATCTTCTATGAAACGCTACCTTTTGGGTCAGCTACATTTTTTTGGTGGGTTTGGTCAAGTAACTTGTCACAAAATGGGTACTTTGTTGTTAAAATGCATCCTGGTTTGGAAAGTGCAGTTTCAGCTTTCTGTGGAGACCTGATTGAATTCTGCTCACTCAGAACGGAGCAATCCCAAATGGAGCATTTAAACAGTTTGTCTGATGTCAGTGAACTTTACCAAAGTACCTGCTTGAACAGTTTTCTTTTTGGTAGCTCAATAGAGACAAAAGAATAACTTTGTTAACAGAACCTAAGCTGCTAATTCTCTTAATGCTCTCTAATGCCTTTGAGCTAACAGACCAAATCATATTACATGCTTAAGGCCAGAACTGTCCCCAAAACAGTGGTGTTAATGAAGCTAATTTGTGGCCTCATAGGTTGGCTGTTCCTTCACTGACACAATAATGGATGACAGCTTTCATGTGGGCTCCTTGGACTGTGTCTATGTGCTGCAGGATTTGAAGTCTCATTGTCTTGTTGGACTTCTGGAGACTCCTCACTGTGGGAAAGGAATCAAAAAGCCAGTAGAGCAGAATAATCTGGGCTCTGCAACGTCCATTCTTTTGTTGCTTAAAGCTGTCCTAATAGAGAAAGGATACTGTAGCTGGTGCTTAGATGGCAAGAATAGCAGCGAAGAGCAGGGACCTAATTGAAGTGTAGTGGAATAATAGTGACGAGCTGACCTCTGCTTGACAATGCAGTGGGTTTGTTTCATTTAGTAATAAGGCTGCACAAAGGGCTGTGTAAGTTTAAAAAAGATATAAGGTGTGGAATTGTTCACACCATCCCATTTTAGCTGTATGGTCACCCTTTTTGTTCTGCCTCTCATTGTGCATCTGCTCAACTCAGTAGAAGTTCACTGAGGTGATGTGGGATAAGCCCTTGCAGCCAAAGTATGTTCCACTTAGTCTTCTCAAATGAAATGTTGTCGCTGAGAAAGAGCATTTTGGTGTAACTTGTCTCATTAAAGCCAAATGTGCCAAGGCAGAGAATTTTATGGCAAAGGTGTGTTTTCTGTGTATCTGAGGAGAGCATTCAGTTGTCTTCTCTCCAGGTTTTGGAGCACTATTAGAGGACTTCATCGAAAACCTGTGGTATACTGTTGAAAGAAAAACTCTTTATTGAATTTGGTCTAATAATCCTATTTGATAACTCAGCCAGCTGCTCTATGGTTTTATGTTCCGTGTGCACAAATCGTGTGACCATCTTGCCAGTGGTAAAGGCATTGATTTCACTGAACCACGTGGCAAGGTGAAGGAAGTTTTTACAATAGTTTTAGGAACTATTTCTCCCTGTTTAATTGTCTGTGTCATTTTGCAAAGGCCAGACAAAACACTGGCAGTCATTCTGTGCATGAACAGCTTGTAACTGTCAGAGATAAAAATGACAGGATGTTTTTAGGAAGTGCAGCAAAAGGAATACAGTCACTAGTGTCACACTGCTTTTTCATTTGGTTAAAGCAGGCACTGGCACTAAATTCTGTCTAGTTGGGAAGGTTGGGAAGAAATACAGAACACTGTGACAATCCTCAGTGAGCTTATTTTGAGTGGTATTTATTGAAATCAGAAAAAAAGGAAACAAAATGGTTAACAAAAAAGAGAATTGACACCACATGTACAATCTTCATGTCTTCCTGGTCACTCCTTGGTCACTGCTGAGGTAGGCTATGACTTTGGGAATCTGCTTTGAAGGCCAGTAATTGAAATTGGAATGACTCTTGCTACTGTTGGCTAAACATTCCTTTGTCTGGTGGCTGCTCTTTTAAGCAGAGAAAATAGAACTTCAGTTTAGACTTGGATCTTGCCAGATATCGACCACCTTGCAACTTTTATAAAAGAAATGAGGAGGTTTTATGAACACCCGTCTAAAGTGAGAGCGCTGGATGAGAATACAGGGGCTGCACAAATCTAGGGATGTCACTTTTTGACCTTGCAGTGAAAACATGGGCACAGAAAAGATCACAGAAGGAGAAACCTTGAGGCCATTGACTTTGCAGGATGACTTCTTGCCTTTCCTGTCTGTAAACTGAAACTTCTTGTCCTGACACCGTAGAGTCTTCCCAGAAGTAGCAGGCTGTAGTCTGTATGTGTGTTGAACTGACTTTGTTGCCTGCACACAGAGATGCTGAGGATGCTGATGCTCTTGCACTTGTCCTGTTTTGCAGAAGGCATGAGCTGCATGAACAAAGATCATGGCTGTGCCCACATCTGCAGAGAAACGCCCAAAGGAGGAGTTGCCTGTGAATGCCGACCAGGATTTGAACTGTCCAAGAATCAGAGGAGCTGCATTTGTATGCAATATTCTGCATATGCTTGTGGTTTCCCAAAGTGAACAAATAGTGTTCTGTTTGCAGTGATGTGGGATTTGGTATGTTATAGCTAAAGTGGGATGACACACCTAAGTTGTGTGCATTTGAATTAAGATAGAATCAATGCCTTTTGTGGACACTATCACACCAGTCTTAATTGTTATGGTGTCTGTAGTTTGGGAATTGTGCTATCATTCATAATGACAGGAAGTTCAGCTCCACGAGAGAGTGCTTCAGTGTGGCAGAGTTCCTCGGGAAAGGGGCATGTTAGGAAGGTGTGGGTGGTCAGATGGTGACAGAATTTCACACTGTCTTTCAAAGATGCTGGAAGTACTTGTGAGATGTGAAATATATTTTCTTCCTAGTAACATGTAATCATGGAAATGGGGGCTGTCAACATACGTGTGATGATGCTGATAATGGACCTATTTGTGGATGTCACCCCAAGTACATCATGCATGTGGATGGGAAAACCTGCCTGGGTCAGTATATGGTGGAGTGAAGTAGTTTGATGTTGATGAGCAACTCTAAGGTGGTGTGGGGTTGCTGTGTGTTCGTGATTAATGCTCCTCATAATAGTATGGCTAGAAAATGTCAAGGAATTCAAAATTAAGAAACCTGCTAGTTTTGGGTCCAGGCAACTTATTCTTCTCTATGTAAGTAACTACCTAATGCTATTGCAGCCTGCAATTATCACTGGTCCCTCTGAAGTACAAGGCCTGCCACTAACCAAAGAAGGCTTCCTTCCCTCTAGAGTATTTTAGGTTCAGTTTCTCGTATCGGATGAGCCAGAGTGTAACCAAGGAGTGCATCTGTTAAAACCGGAACTCTGAAATCAATTAATGTACAGTTTTTGCAAAACAGTTATCCAGTAAAGAAAGTATATAAGATTTATAAACTCTTCCAGTCTCTGGAAGAGTTTGTTGTCTGTTGATTGAAATCAAATGCTTAGACATAACTGGCTAGTCCTTGTATTTGTTCATGATAGATGATGACAGTGTGCTCTTAAGAGAACAGTTCATGACAGTTCAATTAGTTCTTTCATCTTGTTACTGTTTACTACATCTGTGGCACATCTTTTGTTTTGTTAAGAATACTGAAGCAAACATGACTTGTAAGGCAACCACAGAAGCAAAGTATTCTTATGGTTTTGACTGAAGAGTCTTCATGATTTTCATTGCTACTTTCTTTATAAAAATAATTTGTTTCTGCCTAGTCAGTTCTGTCTCTGATGATTCAGTGTGTGATGTAGCAGTTTGCATGTGTGTACATATTGAAAGTCAGATGAGGTTTCTGGTCAGGGTACCTTTACTCACTGGCTTTTTTCGTGTTCCTTACAGAGAGGGAAGAGGCTGCTGTGGAAATTTCAGAGGGGAACACCACAGCAGCAGCTGATGTGGACAAGAGGGTGAAGCGACGGTTGCTTATGGGTAAAAGTGCAGATCCAAAATAATTCTGCTGTTTGTTGAAACCTTTTGGATCAAAGAATTGGTGTGGGTTTGTTTTTGGTTTTGTTTTTTTTTTTTTTACTGTAACCATCAGCTCTGGACTGATTTCTGCCTTTGATGCTTCACTCTCTCTTAAGGAAATAATATTATTCCATAATGTGTTAAAAACTACATACATTGTTTGTGATGGTCAGTGGGGAAGTATCAAGAACTTGCCCTTGGGCTGTGTCTGTGTGCTGCAGTGTATAGTTGCATGGTTCTAATTCACCATGGGAATGCAGTACAATCCCTTCTGTGCTACAGTTTTAGCCCTTTTTTTAGCCTTGATTGTGGAGGAAGCAGTGTTTTACCTGCTTCTCTTCAACTGAAAGTATACTTCTGTGTGGAAGAGAATTGGGCCCAGTGGTGGATTGCATTTAGAAGGACATGTCAGGGTGCAAGGCCATCTTATTATTCCTAGAGGTGTTCCCATCTGACCCAGAATGCTAGTCTCTAGGAGTCTGTCACTGCAGGAAAGGCACTGGCATAAGAAACAATCACTGTGGTCTCAGGGCAGCTGGGTCAGTGGATGCCCACCTCTCAAAAGCCCTTTCTTCATGCAGTCAGGGTGATTTGCTGTGCTTACTGGCACTTACTGCAGCTGAGAGGCTGAGAAAGAAGCTACCAAAAGTGTAGGGCTAGCCCTGAGCTCCTGAGTCCATGTTTAGACACCTAAATAAATATCCTTTTTTTCCAAAAAAAAAAAAAAAAGAAAAGAAAAAAGAAAAAGACATTTCTGTGGAAAGAAGAAAAAAGAAGATGCACTCTGTATTCCCTTGGAGGTTGGACACAGCCTCCCAATACTGAAAGTGAGATGAGAAACTGCAAGGGAATTAACCAGTAAAGTTCTCAAAACTTGAGAATGAGTGGCATATGCCTGATGCTGCAAAAAAATAGGATACAGAGCTAGAAAGAGAGAATTTCAAAAGGCAGACATAAAAAATGCTCTTTGCAGCTCTCTCAATCATTATGTGCTATATAAAATTGCATTTGTCCAGCCAGTGATAAGCTGTTAGACTGACTAAAAGAGGATGGATGCCAAAGAGTGAATTATTTCTGCTTAGCTGGATGTGAAGAACCGTGTTTTGAGGGTGTTCACTAGAAAGGTTTGGTTAGATTTAGACATAGCTTGCATAGGGGCAAGTTAGACCAACAAACTTTGTTTGAAATGGCAAAAAGGCACATGGGTTACCATTGTGGATGTTATCCAGCATGACTGGGGGCACAGGTAGGATGGGAAGGTGTGTTGGGAGGGATTTAAGAAAATTGGTTTACTAGTGCCAAGTGTAACCAATTGTCTGAGCGTGGGTGGAAAGTGTCAGAGGATCAGCCAGGAATGAGTGTGGGCATAAGGACACAGACTGACAGTAACAGATTCATCATCAAGGAGCAGGGTTTTGTGTTTAAGGACAAGGACAACCAGAGGACAGTATCTTAGGTTGTAGAGCCTCCACAAAAAACCTGGAAATAGCTGAGGCAGGGGTTTTGCCAACACATGTATTTAGTAGCTGCTCGTGTACGCTAGACTAAATCTGTTTGAAAAGCAGTGTGCTTGGAACTGTGCCTCGTGTCTCATGATGTTTCCTGTTACCATTGTAACATCCCTGAGCAAACTTCAGCTTTATCTTGTTGGCCAGAAACGTGTGCAGTGAATAACGGCGGCTGCGATCGCACGTGTAAGGACACGTCGACCGGAGTTCACTGCAGCTGTCCTGTGGGATTCACGCTCCAGTTTGATGGCAAGACATGTAAGGGTGAGTTTTATGACTGTAGACATGTACCTACCAACACCTTGCTATAAGGTGGTTATCTCCAAATGAAGGTGCAGAGGAAAACCAGTGTGTGTAATCTGACCAAAGAAAGGGCTGCAGCCGGGGTGGAGGTGTGGTTTCCATCGCATCAGGTGTACCATGTGCAGAGAATCTCTTCTGCTCTGCCCTCCCCCTCATCACTTCCACCTCTCGTGCCGAGATGGCCTCATTTTTCACAGGTGAGGTTTGGTAGAGGTAATAAAGGCCTGTGGTGAAGTAGAGGTCAGTGCTGGGAGAAGTAGGCATGTAGGTGCTTACAGGTGTACAGTGCAATAGTCTGATGTTTTACCCACGGTCAGATGGGTATTAGAGCAGTTTGTAAGTAAATATCAGTGTGCAAATAGGGATGTGTTTTACAAATATATACTGGTCCATGTGGCTCTAATGAGAGTACTGGCAAGGAGCAAAGGGACAGTCGTTAGAATATACAGTATATTAGAATACATTTTCTAGTGATTAGATGTTAAGACTGTTCTGCTAAGCAAAAATGATGAAATCCCCAAGCCTGAGTCAATTAATATTAGATAAAGGCCTCATTCTAATATTGGCATGAAAAGGATGGGGTAGCTCAGGAATCTGCCTGAGATTTCTGCTGGGTTTACAGAGAGGAAATGGAGAGAATGTTTAAAATGCTAAAACCTTTTAGAGAGTGTTGGAGTCAAAGTGCTTCCAAACAGAACTTAGGGAAATGGTCTTTTATGAATACATATACCCAAATGTAACTGACAGCAGTATGTTAAATGAGAAGAAATAACACTGTCCTGGGACTGAAGGGGCCAGATCCTTCTTAAGAGTTGGACCTGATCTTCCTTTTGTGGTACTCTCACTGGATTTTGTTTCTGGGCTCCTCTAGCCAACTGGATGAGACTGTTTTCTTGGTCTGGCAGTAGAAGTATGTTGAGTGCTCTATGTTTATTTGTTGAAATGCTTTTTTTGTTACAGATATTGATGAATGCCAGTCCAATAATGGAGGCTGTGATCATTTCTGTAAAAACACTGTTGGCAGTTTTGATTGCAGCTGCAGAAAAGGATTTAAATTATTAACAGATGAGAAGTCTTGTCAAGGTATGTGCACTGGACAGACAATAGTAGAACAAAAGTAGGACAAATCAGTGTGGCTTGGACATCTACTACAATGATGAGGTGATAATGGACTCCAGAATTTCCATTCCTCAGTGCTGGATATTTTTTCTTTTGAAACAGCTGTTGAGTTAGTACAGTTGGCTTGATACTATTGTAGGAGATATGTTTAATGGTACAGTGAGCTATTATCAGGAAGTGACAGAGACAGCATCATATTAAAAAACTTTTTGTGAGGTTAATACTTCCCCCTGCCTTAATGATCTTAAAATAATTTATAGAGAAAATTAGACAATATCTCCCTGTCCATCTTACTGACTGATTCACCACTGCAGTGAAATTAATTTTTCTTAATAGGACACTTTGTTGCCATGAGTTCATTATTAAAGGAAAAAGATATAACATGATCTATGAAATTATAGACCTGGAGACAGACTGGAAACACTGTTCTCTAAAACATCATAGAGCATTTGATTTTGAAGATAACGTGGATTTCTCCTGTGAGACTTGCACAGCATGTTTGCTTTGCTGTATAATGGTTTGTACATATAGAGTTAGCAATCCTGTTTAAGCTGCTTAAATGCATAAAAATTTAAATATCAAAGTGCTCTGGTTTTGTGGAAAAGCTACAGTATGAAACAATGTAATGTCAATCAGCCAAATGGTGAATTATGCCATTTCCTAGGCAACTATCTGACATTAATGATTAATTTCAGAAAGCTGAACTGATTATTAGAAGGTACTTTTCACCTGCATTTTTGATGTATTCTTATCCTTTATAAATCAGACAAAGAAGGACAGCTATTTATATGGAGCCAACTTACTATATAAATATCAGATTTTTAAGATGTTTTGTGGGGGTTTTTCAGATGTAATTTGTTTATAAAGGTATTTTAAAGACTTACATCTCCCTTTTGTCCCTGTCACTTCTCTAACTTTTCCTAGACTGTTTCAGAAGTGATACCTTGAAGCATGCCAAAGCTCAAGAAACAAGATTGATGAAATGTGTCAGTGAAGTTGATGTGAAAGTTTTTGTGTCTTGCAGCATTTTCATGTGACATGCATAATGTATCAGCACAGAAATTTTAGGTTCTTTTGATGGTGTAATAAATGTTCATTCTTGGAGAACATGGTGATTTTCAGCAGGCTTAAATCAGACACTGTATGTTCACATGGAGTTAAAATTGTGGCCTTCGTTTTTATTTAGGGAGAAAAAAAAAAAGGCAATACTTTCTTTTGTAGAATTCTTTTCTGTGTAGACTTTTCTAAATGAAATAAGAGTTTTGTCAGCAGTTTTCTTCTCCCATAGAAGAGAAATAATTTGTTTTAAACATAATTTTAAAAATGTAACAGCAGTTTCTGCGTTTGCCAAGAAAAAGCTTGTTTGGCAAGCTGAAGTGCTCTTTTAGAAGTTGTCATTTCGTTATGTTACATTATTTGCTTTCAAAGAATTTGCTTAGTTTACATAAATCTGCACATCTCTGCGTCCAACTTCGTTAGCTCATCAGGGCTGCCTTGTCAGCCTGAAAGATACTGATGCGTCCCTTTAAAACCTGCAGACGTTGATGAATGCTCCTTCGAGCGGACGTGCGACCACACGTGCATCAATCATCCAGGCACCTTTGAGTGCACTTGCAACAAAGGATATGCTCTCTATGGCTTCACACATTGTGGAGGTGAGTTATGGAAAGGCACCACAGGCCACTGCTGATAGAGGGCTGTTGCCACGGGTCTAGTTATTGTCTGTGCAAGGCGAAAGCTGAGGTGTATGCAGGAGGCCCGTGGAGTAAATTTTACTCTCTGCTAGGATAATGAGACACAGCAAAAGTAGAAAATAATCCTGCTTATTTCTTTCTTTGCTCAAATGATTTTACCTTCACACCATGTTATTATTAGGACAAGCTGATAGGTTTTGCATTTGGATATGAAAACCCTAATTTGATACAATTTTCACATGCAGAAGTGTCATTGACTTCAATGAAAAGTCAGTGGAAAAGGCCTTAAAGAGCAGGAAGGTCTGAATGACTTCCAAAATTATGGTTCTGCAGTTGCCTTTGTGCATATGTCAGATCCTCACATGATGTAGATTGGAATTTAGCTGATGTAGTGCCACTGATTTACAGTGGCCAAGATTAATACTCTTGAATCTTTTATGTCTTTCCTACAAAGACAGTCCAAGGAAAGAGAAAGATGTTCACAGAACCTTGACGTATGTCAAATGTGAATATTTGTGTGACAGATTTCCAGATTTTACTTAACAATAACTGGGACACTAAATGGAATTAAATTTGGTTTATATAAGCTCTTGGCAAGATTTTACTGACTCCACAAGACCTTACCAACTGGAACAATTCAGAGATCTCTGTATGATTGTTCTGTTCTACCCTCTGCCTCTACTCTCCTTTGCCTCCTTGCAAAGGAGATTACAGGGCTACAACATCACTGTGTTGTATCCTGATGAACAGGGGAACTTGACTGGATAAGGAATAACACTGTTCATGTGCTCTACTTGCAAAAAGAAGTCAGTTCTCATTAATTCTTCTGCATTAATTCAATTTCTTTTGGCCACCAGTGAGGCAAAGGAACTGTAATTTTGCTGTTGGCTGCTAATTGGCCTGGGGAGAAGATGTTAATCCTCATGCTGTAGTAAGTCCTTCATTGACTGGCAGTCAAAGCTGGTAGGGATACACCTTTTGACCTCCATGGAAGAAGTCAATAAATACTGGAGATAACAGGTTGCCATTGCATGCAGCATCCTGACAAAAGGTCCATGAAAACCAAAGATTTGGGCTGATTTTGTAGTATCTCAGGCAGCAATACTAGTTTAAGGTGTTCCCTTCTTTCTGCATTATTCCTCTGCTGCCCATTCCTACCCCTGCTGTCTAAGTTCTGTTAATTAGGATATTTTTCCCCGAATTCAGATCAGTTTTGTAATGTGTTTCACAATGTTTTCTAATAAATTGCTACTTACAGGATATCTGTAAGGGGGAATGAATGGTTGGGGAGAGGATTGACAAGAAATTGTTATTACCACTGAGAAAACTGTATGTAGAAGCAGGTACCCTCAGTTGCACAAACTTTATGGGACTTGTGACAGGTTTCTTGATGACAGCTTTCTAGGTCTATGTATAATTGCCATAGAGCTACAGGAGACAAGTGAAGCAGTCATTGGGGTGGATCTGAGCAGCAAAGACATCTAACTTTGCATTTCCCATTGTTGAAATTCATGAGATTCCTATTGACCCATTTTCCAGCCAGTCAAGGTCCCTGTGAATAGTGGCACAACCATCTGGTGTATCAGCCACTCCTCCTAGTTTTGTATCATCCGAGAACTTACTGAGGGTGAACTCTTGTCCCATCATCCAGGTTTAATCAAGAGGATAAATAGTATTGGCCCTGGTATTGACCCCTGGGATACAGCACTAGTCAATGGTATATTCTGCATCAGCATGCAAGCTTGCACCAAGGGCAGTATGTTGTGTTGCAGTGGTTTCTCCTCCTACTGGCATTTATTGGGCAGGACAAGGCCCTAAAATTGGATAATTGGCCAAAAGGGACAATGGTGACACAATGTTTACCCACAGAGTCAAACCATGTTCCACAGTAGTTGTATCTATCAGAGCACTTTGGAGGATCAATGAGTATGAATCTTGTCTGTGTTGTCTGTCTTTATTACAAATTACAAATAATAATTAAGCAGACACGGTACAATTCATACTTGATTTGACCTCCTTTTCCTGGAGTTAATTTGCTATTGTATTGCTGAGGCTGGATATTGTTTAATTATGAGGTTTGAGGACACAATTAACATTTCCCTTCCACCAGCATTTGGTCTGTTTTGAAATTTATCAAAGGATTTCCAGGAAGGCAAACTAGTTCAAGGTGGGTGTCCAGATAGCATTCCTAAAGTCTTTTTCAAGCTCTACTAAGCAGTGTTTGTGTACATGTTTACCTAGCGGAGTCAGAATACAGTACTTTTGGAAGAGTATCTTTTTGTAACTATTTTTACCTTTCCTCCGTAGATATTAATGAATGTAGCATCAACAACGGTGGTTGCCAACAGCTGTGTGTGAACACGCAGGGAGACTATGAATGCCTGTGTCACTCTAACTACAAGTTACACTGGAACAAAAAGGATTGTGTTGGTAAGGTGTCTAGTGAATACATTTCTACTCCTGATGTGTGTGATGGCCATATGGTTACAGTCAAATCTGATGGTCTGTCCAGTTAAGTGGTATGAGTCATTGTTCCCGGTATTCCGCTTTGCTTTGTAGCAAGGCATGATGGTAATGATGTTGAAACTCATAAAAACAAGTGAAAAACCAACCCCAAAAACAGGAGATACTTTGAGGGATTTCGATGCTTTCTTTCCTGTGCTTTTTGTCTAGCTCATTCTTCTATTTCCTTTGGTTTCTCTGCATGAGAAGGTTTGCTCATGATAAAGGAAATTGCTTATGTGATGTCATCTGCCAGTGATGTTATTTCGCTTTGATTTTCTGTCTAAGCAGCGTATTAATTGCATGGGTGCTCTCAGGTACCAGCTACAAAAGCAGCTGCTTGTCAATTTGTTAGTAGGGTGTAGGTAGATGTTTTAATTCTGTGAGTATTTGTTTTATCTTATTTAGAGACAAAAGGTCCCTTGCCTGATAATATGTCACCCAAGGTATTGCTGCACTGCATTAAGAGTGGTGGGAGTGATAGATGCTTTTTAAGCTGCTCTCCGGATATCCAGGTGTTTTCTGGTAAGTCAAAACTAACAAAAAACAAGCATGTGATTCTGCAGAGAGTGTAAAGTGGGGCAAATATCCTAACTGTCATGGAAGCCCCAAGAAGGAGACAATCAGCAGGGATCTTTCCTCTTTCACTACAGATAATAAAGGGCTACATCCCTGACAGTGTCCCAGGAAAGCCCCTCTTTCCTTGTCTTTTATAACCACTCTACCCTCAGACTCCCTTCTCATGACAACTGTCTTTTTGAAGCTGGGGAGGACAGGGCAGAATTCTCTGTGCTCCCTGGGCCATTCCTTAATTGGCTGTGAGAGCCACTGCTGAATGGGGTGAAGGCATTCCAGCCCTGCGTGGGGTCTGGGATTTTGCCTGTGCAGCCCCTTCATCCCATAGGACATGGCATGGGGACTCATCTGGTGCTCGTGGGACAGATGCTGTTTTTCTTCCTGAACCTTTTAAATGGCTTAGAAAAAGACAAGCTCTAATGTAGAGTATTTTATGAACAACATTGTTAAAAAAGGTGAGGATGATGATACCGATCAACAAATTAAATATATCTTTCATACTACAGGAGTCTTCAGTCTGTGCACTGTGCCTATGCCTTTACTCTCTGTCTCTCTGGTCTGTCTGTTAGGAACACAAGATGCCTACACCCTCACCTGTGGCAGGTCATCTCAGCTTAAGAAAAAGCAGCAAAATACAAATGCTTCCAGCTGGCTGGGTAATCACAACATTTACTGTTGCATGGTTTGACTGATTTATTTTTGGTGATAACTGTGAAATAAAGGTGTTTCTGTTGACTTCCTATTTTCACTCTCTGTTATGCTCCGTCTGTTTTTATTTCCTCATCCTCATGATTGTTGTTCATGATTGCAGCAGAAAAATTCCCCTTGTGCTGCTTCAATCAGCATCACTCAAACTAAGACTTAAAAATAAGGAAAGAGGAAAAGATCAGTAGTGAAATAAACAGCCAGACCAGGAGTGTCATGCTTCTTTTTAATCATCCAGACTGGACAGTGTTCGTAAGATACAATATGTTTAGAATGAGCTGTTGGACGGTAAAGTTTAGAAAGCATTTACAGCTAAACAGATAAGAGGTACTATTTTATATTGACATAAACTATTTGCTGAACTGGTCTGGAGTATCTCCTTTGATTGCAGCTAACCCTTATTTGATTTACCCAATAGCAGATCTGAACTTGTTCTCATTTTTCTTCTGCTTCTCTTTTTACTTTTTTAAAATAAAATTCACTACATTTTCTTCCAACGCAAGTTACGAACCAGCTTCACAGCAGCAGGGATATGGCATCTCTTTAGGTTTTCTGTGCCGACTACTTTTTCACTTTATATCAGCATATTTTTTGATGTCATCATTACGATGATGTGACATTAGGGTTATCTAAATTTTCTGTTCCTTTTTTTAAAATAACATGTCATTGTTTCTTCCTGAAGATGCTTCAGCCATCAAGATAAGCGTAACCTTTAAATTAAATGAAGGAAAATGTAGTTTGAAAAAGACTGAGATGTTTCAAGAAGGTCTGGAACAGATGATACCAGGTATGAAAATAAAAATGCAGGTAAGCAGGTTAGAGCTATAGCTCAGGGGTTATCAATGCTTTCCAGGTATGAAGTACACCATAAGCAAGGCATAGAGGACTACAGGCCTTCTGCTCTTCACTGACCTCATGAATCACACTCCTTCCCAGCCATGATTCTTGCAGTAGTTATTTCAGATCACAGGACTTCCTTGTGGCATCCCTGCAGTCTTACTAGGAAAGCCCTTCTCCTTTTTTTGTTATAATGCTGGTAATAAATTCTCAGTAAAATCAACTATTCTTTTCATTCTTTTGCTCTCTTCCTTTTCTTTTTATCTTTCTGTCTGTCTCTTCTCACCTGCTTCTTACTGTCTGATGCCTCGTTGAAGAATCTCCTGACCTTTTATGCTGACTCTATTGTCAAAGGGTTATTCTTCTTTCCCCTTGTTTTCCTTTTATACTTCAGCAGCCCCAGATGGACACAGTGAGGTCAGCTCTTCCATCTGTTCCAAATCAGAAAGTACAGTCTGTGAATTTACAAAGTGAGCAGCGAATGAGGAGAAGTACATATAAAAAAATAAAATCAAATAAATGGAGCTGGGAAAAGGAGTCATTAAACAATATGATGAATCGGTGTGTCTGATTGTTTGTCCGTAGCAGAGTAACAGTGAGAAACTACCCTGGATGCTCAGTGAAGAGTTATGTACTCCAGAACCAAAGCTTATTCTGGGTGTTTTCTTTAACTAAATAATATTTCCTCACTGAAACCATGAAAATGGTCTCCAAATGTTTTGCGTATGCAACCACTACTTAATTTAAACACCATTATAAGCTAATGTGTTTTTCACATTCTTCATATGCGTACAAAATTTCTTCCCTTGAGTAGCCTGCCTGACGTAGGCAGTGTCATGGTTTTAAGATGCTTTGCGTAGTGCAAAGGCAATTCCTTAGAACCTGGTAGCAAAGCCCAGGGGATGTGGTTTGAGCACTGCAGCCAAGTTCCCATCCTAGTGATGATTCAGATGGGCTGCAGTGCCCCACTCTCAGCCTGGCAGCACATCTGTAGGCGCACAGGAGTCACAATTCTGTGTTAGGGTGTACCAGTAGAAAAACTGGCCAAACTTTGTTTACTGGCATGTGGAGGTCTTTGTTTCCTCTTCTTTAACTCTTCATGATGACGTATTTGCTGAGCAATGGTGAATGTTCAATAACATAGCCGGCCAAGCTTCTGCATCCTTTAATTTTGTTCATACAGAGAGACATAATTCAGTAATGGAGAGCTTCCACTATGTAAACCTAACATGCAGCTCTGGCAAGAAAGGTCATGGAGCCCTCAGTAGACTGACAGCGACTAGAGAAATTGTTATCACTGCGGACTTTGAGCTTGAAACAAGCCGGAAGGAGGTGACAGGTTGGTTGGAAAATAATCCAAGGTGCGGTTTGAAGCTTCTTGCCGTTTGCTCCTTAATTTCCGTATTTTTTCACTTCTATCTGTATGCAAAATGGTAACAAAAAGTATCTCCTGTTTTGAAAATTAATGGTTCGGAAAAAGTGACGGATGGGGATAGTTTCAAAGATTTAAGATCTGCCCATGGATTGAAGTCTTGCAGTCTGATTCATTTTCTTCCAGCCTCGTGGTGTAGTCCTTAAGGATTTCAGACTTGTGCACAGAAGTGATTTCTCAGTGATTTGCACTGGTTGGTGTTTTGGATTGGGTGGGTTTTTTTGTGCACGGTCACTTATAGCAGCTTTCACCCTTGATGCTTTTCAGACACATGTGATGTGCGCTGTGCTCGGAAGAAGACCGAAAAGAGGTTCCGTAAAACCATCCGAACCTTGCGGAAAACAGTCAGCAGGGACCAGTTCCGCATCCGCGTCTCTGGCATGGACCACGAAGTGGCCAGAAAGTCTCTCAGGCCCTCAGAGCCACAGCAGTCCTGTGGTGTAGGACAGATGCATCTGGGTAACAGATGTGGTAAGTTATGTGTGCATTAGGAACAAACCATCCACGTGCATTTTACTGTTTTGCTCAGGTGTGGTGAGCTTGGAGGGATCACGGGATACTCATCCAGGAGAGAGGAGGGCTGTGTGTGAAGTGGGGGTTACTGTTAGTGTTACCAAGATGCCTCTCTATGTATTTATTGTTGGCAGTTGCTGTGTTATAGAGTAGAATAAGGGTTGAGTGCATTGCACCTTGTTATAGCTGATGTACCACCTGCAATAAGCTCAAAGGTAGAAATCATGGGAATAAAGTCAGGCACCAATGGCCTTGAGATCACCAGTGTTATTTTTAATACTGCATTTAATATTCAGTGTAACACTGTGTTTCTGAACTTGTGCACGTTTCATCTCTCCCTTGTCCCAAAGAAAAGACTGTGCAGAATTTGATACAGTCCCCTTGGCTTTGCCCATTAAGCTCTGAGTCCCAGAGAATCTTCATGGCTGAGTTATAAATTCATGGGAATAGGGGTTTTATAGGCCAGTACTGAGAAAAGTCTTAATTATCATTGCACTGGAGGGCACCACCATAATGCAGTCCAAAATAAATGCTTCCAAAGCACAAAAGTTAAGGAGAGGGGTCAGATGTTACGTCTTAACAGGGGCTAACAACCATGACAGCTAATTCAGGCTGCATGGGGTAGGCAGCATGTAGGTGGATTGTGGATCAGCAAGCCTTTAAAATGCTTGTCAGATTGAATTAGTACGTCTTCCAGCAGCAACACATTTGGCCTAAGAATAGGTTTTCCAATCCAGTTTTGCTCACTCTAGAAAAACTTGGATTTGTAGAACAGTAAAATTGTTTAAAACATCTGTGCAAGCAAGCAGGGAATTACTCAGGAATTCTGTCGGAAAAAGCTGTAAGTTTTCCTTTTTTTTTTTTTTGTAACATTACAATAAGTCTGAAAAACTTTGGAAAGTTCACCAAGATGAGTTTATGTGAGTGTTTTCAAGCTGTTGTGTTGGATGCTGGAGGGAGAGTTTGAAAAAATCTGTCTCAGTCCATTGTACAGAGCACAGTATGACTGAAGAAGTTTGTGTTTTCGTCTAGAAAAAACAGCAATGAGTAAGCTAAAAATACTGCAGGTAGAGAAGGCAATGTGAGTTACAGTCAGAAATTTGAACACCAAAGAAACACAATTTTTTTTAGACAGCTGCAGAACCAGTTTAATGTCTCAGTACAAGTGAGAAGCACACATGGCATTTCTGTGCCTTTAGAGAGAGGAAGCTTTTGGGGAATGCCTGCCTGGAAAACTGGTGTGGTGAACATAATAGCCTGATTATGGTTAAAGGAGTCACTGAGCATATGAAGACCAATGTTTTAAAGAACAACTTGCAAAAGTTGGGCCTCTTCTATCGCGGAATTGGTGCCACAGTTTGCTCTGGACGTCTTAAGAGATGCTGCTCTGAGCAGTGAAACGAGTGTAAGATCTCCCGTGAGTCTCGTACTTTATGGTTAGATTTGTTCATGCCTAACAAGGTGCAATTACTAAATCATCTTCCTTTCTTCTGCTGAAGTATTCAGACCACATCCTTGTGTATATTTGCTGTGATCAAACAGGAGATGGAGTTTGCACTGCAGCCTTTCACTTGCAGGGGTGCTAAGAAGGTTTCTCTCCTTCCACTTGCATGTTCCCTGCTTATTTATGTTAAATGTACAGAAAATTAGTGCCTTTGAAACTGCTCTGCATCACTTGTCAGATTGCTGGGAGCTGGACAGACGGTTCACTGGTTGATGAGAGGACACAAAAGTCCCCACAGAGGCCGTATTGTTACGTACGCCTCATTTCCTTAGAAAAAGCTGATTGTCCCAGGCTGTATGGTCAAGGCAGGACTGGGGGGCTGGTGCTGCTGCTTGGGCTGCCAGTCAGAATGAGCTAAGAAATAGACTGGGCAGAAGAGAATGGAGTAGGAACAGCGTGTAGAAGGGGAAGAAGCTTGCTCAGGGATGTGTGTGGGACAGTCAGGGTGGGGTTTTTTATTTTGATCTGATTGTTTTACAGAGCTGCTTGAGAACTTCTGGACAGGATTGAGGCCCTGCTTACCTAGATATGCTAATGGTTCTGGGGAGAAAGGGACTGTACAGCAAGAGATACTAAGTCAGCAGATGGATGCAGTGCAGGTGGTGGATGTAGTCTCTAGATAGAGGACTTTGGCAAAGAGATTTTGCTCAGTCTGGCTGGAGGAGCAGGAAGCAGTGAGGGAACAAAGTAAGTCACAGGGACTTACAAGTCTTCTGTGATACAGTTAATGAGTAAAATGCGGGTTTTAGTTCATTGTTTTCAAATACTTGTGAGTATGGCTAGGTTAGATAAGGTTTATTTATTTATTCAGACAGTCTAGTGCTGGTGCTCTTCCTGTGGTAGACTTATCCTGGCACAGCACTGTCTGAAAAATTATTTATATTTGAGCAACATAAGAGGGAAATTCCAGCACCTGCTCTGGCAGCTTTTGTGTAGGATAACTGGCCTGCAGTTGCAGCAGCAAACTAAACTTCATTTGGTTTCATGCTTCTGGTGAGGTAGTGCTATTCCTGATTTTCCTGTCTTAGTTCCTGCTGTCTGCAGTGGGGCACAGCACAGAAGGAAAGCTTTAGAAATGCACCAGGAGCAGATTAGATGTGATTTCCAAAGTATTTTATCATTCTTAATGTGCTGGAGGGTTGTGCATGTGTGTCTGCTGTTCTTTAAACAGTTATTGACAGTAAAAGGGAATTTGCTGATTACAGGCATAGTGTATTTTATTTCAAGTTTGCTGTTCAATGTATGGTTCTGTTTGGGATTTCCTAGTGCTTTAGAGGTTCAAGTGTTGCATTTGTCTGCCTTGTTATGTGCGAGTTCTGTGTCAATAAGTAAGTGTATTCAGCATTGATTAATTAACATTGATTAATTCCATGAAGTCCTGTGAATGGCTTCCAAGGAGCAACCAGTGGTAGGTTTCTAATAATGGATATCACAGGAAAAGCATATAGCAATATGCTTCATCAACCTTCCCAGAGAACTGGATTCTCATAGGAGAAGTGTAATCTTTCCACACTGAAGTAAATTTTCAGATAAAGAAATGCATATTTGCATGTCAGCGCTTCAAGACTGCATGTGAACTATCTGAGGATGCTGGAAATGCTACATGCTTCCTTGAGATGAGATTTGTCTTGGGGAGAATGCAGTTTCACTCACCAACCTGGCTACAAGTATCCATTCTCCAGTATGAGCTAGACTTTAGACAGATTTAACAGCCGAAGGACCAGCTGTTTAAATACTAACAATTCTTTATCAGAAACTGGTTTACCAAAAACCTCTATATTGGAAGATAATAAGTTCATATCTATTGGGCTCCTTTTGCCCTCAGGCACTTTCCACTGAGGAAGAAACAACAAGCAATTTAGCTGCTTTTCTGTTGCTTAAAACTCTGATCCTATGGAGTTGAAAGTACACCTTGCCTGTTCCATTTGATTTCTTTTTTTTGTGTGTTGGACACGCCAGTGCTTTAAGAGATGGAAAGAGGCAATGAGAATTACCATTTCCTGAAAATGCTCTGTAAAAGGACATGTGAATGTGTCCTTGCTCCACAGTAGCTGCAAAGTGGGTTCTTCCAAAGAACTGTCACTTCAGAGAAGAGCAAGCATGGGCAGCACTGGCATAGGCACTGCTCTGATGTAAACCATGAGCAGCTTCATCTTGCATGGGAGGTGTCAATGCTTTTCCTTGCTCAGCATTCAGCAATTTTGCCCCCTGCAAATAAAATATTAACTTATCAGCCAAAGTGAGATTTCAAAGTTTAGATGTGGTATGGTACTGGCATTGTAAAAGCATGAGAGGGAGATTTAAATAAAAAAGCAAAATGCTACCTTCCTTTGCACTTGTTATAATTAATAGTCATGTTACACAGCAGAGGGCTGTGTTACTTTTTTTTTTTTTTTTAGAATTTTTTGAAAATCCAACAAGAAAAAAAGAACTATCAAATAGGGAGAAAGGGTGCTATTTTTCTGCTAACCTGCCTGCTCTGACAGTTATAGATTTAAGGCATAAATCCTCAGAATGCATAACCCTCTCATGTGACCTAAATGTGTGAACTGCTAAAACACAATAACTTAAAGGATGCCGCTTCAGAATCAATTTGCATCCCTTTTTGGTGATTTTCCTTATAAAGTCAAGGCATCATTCTTAAGAAAATGGTGAATTGGTGGATCATGACCTCCTTTATGAGGTTCACCTTCTCAGCCCCTGAGATACTACAGCGTTTGTCTATAGGAGCAAATGCTCAAAGGCTAATGTGTTGAAAAGAGGGGAAGAGCCTTTAAATGTCTTTGTAACTGTTAATCCTGATTCCCCGTGGGCCCCTCTCTTCCCCCCCTTCTTTTCTTCTTGTTTTTGCATCAGAAAACCTTTCGCCTTTTTTTTTTTCTTTAAAACAGCTGCATGAGACTCTAGACCAGGTTTTTAATGGGTATTGAAGATAAACAAAGACAGTGGCTGCAGAAATGAAGTCTACTAGAGGCAATTGGTTCTTTTGTTCATTTGGAGAAAAACAATCGGGTTTCTGAAAAAAGAGCAAAACCAGCCAGTGGAATTGTGTTTTAATGTCATTATTTGCAAATCTTCAGATCTAGTTTTGACTGGGTATTTCCCATGTGTCGGGTGGGACTGTGCAGTTTTGTGAAATGAAGCTCATAAACTTCTTTTTTGTTTCATTTAAACAGATGTCAGCAAAGGTCAAACTTCTTAGAGGTGTTTCTTGTGTATTTTTTTTTTTCTAAGAGAAGGTTCATCCTAGCTTTATGCACAGTCCTATGGATTTCTGGGAGATTATTTCTGTGTTGAAATAATGGCCCTATAATTAATGTTACTATAATTGAATCTAACACTAAGTCTGTTTGTTATGCTAAATTGGGCCCTGGTGAATGATGTGGGCTTCTAAACAGGCTTTCCACATTACCCCTGCTCTGTACTCCATTGTTGCTAGATGAGTGGCCTTTATTTGAAACATTTCTAGGTGAAACATGAGGAAGAACTTGGAGCATTTTACAGGGAATGTGTTTGTGGATCAAATTGTCTGGACACTTTTACCGCTCTGAAAAGTTTGGCTTGATGTGGTCATGTGAAGAAACTGATATGTCTGAGAGCCTGAGGCATTAAAACTTGGACATCACTTGGAGTAACTCTAATATTTGCATTGAGTAATGAATATCTGTTAGACTGTAAATAGCTAAATCTGTATCTGGGTGTATTAACCTCTTTTCTCATATGCACATAGGATCTATCAAAGCCTGAAGTGTTCGGTGTGTCTCAGAAGAAAGATATGCTGCTTCATAAGCCAGTCACCCCTATTGTAAAAGCAATTAGTGTTCCCCTCACCTGCTCTGTCTTGGAAGGCCCCTCCACATGCTGGGGCTCTGATAATGATGAGCAGTGATTTTGGGGCAGAGAGTGGCCAGCTGGGGTGGTGGTGTCCTGTGATCCCAAACCATGTGGGCACACAGAGCAAGCCTGTTGCTCATCCAGCTGGACTCCTCTTTCAGCCTGTTTCTTCTCCAGCAGGATGCTGTTGCCCAAGCAGATATTCTTCATAATCTGCAGTTTGTACTGAAAGAGCTGAGGAGATGTTACATGGCCTTTAACATTGGGGCAGCCTGTCCTGTGTCCTCCTACTTGATCCTTTTCTCTCTGCAAACTAGTGCATGGCTGTAACCACCACACTGTACACAGCATTTTTAGGTGGTTTTGAACACCCTGTAACAGTGGTGGTGGTGGCTAGTTAGTCTTTTTTTTTTTTAACACAGTTTTCTTTCTGTTGTTGACACCTTTTAGGAAAATCAGAAGAAAATATTTGATTTGGTTGGTTCAGATCTAATTAAAGAGTTTTGTTTTGGCCCATACTGATTTTATACCGTTTGGCCTAAACTGATTTTATACAGTTCCCGTGTTTCACTGTCTCAGCCCTGTGTTTCTTCTGTGGGGATTGTCACAGGCATAGCCCACCATCCTGCTGACCTGCCACTGTGCATCCCTGGAACAGTTAGTGCAAGTGGGAAATAGGGCCTGAAGCACTTGGAGTGTAGCTCCAGAACAGCTTAATTGATCTCAGATTAATATCAGCCTTCTCTCAGTGCACAGAAACTGCTACATTGCAGTTGACCAGATCTAATACTTGTGTAGCTATAGTCTTTCTATCACCTTGCACTTTCTCTACCAATCCAGCAGCTGGCAACCTAATTTGGGTTTGAATCCACAGACACAAAATGTTAGTGTTAGATGTTAGATCTGATATTTTCTTTCTTGCTGTTAGTTGATGTATCTGAACGTACTATGATGGGGAATGAGAAAGTTGTGTGGTTTATGCCCCCATAAAAGTTAACGAGGATGAGGAAGGACAAATAACTTGTTACTCTTGCCCCAGTTCTCAGAATCCTGAAACCCAAAAATTAGCTGGAGCTCACAGTGTGTCTCAATGTGGAGGGTAAGGCACAGAAACAGACCACCAGATACTTCTGTCCCATCTTTCTTTTCCTCTCAGAGTTCAGTCATGCAGTGCATCTAAGGATGCCCCATCTGGAGGATCTTAGTAGTGTCTGAGGAGGTCTTTTAAGTTTATTTCCTCAATGCAAATTTTCAGAAATTAGACACTTTGCTAAATAATCCTGGAAGATTTAGATTAACTCAGTTTTGTTCCACAGGGAACTCTACAATTTTACAACATGTGGTGTCAAGGCAAGTAAGCTGCAGATAATAAAGTTGTCAAGAGAGATCTGATGGGATAAGTTCTCAAATGTAACATTTCCACATAAGTAGTGGGTTTGATTCCTGCCTGGGGCAAGTTTTCTTTGAGTTCTGATAGCTTTCCTACTGTTATGCTGGACTTTGAACAAGTTCAGGAAACCTGAAGTACAGTTCTAATATTGAATTTGTATGGTCAATGTAAAGTAACATTCTGTTACTCCCTCTCCCAAGTGTAAAAGACAAACCGCAAACCACTCCAAACTTGACAAGTGATTAAAATGAATGGAAAAAGACAGGCTAAGGGGAGACAGCAGAGAGCAGATAGTTTCTAGCGAGGCCATTCAGAGCATGGATTTCTCATAGAGCTGTGGAGTTTTTTGAGGGAAGCAGATTTGCACTGGTCTTTCCATTGCTCCAGGCTTTCTGAAGTCAGTAGCCACTTCTCAAAATCACCTTTACTAACCTTGATTGTCTTTCCTTGTCATGGAATTGTAAATAGTGCTCTTTCCTTACCTTATTAGGAGTGCTGCAATGAAAGCCTTAATTCATTCATGTTTGTTGAAGTGCACAAAGTGTACAGAGATGAGTGCTCTGTAGGAATGTTTATAAAATGGAGAAAGGCTTGAAAAGTGTGGGAGCAAATGAATGTGTGCCCTTATGAGGGCAGAAGTGATGTGTGGTGGAAATAGTTAGAACCAAGAGCTAAGACTTCCTCAAAAGCTTTCATTGATAAGCTACAGAGCATTGCTTAACCTGCTGTATTTTATTTTTAAGCTAAAGAGGAACACTCACTCTTCCACGCAGTGTATCAGCCATAAACAAAACTCTTCATCATTGATCATGACCGGTAGTTAATGCCCTGCTTGTTGTTAGTCATATATCCTGAAATGAAGCCAAGGCCAATTTAACTTCCTAACAAAACAGCTATTCACTGAGTGATTTATTGGAGCTATAAACTAAAACTAACAGTTTATTATTGTAACAGGTCTTAAAAGGACAGAATTTTTCAGCATAGCTGAACAACTGCAACAGTGTTTTGTGCCTTTCCAGAGCAGGGTAATTATTAAATACTGGCACTGAAGACCAGTTCTTTTGTGAAAAGTTTGAAAAACAGGACTTTTCAAAGATACTTATAAACATTACTGGGCTTGTTAGATAATACTGAGGTGTATGTTTTAAGTAAAATCAGTCAGATTTAGTGCTCTCCATGTACTACACAGAACACAACAATCCACTGCACAGATAATTATCTAAGATCCAGTATCAGAGGAATGGCAAGAATATTTCTACTTTAAAAGTCTTTGAGGCATGCATAATGTTTAGTTTAATGAATTTACCCCATTACTTGTGGTGCTCGAGGTTCACACACAATCTGGTAATGCTAATGGTTATGAAGTATGAATATTCAATAACATTAAGATTAAAATACTTATAGAGATCTGGAAGTACATTTTTGGCCTCTTAGGTTCAGTACTAAATTATTTCACTTGGGAGGAGTCCAAGAGCTCTTGAGCTAGAAAGAGGAGATGGTCAGTACGCAGTTGCACTGTGCAGATGAGCAGAGAGCACTGGATGGGCTGAGTGTCCAGTGTGGCCTTGCAACAAAGCATGAAATCCATTCCAGCTCACAGAAGAGCTCACTAGCACCAAAGGTTACCAGTGTCTGTTTCTGTCTGACACTGTACATTGGATGTATTAAGCTCTGTTAATGCTGTTGCTTGTGTTCAGTTCTGAAACCCTGGTTCCCACTTCCCAAGTACGGAGGAGAGCAGTTTCGCCATGAGGTTTCAGGTCCTGTGCAGGCTCAGTAACACGCCTTCATCTATAATGTACAGGTTGAAGCAAGTGTGTCCTTCCTCTTCCAGATCAGTGCTCCCCGGGTGAACATTCTCCTGATGGCTTCAAACCGTGTCTCCCGTGTCCCCTTGGGACATACCAGCCTGAAGCTGGGAGAGTATCCTGCTTTCCCTGCGGAGGAGGTCTGACGACAAGACATAGCAGTGCATCCTTGTTTCAGGACTGTGAGGCCAAAGGTAAGGTCAAGATTTATTTGATGAACTCTATTACTCTGAGGCAAAAGTAACTGGCACTGCTCCAAGCAGGGCATTAAGAGAAGAGTCTTCCTCCTTTCAAGGATCAATCCTTCCATCAGTCTCAGAGCTAGCTGGCCTGACCTGGCTTCAAGGAAACTCAGTAAAGCCTGAATTCTTTCTATAACTGATTTTTACACAAGACCTTAGAAAGGGCTGGGAGATCTACCTAAGTTGATCAGTAAAGCTGTTAATCTGTGAAGAGTCATATAAAGGAACAAAAGGAAGAAAAAGTCTCAAGACTTTTTGGGTTTTAAGTGCAGCAGCAACACGAAAATGTAAAGGAGGTGATTTCAGTCGTGGTGGATAAGTAAGAAAATATTTTCTTTGTGTTTATAATGGGAAACTGGCTTGGGTGCCTTGGGCTAAACCTAAAAAGTGAGCATTCAACTTAACCCTGTGGCACCTCAGACAGCCCTCTAAATTTGATCACAGTAGAGCTGACATGCGATCAGCTCCCAAGGTTTTATCACAGGACTGAAAATCAAATGGGGATCATATCTCTAAAAATGATGGAATTTTGTTAGCATCTTTGGTATCTAAAATTTAAAAAGCTGAAAGGCAGCTATAAAATTGTCTCTGAAAATGGTGATAAAAGTATGTGTCTGTGGAGAGAGATGAAATGTTAATCAGTATAACGGTTTGCTCAATGTCCTAAAGAATGGGTAAAAGAAAATTGCTTATAAAAATCACCTGAGAAAAAAGTCTTAATAGAAAATCTACTGCTGCAGAGTGAAAATAAGGTATGGAAATAAGGTCCTGATGCAAACATTTGGTAGTGTTTTGCATTAAGAGATCTGTCTAGTGTCAGTTAAGATATGTTTACTATTGAGAATTGCAACATTTTATAAGAATTTTGCAGTATTGTTAAAGAATTAATGTTACTGGTAATACTGTGATATCTAAGATTTCTTCAGAAGAATCACTAAATCCACTAATGGAGTTGTTTCATACTTAATTTTGAAAAACTGAAGTACTAAAAGAACACATTAAAAACTTTGGATCAAGATAAGAGGAAGTGATTTCAGTTTTATTTTAACATAAACAAAATCAAGTCTATAAATGAGGTTCAGTTTTCAAATTGGAGTGGAGATTAAAGGAATTTTTTCTATTAACTGGAATGAAGAGCTCAGGGATTTGCATGTGGAAGAGGCCACATGAGACATAGAATCGCAGATGCAAGAACTATTTGGAACTTGTATCTGAAGCATTTGGATTGGGGCAGCACGTAGGGAAGGATTCCAGGCTGAGCTAGCTTGCAAAGCTCAACAAGACTAGAATTATTTAGGAGTAAGCAGAGCTTAAAAAGAGCAGAAAAAAGGGACTGTGCAGCACAGAAAACTACATTTGATAGTAGATAGTAAATTATTTTGATGTTGAGCTAGAGAGATAAACCTGCCAAATGAGGTAAAAGGAATAGGGAAATTTTTTTTTTGAATCCCACAAGAAAAAAGAAGCAAGGTAGTGATGGAATTAAGAGCAAAGATAACATATGGCTGATGCTCCTGACTGCTTTAAGTTTCAACACAGTTGATGATGGGCATAGGTGCAGAATAGCTAGGCAAAATCAAATGAAAATCTGCAAATTAGAGACGTAAACAGAGGTGTTTAGAGTCCTGTATTCTCAAATTTTAGTAAGAGAGGGAAATCTTCCTGTCTGCATGCAGGGAACTAGGATAAAATTTACAAGTCTGCCAGAAAGTATTTTCCCCCTACATTTGTCTGTCTCTTGTCTAAAACTTCCATAAAATCTGTTGTGTTTATGGAAGAGCTGGTGTGTTGGAATGGAACCTCACTTTGGTGATGCAGGCGGTGCTCTCAGCAAGCCCTGTGAGGGGTAGAGCTCATGTGTCTTGCTAACGTGATGACTTTGTGATGTGATGAAATGAAGTAGCAGCAGAGCTGGTGGAGGTGACTGTACCCTGAGTCATGGTCTGTTGCTGAAGGACAAGGTGTGATCGTAAGAGAAGGTGGCAGTATACCAGTTTAGTCACTAATATTGATACAACGTGCCCCTTGTAGAGGACCAGCATCTCTCACCTCTGCTTGGCCTGAGCTGCTTTCAGGGCTATCCAAAATGCAGCAGCAGTGCCCATGCTGGCTGGCATGAGCAGGCAGGGAAGAAAGGTTTAATTAGTATTTTCCACTTCCATCTTCCAAGTCCATCTTCCAAGTCGAATGCCTGTCGCTAAACCATTTGGTAACACACTGTTCTACTTGGCGTCCTTGTTACAAAATCATAGTGGTTATACTCACTCCCCCATGTCTTTTATTGCTGTTTTCACGCAGAACTGCTCTATTGTGTTGCATTTGGGAATTCTGAACTTGCATAAAATGAGCTGATAAACTGAAATTTGTTCAATTACCTCTGCTTTGTTACCCTCATTGTTTATGAATATGGTATTTCAGTTGCTGAAATTGTACTATGTCATATACAAATCTATAAAGTCATATTTTATGCTACTGCCACTCTTTTAACCATGATGCATATTTAATTACTGTCCAGTTCAGTGTTCACCTGGCCATTTTTATAACACCACAACTCATCGGTGTATTCGCTGTGCAGTTGGGACATACCAGCCTGAGTTTGGACAAAATTACTGCATTGCATGCCCTGGAAACACCACTACTGACTTTGATGGGTCAACAAATATAACACAGTGCAAAAGTAAGTACAGGAAGATGGTTTTGATTATCTCTTACCATTAATGTTCAGAGTGGCCCTAAGGGCAGAATTTAGCTTTACTCCAGAGAGCTTGGAGAGAAGGCAGAGGTGTTGCTCCTCTTTTGCTGCCTGCCTGCATTTCACCCCACATGACTTACTGAGGTCTATGAGAGACCATTTCTGCAGACTGATTCCATCATTCTTGTATGGTAAGTGATGTTTGTGTCTTGCCTGTTGGTGCTGGATTGCTTAGGATCTCACTATTAAATCTTTTCTCCCCTCATATAACAGAGTTTGTGTTCTTGGTACCCTGATTTTTTTTCCCCTCCTATTAAAAGGAATAAGGAGAGGGCTCACAAAACTTAACAGCTCTAGTAACCATTTCTTCTTAATAACAGCCTTTGAAAAAGGCAACTACAAATAGAACCACTGTTCTAGATTTATGGTAGCTGTAGTGTGGGAAGCTGATGGTAAATTAAAGAGGGAAAATAGAGGGCAGAGAGGTGACTGCTCAGAACCACCTCTGGAGACACTTATATACACACAGACATATGCACACATACCTACTCAGAAATGTTTTTCTGGAGACTGCATGTCTCCCACTTACAGAATCTGATCCCTGGGCATGTCACAGCCACACATCACTCTTACAAGGCTGTAGTGGCCAAACCCTTGTGGCTGCACAGAGTTGGGGAGAACTGGCAAAGCAATCTGCAGTGGGGTTTACCCTCTGTTACTGCCAGCAATGCTGATCTGTGCAGAGAAAAGGGCTTGCTGTACTCCCTGTTCTGTGCTGCTGCAGATATGGTGACCTCAGGCTTCAGTTTGACCTCAGCTGGTACTTGTATAAAAGTTCTGCCTGGTACAAGCAAGTGGAGCATCCTTGCTTTACCACAGCTGTGACCTCTTACAACTGCCTTGCCTTGCTGCTTGGCTATGGCTTCGTCCATAGCACCTGCTGTATTAACAGGGACTAATCTGTGTTTTTATGTCTCAACATTGATTGAAACAGTCAGGCAGAAGCAGGCAGCAGTGTGAAGAGAAGCTGGCAAAGAGAACTGTACCTGCTCCAACTGCAAACAGAAAAGTGTGCCCGTCTGTCACCCGTGTACTGTTCTTGACAGTGACTGCAGAGGAGCTGTGGGATGCCCTCACTTTTCCTTGTCTTGCATACCATGTTGCTTTTTCAGACAGGCAGTGTGGAGGTGAGCTGGGAGATTACACTGGATATATTGAATCACCAAACTATCCCGGGGACTATCCTGCAAACACCGAGTGCACTTGGAACATTAACCCACCGCCAAAGCGCCGTATTCTGATTGTGGTTCCAGAAATATTCCTACCAATAGAAGATGAGTGTGGAGATTACCTGGTGATGAGAAAGAGTTGTAAGTCTGAAATATCTACAACACAGGCAACACAGTTTTCTCACATGCATTTCTGTTTACATAAACTAAATGTAGCCTGGCTGGCCTCTTTTTAAGGGTTGAAATTTCTTTAAATGGCAAATTGAGAAGTCCTGTTTGGTAATGCTGCTCCATAGGTTTGGGTGAAACAAGGGTGCAAGGCTATGATGTGTCAGTGAACTCTGAGAAGTTGTTAAGAACGGGTAGATGGTTCAAGCTAGCTAACCATGTACTATGCTGAGCCTAGTTCTAGACTAGATTAGTAAAGAGGAGATGCTTGCTAATCCCCTGAAGGTGCCTATGTGTGAATACCAGCTTCAGTTTCCAGTATAGTCATGTCCTTCAAACAGTAGGCTGTTTCTTTCAGGAAAGGGGAAAATATTCCTTGACCAAGAAGTCACTTATTAATGGCCTGCCATCCACTGATGGCCTGCCACATTTTGAGGACTTTTCTTAACACCAGCAAGCATTTTTGTCATGGTAGTGTAACCTATTTTCTAATTGTTTGCTAGTGTGAAGCACCATCAGATAACTGCCTATTGTGTGTTTCCTTTGAAAGCTTCTTCCAACTCAGTGACCACGTATGAGACCTGTCAAACCTACGAACGCCCTATAGCTTTCACTTCTAGGTCTAAGAAATTGTGGATCCAGTTCAAGTCGAATGAAGGGAACAGTGCCAAAGGATTCCAAGTTCCTTATGTAACGTATGATGGTGAGTGGGTGTGAGCAGCTGAGCCTATGTGGACCAGTGCAGCTGCAGCAGTGCAGAACTCCACTCCCCAAGCAGCAGGGTAACCCAGTACTCTCAGCAGTGTCGCTGTGAGTTGCTCCCAGTAGCTGTTTTCATTTAAAGCTAATTAAAGAAGTTCTGCATTGCACTGTAGTCTTAAGTGCCACCGTATTTCCAGTCTTCCACAGACCTAAAGAAAGATCTGGGGTTCTGGGCTCTGCCTGCAAACTGCAGAGCTCAGAACTAGAATCTAAGTTTTATGCACATTTGTGCCTTCCCAGTTCTAGGTTGCTTCAGGTGGCGATAGTGCCCCCAGTTAGGAAGTAGGCAGAGCCCAAGTGCCTCTGATTTATCATGTTGCTGCTACCATTTGTGATCAGATAGCAAAATACCTATATTGAAAAGAAACTTGAGGGGAAAGGTTTTCACCTTGTCCTTGCCAGAATCATCAGAAGTGAAACTGGAGCTGAGGCTTTGCACTTCAGCATAAGTGAAGTGATATTGTGTGTTCTGTTTACACTGGATTAATGATGGAGGAGTCATCTTTGCTGCAGTCTGCAGAGTTTCATCAACAGTGGATACTTAATTTTCCAGGGGAAAGCTTCCCCCTACCTCCTTTTTTTTTTTTATCCCTTTTCCTGTGGAAAAAAGTCAATAGCAGGTTGTAGTTGTTTACAGATGGGTTCCTGCAGTGCAGTTGGTGGTTACAGTGTGCACTACATTCTTAAGTGCTTTATGATTTCTTTTGCTTATGACAGATTGATGCTGGGCAGCTCAGCACGGTACACTGTTCTCATTGTAAACAGTATTTGTAGTTTCTTTACAGAAAAGCATTTGGAATATTTTCTGACTGCTAATTTGAGGGCCAAGTACTATTGGTTCTTCTTGGGGCAGAAGAACCAAGGGAAGTATTGAGTATGTAAGTGAAGTGAACCTGCAAATTACTCTCTTGTGCATTCCCCATAGAGGATTACCAAGAACTAATAGAAGACATTGTTCGGGATGGAAGACTTTATGCATCTGAAAATCATCAAGAAATACTTAAGGTACATTCCTTCCACTAAGCATATGGGTTTTGATTGAAAATGACGTTTGGTGCGAATGAGTTTGCTTCCTGCTCTGCATCAGGTCTGTTCCTTGGTGCATTAGATGTGTATGCTCCAGGGAAATGGGGTCAGTCAGCAGATCCTGATTGTGCAGAACAATGGATATGAGACCCTTTGCCCAGGGGGATTAAAGGTGGATCAGACCTACTAGGGAAATCTGTGGTAATGATAGCCCTTTCAGTAGACTGTGCTGGAAGGAAGTGGTGGAGCAGACTGGCATTTAATTTCTTGGGGAAGCACTTGGTGCTGCTACTTGTACCCTGTAGATTAGCAAAGGTTTTTCCTTCCTGTGCAAAAAATATCTCTGTGGATTTCTCTGACCTTAGTTAGGGGACTTGCATAGACAAGTTGAATGCATGTCATCCCAAGCAAACCTTTATTTTGCTGGATATCAGATCAAGTGTGTGTTTCTTCTGTGGTTTGTTTGTTTGTTTGCTGTTCTTGGAAGTATGAGGAGGGAAGAAATCCTGGTACTACTAATGTGAAACTCCATTGATGTCCCTGGGGCCTGAACGTCAGCCTTGCTCCACTAGTTTCCAAGCCTTAGTACTTGAAAAGTAAAATGCCCGTAATCTTTTATGAGTTAAACAGTCATTAAACTTTGGTAATACTGACCTTAATTCCTCTCTGGAATTACTGTAATACTGCTTTCCTTTCTCTAGGACAAGAAGCTGATAAAAGCGTTGTTTGACGTGTTGGCACATCCACAGAACTACTTCAAGTACACAGCCCAAGAGTCAAGAGAGATGTTCCCAAGATCCTTCATTCGGCTGCTGCGCTCAAAAGTTTCCAGATTTTTGAGGCCTTACAAATAGTTGGCACTGTACTTAAAAGCTAAACCAGCCCTGGGCATGCACAGAGGGGCTGTGGTAGGTGGGGGTGCTTTCTGTGTTTTACACACTGGCAGAGACACTCCAAGGAAGCTTGCCAGCTCCGTTCTTGGCAGAGTTTGGCTTTCTCAGCTAATATAAATATTTTGGTGAACAAAATTTTGATTCCTTTCCAGCTAATACCCATTGGGTACCAAGGATACTTCACGGGCCTCTGAATTACAGACTGCCCATAATTTCTGTAACTGAATGGCACCAAGCAGAAGTTTGTAGAGCTCTGCCCTGTTGCTTCATCAGTGACTCTAAAAGCTAATGAGGACAGACAAGCTAAGTAGTGTGGTTTGGGATGAACCCTGGGCTGCCATTAATGCATGTTACCTCAACAAAGCTGGGTTCATGTTTGGTCTCGCCGAAAGTGAGAACAGGATTGATGTCTCTCTTAACTTTTGCTATGCAGGAAATTCAGAGCCAACCAGTGAGTCCAAGAATTGCACAAGGTGTAATTTTTCTTTGAACTATGTGTTGTATGAAGCATATGGAGGAATAAGCAAAGGGTTGAATATTAGCTTGAATGTTCGGGATGTGGCTTACACTGTGTCCATGCTAATGACCTGTTTGTTTAAATGGAGTGATACCAGAATAAACCAAGGGCACCACAGCATCGGAAAACAGGCCCTGACCCACTGAACACTTCCATTTTGGACTGTCTGCAACTGTTAAACCAGATCAGATTCTTTGCTAAATCCCAGTGCTGTCCCTGTGCGTAGGTCTGGGACAGCACAAGGCATCTTCTAAGCAGTGCAAACCTCTGTTCTCTGAGCATCTGCAGTTGAACACAGAAACCTCATTTTAAATGCAAGCTTTACATTGTACTTTTGTACATCACTGTTTAAACCTGGATAAGGTATGAGCCTCAATCCTTATATTCCTCATCTTGTCTGAGCACCTTGCAATGACCTTGTTGAGCAGAGAAGGGCTGCTTTCCCTGTCTGGCTAGAGAGAAGGAGAGATACAATGACTCAGCCAGACTGTGGCCGCAGGAGTCATCTATGGCAAAATGCTCTTCAAGATTCCCAAGCTCTGTGTCCTTTTCCTCAGGTTCTGTTTCCTGTGTGAGAGAAGGCTATTCTGAGAGGGCCTGTAAGGAGGACTGTGTTGATCAAAATGTTGTCTCAGTGCTTTTCTGTCCACACTTACATGTCCCCTGGCTGTGCAATCCATTCCCTCAGAATAATGTACCTTGGGGGCTTTCTGCTTTGAAGGAAGCTGGCTGCAGTCCCACACATTTGCAAATGGACTTATGACTTCTGTCTTTTGGTCACTGGCCTTGCCAAAGGGTGCAGTGGACACCAAACTCCCTCTCTGAGCCACCTTAGGAAAGGTACTGACCCTTCACAGTGTAGCCAGGACAAATGCTCCCTTTCCTAGGGTGTGGAGTCACATCTCCTGGGTTTCGTTGCATTGGTATGTGGTATTTAACTGTTGTATGTGAATAATACCACGTCCACAGTGTGACAGAGGAAACCCTCATCAAGAGCCGGAGTCTGAATCTCTTCCCTGCACTGCTGGGAGCAAATGGGTATTCCCAAATGCAGCCTGGCTGAGCTGCTGTGCCATGGCAGCCCTGCTCTGTGGCGTGAGGCAATGCAGCCCCGTGTGTGAAGGACATGTCTTGGCCATGGTGTGATGAGAAGGGGCCATGGCTTTGGCCACAGCTGGGGAGCAGAGTCTCTCAGGATGGCACACTGTTTTCCTCTTGCTGCTGCTGTGGAGGAATTGCCGTGGTCTGGGCAGAGGAGGAAAATGATTTGTCCTGCTGCCAAGAGAGGGAGAGCTGTGTCCTAACTGGCTGCAGCTGCTGCTGGTGGATGCCTTGGCAGAGTGGTGGACGTCCATTCCAGAAACAGGGCTGCCAGGCTTGGGCAGGGGAAGAATCAGTCCTGAACAGTGTCCTGCTGCCTCTGGGGGGAGGGGAGGACAGGGGTTTTCTGGAAGAAGGTATGAGGCAGTGTGATTGGTGAGAGGAGTGGCTGAGGAATGCCAAAACAGGAAGAAGGGTGGTGAGAAGACTTTGCTGCATCTGTGAGGAAGTGTACTGTCATGGGGGGATCCCAGGAAAGTAGTTCAAGAGTTTCCCTCTGGCTGTACAGCCCTTACCCCACTGCTGTTGGCGGCTTCCCATGCCAGATGCAGTGTGTCAGTGAGTCCCAGTGACCCACCAACCATCTCTGTGTGGCAGTGGAGCACTCTGAGATGCTGCAGTTCTGCTCTGGTAGTGGGGCACTGGGAGTGACCATGGTGCGCCAACTTTGAGCCAAGCCAAGCAGAGTGGCTTTGCTGTATTGTCTTTGTGCTTGCTGCCAAAAGAAGCAGCACAGTTCTTGCTGTGTTCCCTCCCAGGAAGGCTACAGATCTGAATGGTTCTGTTGCGTGTTGCTGAGTGACACACGAATCAGTGATTGGTTTCAACAAGGGTTCGAGAATAACCAAAGTTGTGAGACCTTCAAAAGTTTCTAATTGGTGAAATAGGGCTTTCTTGCTCTGTGCATGAGTTATTGACTCGAGCTCTGGGTTCATCACACTCCACCTCCTCTTGCAATCCCACAGTTCCAGCTCTGCATGGTTGCCTGGGATCCACATCTCACCTCAGGTCTGTACAGTGGATCTCAGCTTTGCTTCTCTGTTGCCCCATGAGCACAGGCCCTTTTTGCTGCTGTCTGTGGAAGGAGAGGAGTGTATGTGTCTGGTGTACGGTCCGAGGCCAAGGGGAAAACCTACCCTTTTTTGGAGGAGAGTCCTTATTTTTCCACAACCCTGTTCATTTTCTACGTTAAAAGTAAATGACTCAGAAGCACTTCTGTTACCCTTGATCTAACATTGTGAATCAAGATTTCCCCTTTTACTGTAGTTCCTGTGTGTACAGTAAAAAGTGAAGAGGGATTTTTTGCTCTCTTAAATGCTGGGAGAAGTGATAACTTGCAGAATGTTGTAAACACTTGGCATTGTATCTTCATAGTGATGGTAGTGGCTCTGTAGAAATTTTAATTTCTACTTTCTGTGTGGTTGTAGACTATTGTGTTTTGGCAACAAATGATTCAAAAAATGTTTAACCTTATAAAACAAGATTTAATTTCTGAAATAATAATTAGCGTTAACTGGGTGACTTAATGTCACCTACATGAGATAAGCATAAGGATCTTCTTCATGATTGTAAATTAATGTAAAATGTTTCACACTGTTACTCTTGGTAAGAGAAATAAACCAGTGAACTTTTAGTTGCATGAAGTTCTTGGGTAATATTTTTAGTTATCTTTGCTGCGCTAAACAATAGTATTGTGACAAAATTAATGGATGTGTAGCAAGTTTTTGCACATCAGATAGATTTTGTCCTGGGAACATCTGCTTACCATAGCATTCTGTTTCATGTAGTATAATACTAGCCTGCATCTATACCCATAAAGACACAATTCTTCACACATTTAGTGGTGCACATCATTCTAGCTAGTATAATACCAGAATTATCCCGGTATTAATTCTAATAATTATTCTAAAAATGTTTCCTATATGATGACCTGGAGTTAATTGGTTTCTTGTAACAAGCTACATGAGGACAGGATAAACAACTTAAGATTAACTCCAAAGTATTTTATTACTTCGTAGATTCATTTGATTTTTTTCCTAAAAAGCCGAAACTGAACACACAAAAAACCCCCACCAAACTACCTTAACCCCCCAAACCAAAGAAAACAAAGAGAAAACCTGTGTTAAGACACAAATTCCCAGAATATTTTTAAGATTACAACACAGTTCCATTAAATTCAGTGGCTTAGTTGCTTAGAATTAAAAAGTATAATTACGTCATATGAAATTGTAAATGAGTCAATCTATAACAATAATTTTTAATACTATTTTTCTGGGTTTGGGGATTTTTTGATATGTTGAGATTACTAGTTGTAGTCAGTCTGTCAGATTTATAAAAGTAATCCAAATGCCTTCTCCTTAATTTATTCAGTTCCTTATTTGACTCTTTGCTTCTTTTGGTCACAGTGATGAGAACTGATCTGTATTCTACTGAATGTAGCCACCTGGGCTTGTTTGGTGTGGTTTTGGAAGGCACAACTGTGTAATTCAGCTGTTTGCTGTAAAAAGGTGGCATTGGTTTATGTGGCAAAGACAGAAGAGTAAATGATATACAGGGATACAGAGGTCATGAAAAAGTATGATGCCTGCAGGCTAATCACAGCAGAAAACTGTTATTTAAATATTCTTCTCGATATTATGAATGTTGCCAGTGGTGGATTGCAATGATGGACACATGACTGCCCAGATACCCTCTGGGACAGGGAATGTCAAAATGAACTATCTTGTGAACTCCCAGAGCAGTAGGAGCTGAAATTCTGACTGGGACCTTTGGGTGTTTACATAACAGAAATAATTAATAACAAAATATAGAGAGCAAGACTTGAAGCTTATTTAAATCCAAGGAATCAGAGGAGGTCTGCTGTGGGTAAGCAGGAAGGAGTGGTATTATGATAATCCTTTGTAACAGAATGCAAGGATAGTGGTCCACAAATATTTCTGAATTAAATAAGCTTAAATGCAAATGCTTTTTCTATCGTGCATATAGATGACATTCTGTAAACGCAGCAGATGTGGAGTGCAAAACCTGTCACAACTAAATTGTATGTATATTTTCACTCTTCCTTTGAATGCTGCTCCATTCAAACTGTGCTTGTGCAAGGCTCCCACTGGAGGAGACAAGTACTTAAAGAACTTGAGCCAAACTCAGGGCTGGTACAAGTAGGTTTGTTTCTGGGGATCCCTGGAACCAGTCTGTCCTACCTCACATCCTGCAACTGCCCGTTTAGTTTGAACAACTCTTTTACTCATAGGCAGATTTTCACTGTCTGTTGTGGAACCCTGCTTTCCACAACATATATACTGCTGTCACTGTGGAACGCCCATGAGCAGTGACACAAATATTAACACCTGTGGGGGAAACAGGAGGAGCAAGAGAATTCAAGGGATGGATTCTGCTCAGTCGGTAAGTTCGTCTAGTTTTTCCTCCAAGTCAGTGCAAAATATGTATGACTTTCTGCACATTGCTCTTTTAAATAACCTTATTAAATCGCTTAAAGCGTTAAAAAGGAAAAAAAAAAAGAATCCTTCTCTGTTTAAAAATTTGTATGTTAGTGAAGTTTTTTACTCTGATTAAGCACATTTTGAAGAATAATAGTTTCTTGAATTCTACGAAATAAAGCCTGTTTAGTACAGAATGAAAAGAAAATAAGTCAGGAAAGATAACCTTGAAATCTTTTCCCTTACTAAATATGTCTATAAATACAGAATTCATTAAGGAAACTTCCTCACTCTGGCTAGCTGCTAAGCTTGATCTGATGCAACAGAAGCCTTCTTTTTTTTCATGAGCAAGTTTATTTAAGAGGCAACGTATACTTACAGATCATATGCCATGAAATCTCTCATTTATGATGATTCTGGGGATCAGGAAATAAAGAGTTCATAGTTTTAAGAAGAAAGTTGCACTGGAAGCTGTAATATTCTGAAGTGGTCACTTCAGATGCAATTTGTTGTTTAGTAGTTCTTAGTTCAAGTGTTGCATGTTATGCCAAGAACACTACAAACATCCATGAAACACCTATGTTTTTCAGGGCAAGTTTTGGCCTGACTAGGTGTAGAGAGCAAGCTTTGTCTTCTGTGCCTGAGTCAAATATAGCAGTGGTAGCCTAAAAGTGTTTTCATGCATTCTTTCCCTCTTGCTGTGTTAGAAGAAATGGAACAAAATACTAAGCATGAGCAGGAGCCTTGATGTGAGTTGGATGAAGGAGCTTTATCTGGAAATAAGTTCAGGAGATGGAAAAGTGTAGAGGTATGTTAAATACACACATCTATGTGCCTGTGTGGGTATATTATACATGTATTTGACAATAAGATAGTCATGTGTGCAACAGCTTTCATGAAAGGAGAATCAAAAGAATACAGTTCTGAAGCAGAAATATATGAGGGAAAGTTTAAAAAAAAAGCAGCAAGCTGACCCAAGATGTGAACTCAGGAGGTGTGGGATGCCAAGTAGGGTGGATGTAGTGCGTTCTACATGAGAATACCTGGTGGGGCTTAAGTAGAAGAGCAAATGAGGTTTCAAACACACCTCGGATTTCCCTTTGGAAGTACCAGAAGTCCTTTAGTCATGCACTGTTTGCTGTCAGTGTGGTGCACAGGGAGCCACAGTTTGCTCTGTATGTAGAGCCAGGGATTGGGGGTTGCTTGTCACTGTGTACAGAATAAGTACACCAGGCTCTGTAGCTGTCACCAGGTGAAAGACCTGTTGCAAAATCCCAGCTCACCTGGTTTCTGGAGGTGCTGCCTGGAGTAAAACCCAGCCGTGGAAAGAAGCTTAGGGTAAGAGAGTGGACCATGATTTTTGTGAGGTTTAAAGTTGAAATTAAGAAAGTGTTTCAGAAAACTGTGAATTCAGCATCTCTGTGTCCAGCAGGCACTGCTCATGAATTTCAGGTGGCCCCCAATTTGCTGTTACTGATGTACTGCTAGTGTGAGGAGCTGCATGGAAAAGCTGAGAGGTGCCAGTTATTAAAAACAGGACTGACAGAAAAGTGCTCAGGGGGCCTGTCTGGCTTACATAGCACAACTATTGTGCCCCAGCTCCTGTAGGTGCTAATTCTCTCAGCAAACTTACAAAAATAAAACCCTGAAAAGGCTCATCCATGCTGAGAACAGCAACTGCATTCACTGGGATAAGGAAGCTTAGCTCTAGGAACTGAATGCTCAACACTGCAGGCATTGCTGTCTTCCTCAGCTGGTCCAGAAAGCCCTGCAGCCAGTGCCTGTGGTGTGAGAGGGATGTAGCAGTGGTGAAATAAGCACATCACACGTACCTGTCTCAGGTCTGTGCAGGACACATGTTCAACTTGACCACTTGCTCTTGGAGTGGATAACAAAGGCCTTCAGCACTCTATCCCAGCAAGATACGTTTCCATATGCAGGAATGGAGAAGTAAAATCTGATGAAGATGACGGTCTGACTTAGGGGTGTTCTGGACACATGCTCTGGCACACATTCATGTGGGATACTAGAGCCTCATCCCTCCCTAAGACATCTCTCAGGGTCTGTTCTTGCCTGGAATATTGGGAAAGGGCTCAAATAAGGAGATGTTAGAGGGTTTGGGGAGCTGTAATAAAGAGGCATAGGCTGTGGTGGCCTACCTGAAGCTACTGTTCCTGGGGCTGTTGGCACACACAGCTCCCTGTGGTGTTGCCCCAGGGCTCAGGAATGTGCCCAGGCAGCAGGGTACCATCAGCAGGGCTTCCCACGAGAGGGCAGCATGTGGCTCGAAAAAAGATAAAAACTGCTTCAGTCTATGCTGACAAACAGTGGTTGGGTTTGGATGGTTTTTCTGCAGCAGGAGGCCTAAAACAGACAGTGGGTGGAAACTGGGGCTTTGTTACCTCAACAGCTCTTGTTCCCAACCACTGCCTCTGATCAATCTTTTTGAAGAGCAGAGTATGACTTTGTAAATAACCTTGTATTTTGAGGTTTTCTATTTTTACAACATACAAATATGGGACCTAGAAAGATGCATGCTCCCGAGCTAGGTTTCCTCCTCAGATTGCAGTGGGATGAGACCCTCTTCTGAACTGAATTCTGGCTGTTGATCAAGGCCATTCCCCCTTCTTTTCCAAATTACAAGTGAGGAAATGTGCGGGTTGAAAGTTGTTGATTTCCAGGCAGAATAAACCTCAAAGGAAGCTGAAGGAAATGGGCTGTGAATGTGTAACTTCAGTTACTGTTATTTACTTCTGAGAACAGTGAGGGATTCTGGCACTCTGCCTGACCCCATCACTCTCTTGACTCAGTTTTTACAGATGTCAATAATGAACTTTGAACATTTGTCTTTGAAAATGAAATGGTGTGTGTAGTCAGCTACTGATTTCCTCGTCATTTGGTTGCTCAGCTTGATCGGAGCTTGACTCATATCAGTGGTTGGACAGATGATCTTGTGGTAAATTATACCCAAGGTAAGGCAGAAACACCTCAAAGCACTGTCTCAACATTCATACCCACAGTGCTCCTGCTCCTGCTCTCCTGGGGCAGCTGCCTTCCTTTTTGGGCATAGTGTGAGCTAAAGTATCTTTCAGCTGACTAGACTTGAAGGTGGAGATATTTAACCAAATCACAACATGGCAAACACAACCTCTGTGTTAGGAGAACTACATTGAAGTACTG